CCACATACCTAAAAAGGTTCTGACACATTTATGGTACACCATTGTGATCTCAATATATTAATGTCTATATAAATCTATGTATAATAAGTCTCTGAAGTGAAACGGACTTCGTTTCAGATATCATCTTTCTATTTATGCAAATTTAATTAATAAAAGAGTTTCTACCTTTCTATCTTGTGTTAAAAAACAATATTTGTTTATTTTATTATTTCGTTTCGTTCGCTCAACCCCTGTTAACTACCACGTTGAATTGAAATATGCTCAGCGAAATGTAGACATATTAAGAATTCATTCATTCCAGTTGACTATACCTCTGACTACCTCATCTGGTATAATAATCTATTCATTCTCATCCCATATGGTTGTTTGTGTAATAGTATATTATACACTAGACTAATACTGCTTAGTGTTTTCTATGTATATTCCAAAAAAATATCTAAGTATCAGTTGTCTAGTATTCATAACACAAGCTCTATTTAGTATGGGATTAGATGGTGCTATGTGAATTGTCCTGGGATATTATATTACTACTCTGAGGTAGACAGAGGTAGTGTCAATTTACAGCTCAAACAAAATTATTGGCGTAGTGCAATTAACTAGACTTAGTGATGCCATGACAATTTGTAGTATAAATGTTCAGTAACGACCATTCTTGGGCCGATAGCGCAGTGGTGAACACACGGTGTACAATGCGCCTAACTGTTAGCCGAACCAGACTTAGTTACCACTTTTTTAGGTTACACTCAATAAACCCATCATGATCGATGACTCATTGATGACATTAATAACCCCAAACAACACAACACAATGTTATCTTGTCACAAACTTAGTGAAATGCGTCATGGGCTAACTGACCTAACAGCATTATCATATTATCATTCTCCACTAGGACACATTTAATTAGTATCCATAAAAAGTCTCAAACTAATCAAAGCGTGTGTGATATGTGCTACATATACCAAAATACGTTTTTTTCATCATATTGACATTATAAATGCGACAGTTTCTCATCTTTAACACTTTTGGTCTGAATGGAGAACGGTATTAAAGTGTTGGTCACTGCATTTTACCGCGGAAGGAACTCTGCATATACCATGTCTAGTTCCAACAGATTGGGCATAGAGGGGTGTTATAAATAAAATAAAATGTGTTAGTATTAATCTTCAACGATACGGCCCGTCAATTAACCTCAAACATAGATATCCAACACGACAATATTAATGGCCGAGTTTACTGTATGTGTCGGTCGCGTGACATACCTATACGTATATAGATATTATGTCTACAGGTCGTTATCGGTTGTCCTAATCGATATTTATGCAACTTTAATACCCCATCGATCGTCCATTCATGCCCTATATAAAACTTACAATGATGACTCATGTCTGAATAAACAAGAGTTAGTTGACCGCAACCACGTACTTGCCGCCACTGTCTGTTCACATATGTCTATTAAATTACGCAACAAATTTTTCAGCAATGGATGAGACGATGATATATATGACGCAGATGAAGATGTAACAACAAATACAAAAGCTTGAGTTTTACAAAGATTTGTTTTTACTTACATTTCGATAACTATTGAACAACCGCGTATTATATTGCAACTTAATTTGGAAAAAAATTTTATCGTTAAAAACAGGACTCACCTATTAAGTGGCAACCGAGTCTAATTTAGTTGAACCCCCAGAGAGGTGATGTCATGTCACAAATTCGCGTGTGTTGCCATTATGTGATGAATCTTATCTTTTAATTCATGTCCTATCTTTTAAACCAAAACATGTACTGGAGATCAACTTTCATAGAAATAAAATATTTAATTATTTCACACAGAAATAGATATTTTGCACAAGACATCTAAGGAAATTATATTTATGAACTAACTACAATGGTTTCCAGGAGACACTGCGTGGAGGTCGACCGGGTATTTTACAATACTAGCAATGGATCCACTAGTCCCAATTACTAACAATCACCTTCTCCTCTGTTTTGACTGATACTAAACTAACATATTTCGTACTATCTATGAACTTGTTAGCTTTCTATGGATTTACCGTATGTTTGGTCTATTGTATAACAGGGAGATAAACTTCGAACAGATCAGAGATTCGAGCAGACTTGTGACAAGGGTATAGGTTTAAAGGACCACTTTCTGTTGCACAAACAAACTCACCACTCGTGTTGCTCACCCGATCTTGTACCTACTAACACAGCTTTAATACAGAACGGTAGTAGGTTCTGGACAAGCCAAGGTCATTTTTAGATTTAGTCGTTTAATCACATGTTGCTTTCTTACTATTTTTGTGTAAAGATTTAATTCGGTACTTTGTACAGATTTATATTATCTTACATTAGCTATAAATAAAGTAGCCTATGATTGGTTAACTAGGGCAGATCTACAAAACTCAGTGGGTGGAGTATTGCAAAAAACACATTACTAGTAATACGGTTTAAATACCATAAGTAGATACGTATTTGAATTTTAGATTATGACTTATTAGCATCGCATAAAGAGAACCTTATGTTGTACTAACTGTGCCCGCGACTATCTGCATGATTCCTAAACTAAGTACTTTTACGCCACTACAATACATACTATAAATTACTGTCTGTATGCTACCACTAAACAGCTAAAATTTTACGATTGTGTTATGAAGATGGATATAGACTCGAGCAAAGTCGGACAATTAATATAAAAACGTCTAGAAGAATAATAATTTCATGTTATATTTATATACATGAAGCAAAAGGGAAAGAAAAATGATAATATGTTTTTAAAATAATTTATAAGAATACATTAAATCAATGAAAAAAAACATCACACACACTATTAATATGACGCACACACGCATTATATATTAGGTATTTTATTTATTGTTAAAGTTAGTGGTCAAATTGAGAATAGAATTCTCTTCAATATTATTTGTGTATAGTTTTATTGAATCTTAAATTAATTATGGTCTAATTAGGTCGACCACTGGGCTCACAAGTATGTAATAAAATACTGAGTGCTTCGTGAAATATATTTTTTAAAAAGAATATAGGTAATAAAGTTATATAGTTCTTCTCTAATGAAACTGTTTCACAAACTTGCATGGGTTAATATATATCTAAATTAATTCTATACAAATAGAAAATATATATATATAAAAGATTTAAGGCATACCCATTTGAAAATAGGTGAAGCTATTGCCTTCTAACTTGAACAAATTCTCGATAAAGTAAGGTTACTCTGCCATTCCGTGGAGATATCAATTCACTTTGCTCTTCTGACCTGAGCTGGTCGGACTGTTCTACGCGTTATTCTGCTCCAACTCCTACATGTAATAAACAGATTTCCAAAATAAATGTTGTAATATATGTATGGGAACTATGGAAGACATGGTATATATTAAGATAACCCACGAATTTATATCTATAGGCATCGATTAACATTTTCCGCCACTTGGGTCATTACGAATAGTTTCTTTATTTAAATTATTAACCGGGTCTTAACACGAATAATTTTATGGCAAATAAAGGTTTTGGCTAGGTTGCACTAGCCGTGGTCACAAGCTGACTGACTTAAGACCTGGTTAATAATTTAAATAACGTATATTTAACACGAAAGTTTAAAATATAAAGAATAGTTTCTTTGCTTTCTTGAAGAATAAAAAGAAGGTTAGAACACCCTTCTGATAAATTATTAGTTTATGGCAAGTATTATTTCAGTTAAATGTCAGTCAATAATTATATATGTAGGAGCTACAACTTTTTATTAGATCAATTTCTTAGATAAGGCAGATCTAAATTCGAATAAGAAATTTAATGGGCATACGTATGCCTTTTGATGTCATGATGCAATGTGTGTATAAGGTGCTTACAAGTTTTCCATATTTATGAAATGCTTATTAAAAATATTTAAATAATTAAATATTCTCAGAGATTCTCTGCATAGCTACCGGCACACAATAGTCTTAAAACAAAATTCTGATTAGTATTCATGTTCTATCAATTCAATAAATCAGTGAATTATAATATTTAATACATATTGGTAGGGAATTAGTAAAAATTTATAGCAGAGATTAATTTTAAAATTGTCGTCCTCATAAACAGAGCCGCTTGCTATAACAGAACATTTTTTAAACTGTATTTACAAAAAAATAAAAAAAAAAATGTAAATATAGACAAACAATTTTATGTACTATAAATGTAAAGTAACTCTGTCTGTCTCGCTTTCACGCCAAAACTACTTTAAATGAAATTTGGTACACAGATAGCTACTCTGAGAAAGAACACTACTTTTTATAAGGATTAGACAGACAAAAGGATTGCAAGGGGTTGAAAGGGCAGATGAAAGTTTGTATAGAAAAAGAAAGTTTATAAAAATGTTATCCTTAAAGGAGTAAAATAAAATAGAGGATGAAAGTTTGACATTTAAGAAACTAGAATAATGAAACTTTTTTGGGTTTTTTGGGTTAGATTACTGATTTTTTTTTTATTTGGTCAAGTTCACTATTCCACAGAGGAAATCGCGGGCATAGCTAGTTGGTTATAAATATGCAATAAAAAAAGAGACCTAAAATACACTATCATATAAAAGAATATTTTGTCTAAATGATCTTCTCCTGACTGAGTAACAATTGGGTATAGTAATTTTGGATATCGTAACTGTTCTTTATTTCCTTCCATTACTACTATTACTAACACTAAGTTTATTTTATATGAAAGATTATGTTGCTGTGTAAGAATTCTTTCAAATACTACAAAAATTAAGTGTATTTTATATTACAGAATCTGTTGCTGTGTAAGATTTTACCAATAACCAATTTAGGAGTCTCCATAATCTATGTCACACAGTGCCAAGTTAATGCGCTTAAAATGAAGTCAACTTACTTATACTTATGCGATACCAACGGCAGTGTATTTGAAAATTCTAATTAACTACGTATATAAGGTGCACCTGCTTGTTTAGAGTTGACAGACATCATTTCAACTTCATCAGTAGCAGGACCAAAGTCATGCGCTCCCTTGTAAGTACACATTTTTTTATTAAACTCTTTTAAATGAATAACCGTTACTTTATATATAATAATATGACAAGTACTTTGGAATTCTATCTGATGGTAAGCGTTACATAGGTGACATAACCATAATCAAGGACGTCCCGCCACATGGTGAATAGCGTGTAAGCTATTTCCTGTCAAACCGTAATGCAGGTTGGATAACTTAGAGGTGGCAACAACTTTGTAAGTTCTCCACACAGTATAAAAATATATTTTCGATATTTTATCTGAAAAAATAACTACAATTGTGCCGAGATAGTAATTCAGATAGTTTATAATTATTGTTACAGATATTTTTAGCTGTACTAGCAGTGGCTTCAGCTAAGCCACGACCAGGTGGACTTCTGTCACCATGGAGTGCCCCTTCTGTAAGTATGTAGAAAATATTATATACCGAAAACCGCATGAAAGTTTGTTCAACCGTTTGAATCGAATAGATTATCATTGTTGCCAGGTTGTTTATAATAGATGGCCTTTATCTATATGACCGCCTTTATTCTTTAAATTGCTTCTGTATGAGTATATTATAATTGTCCTGTGCATTTTTACAATTATACTACATATTTTTTATAATATTTCCAATACACAAAATATATATTATTATTATGACGTTCTATTACTGTCTAATTAATTTGTTATGTTATTATTAAAATATAGTATTCGTCAGTGGGTCTCGTCCAGCAGCCGACAGTAGCTGTGGCTCAACCGGCTGTCGTGGCTCAACCAGCTGTGGTTGCTCAACCTTACGTGCATGCTGCTCCGGTCATTGCTAAACCTGCGGCCACTAGCTATGCCTCTTTTCAACAGGTAACAAACTTTTTGATAGTTTATTAATGAATAACTACTAACTAAAACTAGTAGTAATTCTAAATCTAAAATACACACGTTATTTGGTTTTGCTTATAAACTATATAATATTATTATACAAGTAGAATAAATAAATTTCAGGTCGTCCATCCGGTGTCGGTAGCCCAGCCAGTGGTCCACGCCGCACCCGTAGTGCATGGTCCAGTAGTATCTCAACCAATTGTACAAACTCCTGTTGTATCCCAACAAATTGTGCAAGCTCCTGTTGTATCTCAACCCATTGTGCAAACCGTCGCTCAACCGGTAGTACAAGCTCCAGTCATTCAGCAGCCAGTTGTTCAAGCACCCATTATCCAACAACCAGTCGTCCAAACTGTAGCTCAACCGATCGTTCAAAAGTATCTCTCGGTTGGTTCTGTTGGCCATGGATGGTGAGTGAAAACATTTATCAGCACAGCAGTTGTAAATAACTAAATATTATTTTATTTACATTGTATTTTTTAACAGTCAAGTTCGTGTTATTTTAATAAGGCAAATAAATTATTTTATCATCTATGTTTTATTTTATTTTTCAAAAAGTTTAGCGCGTTGGGTTTTGCAAAGGAGTAAGAGAGTATTGTTAGGAATGGGATAGTGACCTCATTGTCAACAATGTGCGCTGTTCGGTAGCTCCCCATGCGCTCTTCTTGAAGACCATGAAATTTAATATCTGGTGAATTTGCCAGATTGGACGGACTGACCTGACTAACCTGACTCGATAGTCATATCCTACCATCCTTCACTGGTACACCGCCAGTATACATATACCGTTCGCATTGGCGAGTACTCAATACTATCATCATTCATTAAAAAACCTTCTGTAATTTCACCTGCCTAACTGCACCCTACAATTGAAACGGGTTCACAGAGCAAGCCGTTTGATGGCTGAAACAGGTAGATAGAGGTACCCACGCAGACTATAGTTGACGAATATATACTAGGTGACTCCGCAAATGTAGTTTTCTCATATATAAATTAAAACCACTATTAAAGAATAATTCGTTTCTCTGAATTTTTCAGTGGAATATGCATATAAAATTTCATAAAAACCATTTCGGAGGAGTATGGTAACTAACATTGTTACACGAGAATTTTATATCAACTATGATCTAGTTAGAGAAAATAAAACTTTACTGTGTAAGGCAAGTCGGATGCAGAATGAGAACCTATGTATAGTCATCTTGAGATATAGGACAACACGACTGTACTATGAAAAAGATATCCCATCAACTAATTGAATTAAAGAAGTAAAATCATACCTCCATGGCATATTAGTCCCGAAAGTTATCGATCGATATCACACCAAGGAGGTGAGAGTTTAGATAACTTTCGAGACTAATAATATACTAGGTGCTAAATATATATTACTATGGGACAGTGTGAAGTGATTAATAATGTTATCATTAGTTAATGCTACAGGATATCGATTAATAATATTATGATTAGCTTATATATATATACTACAGGATGACATATGCCCGCAAGCGGCTATGCCTCAGCTTTTTAAATCTCTGCAATCTTCTATTCTATTATATTTTCAAGGAAATTCCTTAGGGGTAGAATTGATCTGCATGAGATGCACAACGTAATACATCCCATACACATATTACGGGGTTGTACGAAGATTATGATTAATTGAAATTAAGATATATTAAGATTTGATTACTTTGTATAGATATAAAGATAATTACATAATGATATTTAATGACGTTGCGCTCGCGCATGGTATGCGTAAAAATCTCAACCGTCGATGTCCTTCCTCCCGCTTCCCTCTCTTCCTCGCCTCTATTGCTAGTGCGTTTACAATATGTAATGTCCTTAATTGGATAAAGAATATTGCTGTGTTGTATAAGATAACTTGGTAAATAATACATTTTTTTTTATAATATGTAAAAGAAAAAATTAGAGAATGCCATATGGCATTAAGCTCACCGAATGTACATTTATTTTATATATTATAGCAGTAAAGGATAAATAAATAAATAAATACAGTTAGACCACTCTTAAAGCTGATTCGTGTAGCACTTCTTGATTAGGTAGTTACTTTTATTATTACTCTATTTTATGTTTACTTTGTTAGTAGTAGTTTAGAACTTAAGGGGGGAGACTCATGTACATGCCTCGAAATCGGTCATTTTTTAATATTTTTTTTACAGTGAAAAAATAATTTAATTGTTTAGAACTTTTAACACAACTTTATTAAACATTTTAAGATTACAAAAAAAAATTTTTTTTTTTAATTCAAAATGGTGGCTCAGCATGATGTCTTGTAGGCTGCCTCTGACGCGAGGTCCGAAACTGCTCCATTTGTCACTCATCAACCATTGATCTGAAAAACAAAAAAAAAAAAATTTTAATTTCAGGACATATAAACGGAAAGGATAAACCTATAAAATTAAAAAGAAAAGGATAAAATCCAATATAAAATCAGCCTTAAAAAAAAGTTACGATTTTGGCCAAAAAAAAAAAGTAATCAATCAAAAATACCCGAAGTTGTAGGTTTATCCTTCCGGTAGTAATGTAGAGAAAAGCCTCACCAAATTTCAAACAAATCGGTCAATAATTTTTTGAGCTACAACACGAGCAGTTTTTCAAAAAGTAGTTTCGAGATAATCGCGTTTAAAGTTTCAGTACAGGAAAATGAGTAGTTTTACTGAATTATTAATTACTTACCGACTAATTTGCAATTCCAGGTCCATATAACAGCCCTTCTGCCTCCTCAAAAAGTTGATTTTCATCTATTTGATGTTGTCTGCGAGCTGAACGAGCATCTTTGGTCTCTGAAAGGCTTTTACGATTCTGTCGGGTTATTCGCTCCTCGTCTGTACTATCCGCAAATATCTTAGCATAAGTGCCAATATTCAGATTCAAAAGGTTCATTATTTTTAATACGGAAGTATAACCTTCATTAAATATCCCAGCAGCAATGTAAGCTGAAATTTCGACTACTTTTAGTCCGGAATGCAGGTGTTTTGGGGATAATCGCCAAACTGTAGCGTTAAAACTTTCGGTCGCGTTCTGCGTATGACCACCAAGGCATCGCTCAAGTAAATCATCATTGGACAAATTTCGATATATTGGTAAAAGATGCTGTTTTAAATCTTGACGAAGTATTTTTATTTATTTATTTACGTACTTGACAATACGTACTTCGGCCCGCTCCACTGTATTAGCTATAACTTTGTAAATATTTGAGATTTTTTTTCCGGCTCGTCAGTACACGCTCAATATAGCATACTTTCAAAATATCGAAAAAAAAAATCGATTTTTTGAAAATTTTACATGGTGCTATCGTCGTCGTCGATTTCTTATTGTATTAATTTATTAATAAAGGCTATAACAGAATAGTAAAGAGGCACTGCCCCCACTGAGTTATAAACCGTTTTGTCCCGTTCATTACTTTTTAATTTTGTTATTGTATGCTTATACAATACAAGTAAAAACGAATACAATTGCTGCTTAGCAATTGTTTCAGTTTTAACTTGAGAACAATAAAAAATATTATTATTTCAATCCGGGGATTCGGAACATAACGGAAAGACGTAGAGGAAGTTCAAGAAACAGCAGCAAGTCTTTCTAATAATAAGCTCAAGGAATTAACTGAACAAAACGAATATAAAAATATTAATAGTAGTAATTTCGAAGAAAAGAAAGAAAGATAGCCTCGTTTATCGCTGTTTCGTTTAGCGCTGGAACTTATTTTAGAAAAATAAAGTTAAATTCCACGCAGACGAAGTCGCGAATACAGCGTGTATAATATAAAAATACTGTAATACAAATATGGTTCGTTGCGTACTATACAATACAATACAATTTCTACATTTATAGAGTATATTAATAAAAAATAAATAGCTTAATGTTTTGCAATGCATTACAATTTATTTAATTTTAATAATATTCCTTGCAGTAAGGATCCTAAGGAGGATGTTATGGATAGAAAAATTTAAACAATTGCCCGGACAAACTCAAAATCCTTATTTTCCTTCATCATGTGGTCAGATTTTTTAGTATAAATTAATGCTGTTATAAAAACGCATTATTAATAGTGTGTGTAGATAAATATGTGTAATATAAACACAATATTTTATATTTGAAATAATACATGAAATAAGAATAAGTATCTTAATATATTTTTATTACATAATATTTTACAATTATTAAGTTTAAAATAATAAGTCTATACATGCAATCCATAACATTATTCTATATGTAGAATAATGTTAGCGTGAGCGTAATGTTACTGTATGCAGTAACATTACGCTCATCTCACCAAATCATGAATGGAAATGTCACAAATATAACAAACTTTATTGTTTGTTGAATCAATATTATAGTGGTACGAAGCACATCACTAGCGATCGCGTGTTCTATGGAACATCAGCAGGCAACTACACCACTATCATGTGAATCGGCCTAACGCTAGTGCCACCACAATCTATGTAATGAATAACTAGCTGTCACCCGCGACATCGTCTGAAAAAAATAATTACCTTTCAGATTAATTTTTGTGATATAAGCCTATGTATGTCCGTACTCAGGACAAGTTAAACTATTCAACTGTTTATATAACATTAGTAAAGATAAAACTGTTTACTGTTAACATTATTTCTATATTGTTTCTATTTGTGAAATCTTATAAGCTTCTATGTTTCAACTTTGTTTCAAGAAAATTTCGTAGCACAACTGTATTTTTGACTAGCTGTTTTTATTATTACATATATTAAAAAACATCCCGAATGAAAAATACGAGTGAAATATAGGAGAATAAAGATAATATACAATACATACAGGAATATGGGCGACGCACCTTTTTATATTTCTGTTATATTATTTTCTATGTATTTTAAAAATCACTATTCTTTTAGCTTGTACTGACAGCTGTTGAATATGGTATTTATGTATGGCAAACGAGATTTTCTTGATAAAACAATAATACCTCAATAAACAGTATATAAAGAACTATCGTTAAAGCTGAGAATAGATAGTGGTTTTGACGGTCAAGGTCGTAAGCTCAAATTTGATGAATACAAAAATAAGAATTGTTTTATTTAACCGTACAAAATTACTTCAAATATAAATTAATCGTAACATAAAATGTAGAAAAAAACATAGTCTGTGGTAACCCTACACAACCCACGAGTGAACTTTTTCAGTAAAACACTACAAGGCTTCAGTAAGTAAAGAGCTATCTAACTGAACGGAGTGCATATAAAAATAATATTAAGAAATACAAAATATAAGCACAGCGTTCCATACATAAAATATACATAGGCAAGAGTTTGTTGATTATATTTTCTATGAACACCTGTTACTGAACTGACTAAACCATTCCGTATGTAGCTATGAGCTATGAACTTTAGCTCCTAACCTTAAAATGGTATATTTCGTAGGTCGTGCATAAATAAATACAGTTTGTTTATTAAAGTCTCGACGATCTTTATGTTTAATTGCTGTAAAGTGCCTCCTACCAATCCCTGCACACCGATATTTGGGAAAAAATGTATTAGTACAGTATAGTAGTATGAATGGTTAACTATGAAATTCCAAGTTCCAAGTTTTACTTGAAGTGATAAGTTATATATTGCGTATTTTCTAAATTTATAATTAATAAATAATATTTAAAATGAATGCGTGGTCTGGAAGAGGCGCAGACATCATGGGGCCATCAGTTACACGTAAGTCTTTTAATACAAATTACTAATATTATGTGTAATATTAGTAATTAGTATTAAATTAACATTATAAAGAGAGTAGATTTTTATAATAAAAGTAAACTCAGAAATCAATGCACCTATTTGATTTAGATTGATATTCTTTGAAAGGTACTGAGCACATCATCATTGTTTTAAAAACAATGTTATTGACAGTAAGTTCATTAATCTAAAATTAACAACTAACTAACATTTAATTAAGATGAACAAATAACTGTATACCTATTTATGGGTCAACCAAAGAATTTAGTCTTACTGAATACTAAAAGAAATAGCTCTATAGATAGCCTCAGTGAAATCTGTGAATGTCAGATATGTACTGAATGTTATAATTTTAATAACGTCAATCTTAGGTCATCGAATAATCTCCAGTTAAATAAAGCCACCAGTACATCATACTACTTTTTATGACATTTCATTCACTGTACTGGCTGTCCAACTATGCAACGAACTACCACTGCCCATACGTAAATTGACATCACTGCCTACCTTTAAATAAAGTGTAAAAAAAATATTATGTACATAAATTATATTCACAGTATGTTACTGTTATGCTATTGTATATATCGATATTATTATTTTGTTTATTTTTATATATATTGCATAATAATGTAGTTGTATGTATGTACATTTACATCATATGTAATTTGAATTTATTTAATAATACTTACAATAATTAATTGTTATACCTCGACCAGAGTCTAATTAGTTCTCTCCATCCTAAATTTGCCTGGAAGAAAACGATTTTTTAATTTTTAGCGATAAGGCAGCCCATTATTATCTCGTATTAATTGTTGTTTTTTTTTATATACTTGGTATACATATTCATTTATGTAATTGTTATTTTCCTTCTGTGAAAAGAACAATAAAGAGTTTTTCATTCAATTTTACTCAAAAAAAAGTTTACTAGACATGCGTGATTTGTTACATCAACACCAATTTAAGAGTTTCTAATACCGTTACAAACACAATTATAATGTTTTTAAATCATATTCTGGAACCAATTACCTTACAAAAATATTTTTAGTTATATTTGCTTTATTGATTGTTTATTTACTCTACAATTATTGTGTTCTGTTGTATAGGTACAGCGAGCTCCAAAATAAACACACCCCCACTCAAAAATGGAAGCGATCTAAGAGAGACAGGGTACTTAATAGCTGTCGGCTCCAGAACAGCTAGGTTAGTGTGGTTTATTTTATAAATTACCTTTTATATAATTGGAAGGGCATACAGATTGACGGCATACCAGGTAGCAAGTCGCCAGCCGGCTTTATACATATAGGAATAGTATCACGTATATACAGTATAGTATAACGTATCAATAAACAAAATTAACTATACTATATGTAAAATTAATATTATATGTACAATAAATATATTTATAGTATTCAATGAACAATACAAACATAAAACATAACACAACCTTAATTTCTACGATGTCCAATTCTCTATATCACGTTTGGGTGACATGCCAAACTTCTGAGAATCCTCGAACAAGTATAAAATCATACGAAGTTCAGTTTCATACTACGGAAAGCGTAGTATAGCGCGAATTTGAATTATTGCCGGACACAATTCTATTAGCGTGCGTGCGTGCAACATGTCTGTAGCCATTAAAAATACAATTTAAAAAATGATTTCCCATTCAATCGCGCGGTCAATAACGAGTAATCGCACTTAAAATGTGTCTTAACAAGTTGATTTTTAAGACATTTCACCTTCATCTTGTTCAGCAGATCAAGAATACAGAATTAAAATCAAGGTAAGTACCATTTTTCTACTGTTTATTTTCTTATTCTCCATTACTATGTACCTACTATGTAAATCTCAACAAGGTTATATAGATTACTTTATTTATTTTACTACTATTACTTTATGCACTAAATAAATTATAAAGAACATAAATAATAGCAACAAAGTAAAAACGACGCATGTCTTAGTCTTATCTCTCTCCAGCATCTCTTCCAGCCAGCCTTTAATAACAAATTAATTTTACCTAAATGGCTTTTTTTTAAAATACATGATACTTTTTGTAGATACATAGATACTTTTTGTAAATTAAAACACAATTAAATATTAACGTTTTGTCTAAAATCCGACAAATGCGATGGATATAACCTCACTCTTTTAGCACTGGTAACTGACTAATACAAGTCCCAACTTATTAAAATTTTGTGCACATCAATTCAATGAGTATTCAAAGATTTTTCTTCATACAGATATAGGATTCCAGTTTCTTAATATAAGTTCGTTGTTTTGTTAGAGTTTCTTGAAGTTTTAAATACAATATAATGTTATATATATATTGTTTTCAACTATTTGTTGCATATACGAGTATAATTTAGTTTTAAATATTTATTTTAATTTTACTTTGTATATAAACATAAATGTCAAATAGGCTTCTTTCTTCAAAATTAGCCCCATATTTGGACCGATTGTTATAGAAGCCAAGCTCGTCCCAAAAGTCTAAAATGTTCCTGGTGTCTTTTCGGAGCGACTTAAGTATTTTGAGGATTTGTGTATTGCTTCAGTATTACATGAGCAGGTGTTTCTTCGGTCTGGAAACAGCCTCAACAAACAGGACGATCAGTAGAGCCTTTTGTTTATAAGTATTTGTTTAAGATTCAGTGGCCCGTTTTAAGTTACTATAACTTAAAACGGGCCACTGAATTTTAATTATTTTAAGATCATTCCGGTTTAGTTATAGTTGATTTACTATCAGAAATGCCACTTGGTAATATACGTGCACTGCTTGTTGACTCGATATGATTATACATAACTACATATAACCATCAACGTATTTGTACATATTTCACACAACCGAGAAAGATTTAGAGTAAGCAATACAAACAGTGTGATTAAGATCGACTGCCAATAACTATGCTACTGGATTAGGAATATAATAAACCGAATATGGATACCCAATAATACCTACTCGAATAGGACGTCTAGCTTTTTTTACATCTGTACATTAATTTTTACATATATAACTGTGAATGCATTCTGCTTTGCATTATTTTTTTATTATTTAATCTTACTACTTCTCAATTTAGTTCTTTATTACAGATTTCGCAGGAAACATACGCACAAAGTGTTATTACTAGCAATAGCAGTACTCCTAATAGTATTACTAATTATTACTATTATATGTAAGTATCATAGAAAACATATTTAATATCTATTATCAGCTACGAAGTTTTGCGATTGATAAATTATTAATTGACCATGTAATTAAAAAGGGCTTCTCAATTTAGACAGTTACACTGTAGGTACATATATTGTCGTTTATAAGCAATAACATTTCCAAACGTGAACCAAATTTCAGATTATTTCAAAAGCAAAATAAATAAAATACAAGATAAAAATAACGATTTGTTATTAATAGTCATTGAAGTGGACCTTTCCCGGAATAACATTATATATTTATATTTGACAGATTTAATAAAAATAAATGAAGTGCCAGTAAGGACCTGTGAAAGTAGAGAGTGCCTCCGTTCTGCATCCAATCTAGCTCTATCGATGGACAAAACTGCAAAGCCATGTGACGATTTTTATCAGGTAAGTATGTAAAGAAACAAATGCAACAGGTAAATTGTACTTGTAATAACCCGTGGAGGGATGGTTGATAAATATTGATTTTTATGAAACGTAGGTCTGCAATGATGTGACGACCAAAAAAATTTAACCGAAAATTGGGTACTCAATATGAAACGAAACCTAATAGGACCTGATGCGAAAAAAGCTAAAAAATGTTAAACTAAACACAGAATGAAATTAGGTTTTTCAATCTTGAGGTCGAATTTACTTAAAAATCTATAGCGACATTTATGTCAAGATCAATTTGTTTTTTAATATCAATCAGACCTTGTTATGACGACCTCAGTCTCTACGTGTGCATGACATATAAACTATTAAACCATTTTCAAAATTTCTAAATTATTATTTACAATGTGGCTTATTACATTTACATTTACAAAGAGAAGGCACGCTAATATTTTTTATTTTAATATGCGTAAAAAATACATTAAATCAATAAACAAAACATTAAACACACTATCATGTAATTGACACCCATATACATTGAAGTATAGTCTTTAATAATTGTTGGATTACGAACCCGTATAAAGAATAAATAAAAATAGAGAGTGGTCTGTATTTTTTTTTAAATAAAATAATTATTGCAAAAGGAAAGCAAAATACGATTTTGCCCTAGGAAAACGTCTTCCACACTCCTAACACCCCGAAGTAAGCAAAGAAAAATCAAACTTACTCACCTTTGATCAGCAAGCATAAATTTCATCCCCCTTTCAAACCCTTACAACCCTTTTTTCGCATTAAAAAGTAGCCTGTGTCCTTTTCAGGGTCTTCTAGACATCTTCATACCAAATTTCATTTAAATCGGTTTAGTAGTTTTGACGTGAAAACGAGACAGACAGACAGAGTTATATTCGCATTTATAATATTAGTAAAGATTATGTGCATTGAAGTTAAACAAATGAATAAATAAGTATATAACTCTAATGCCTTGACATGGTCAATTCTAGCATCCGGTAACAGTTTACGAAATCGTTCACGCCTATGAATCATATGATTTTGATTACAATGAAGACAAATAAATTTAGGATTAATATAATTCGATTTAAAATTATTATTTGACACCACTGATGAAGTCGTAAGAGCTTGTTTTCCCGATAAAGAACGCGGTTTATAATTATTGTATTACATTTGATTTTTTTGTAACGGTATTAAATTTCCAGTACCACGGAACTATACGATAGATTGTGTGTTGAAGTACCTTAATTTGATTGTTTACGAAACTCATTTATTCTGCAAAACACGGAAGTGACTGTTGGCTGCGGCCATCTTTAAATAATTTTATAGTGGTTGTATCTAATCCACGTAACGCTAAATGACAAATTAAATAATCACCTAAATTATCCATTTTCAACGCTTCGATTGACTTTCATGAATTATCGAAGATATCTATGAATAAACTTAGGTTTGCCGCAGAGATCTTTCCGATCGAAGTGAATTTAAGAATTTTATCTAAATATCGACCTACTAATATTCTGTAGTCTTGATATTTGTCTACTAAGCATCGCCAGGCAAGTGGACAGTTATTAGAAGTACCTAACAGAAATTTCGAAACTATGTTACGTGCTTAACCTTTTACACAAGATAATAAGTAATGAAATTTGTCAATATTTTCAAAATGGCGTTCTTTTTTTTATTTATTTATAATTTCTATTGTACAATAAAGTATAACAAACAAACGTTTATGAACCAATGATAAGAAGTATCATGAAAGCTAGCCCAGTTTTCTAATTGGTATTAGAGCTACTAAAGTTGTAAAGACGGCTTATATTTTTAGCCGATTATAATTTTTATTTCTTGAGGTACTCTCTAACGTTTGATATTTTATACATATGTATATGCTGATCTACAATCATAGTATTTATGAATGTTTCAAATTAATCCAATTCCCTAGTAGAGTATTTAGCATCAGGATTTAACTGAATTTCGATTTACAATATTTCCATAATTCTCTCTTCAAAACGTGTTCTAACATTATCTAAATCAAAAATTTCAGCAAAATACTTGAAAATTACTTTTAGTCAAGGACTTTGACAAATCATAAACCTTTTGTTTTTCGAAAATATCAGAATTTATTTTATTGGTATTAAATACCTCATATTAACAGAAAAAATATATATATTCATTTATACCTACATATTTATTAAAGTCTCAGCAAAAAATAAAACAATATTCTATTCGAAATGACCACCTTTGGCTTTTATATAGGCCTATCTCTTTGGCCACGAATCTATGCATTTACTCACTGTTTCCAAAGGATATTTCGACATAGCGTACTTCAAAGATTTTTTAAGAGACTCAATGAGGCCATTTCCTCTAAAACTGACCATAATTTGAAGTCTAATGGGTTGACTTTTATAAAGTCCGGAATTTTGTTTTCAAGCTAGGCTTACGTAGTTCGAGCCTCATGACCAGAGTCAGAGACTATACATATTTGTGGAAGAAGCTCTATAGGCCCAGTTACATAAGTTCCTGCGAGTATTGTCTACTTATATGCTGCTTCATCAACAATGGCTACCTCGGTAGATAGGTTAATTTATGGTCTATCAAAGAATTAAGTTTTCTTCTGTCTATTTTAATTATTGTTTAATTAATTTGGTATGTTACAGTATGTATGTGGCAACTGGCCCGAAGATCACCCGCGACCTGATGCCTACCGGTCGTATGATTGGTTTAGAGAAAAGCAAAACAAAGTGTATGCACTAGTGCGAGATTTTCTTGCCAAGAATATTAGTGATCGACCACGGCCTGTGCAGCAAGCAAAAGATTTGTACAATGCTTGTATGGACACTGGTATGTTACAGTTACATTCCTCCGGTCCCACTTATTTTTTTATGTTAACATGAAGAGTATATTTTATAGTTATACCCGATAACGGTTCATTATTAAGAGATTAAAATTTTAACTGAATAAATCAGTCAGCAGTCAGCAGAAAAGATTCACTCACCGTACTGTACACACACAACAAGTATAGTAACGTACTTTTTTTTTAATTAAAGGTACTACGGACTTTTTAAATAGGTAATGAAATAGTCTTCCGCCAAATAAATAGAGTAACGGAACAATATCTGTAATTTAATCACAATCAAATCGCCTATTCTGAAGTCAAACTCAATGGCATAGCGTTGGAAAGGGTGCAATAATATCAAATACTTGAGAATTTAATTAAAGAAAATCGTCACGTCCATGACGATGATACAAACGCATACAAGAACGTCATTCACATCTGGCTAAATCTATTATTCATGTCACCATTGACATTAAATATATGGTATATACTACTTACCAACGGCTATATTAAATTGGTTTACATGTAATAACCCATTATTCAATTCCAGCAAAACAAAGTGTGTAAAATTTACATTTCCTAATGTAAGACTAATAAATACACAGTTATTGCTGAATGATGAAATAGTAAATTTTGTTAATGATACATTTTTTTAGGAATAACTCGAAATTACAATGGGGGCCCCATATTTCAAAATTAGCCAGTAGACTCAGTTCTGCTGCATGTGCAATTAGAAGAATTAGGCAATTAACTGAGGTGGCGGCGGCTAAACTTGTATATTTTAGTTATTTCCATAGCATTATTTCATACTACATACTGCTGATCTCTCTCTCTATGTCTAATCACTATGACTGATTTCTTATAATTAATTGTTTAACCAGTTGGTTATATATTTCATATTTCTCTATTTGAGTATTTAATTAAATTAGTGCTAATTGGTAGTTTGTATTCACACTTAAACTTAAAAATGTAAAGTAAGAATAAAATTAGTTAAAAGAGCAACATGCAAGTTTCTTGCTCGTTCTTCTTGTGATGAGACAGCATTCCGAATGTGATGACTATTCAAAAGTAAGTAAGTTTATTTGAATAAATGAATTGAATTGAAAATTATTTTCTATTCTATTCAACACAAATTTGCTTAAGATCTCCAATCTCTGCTCTTGTAGTTGCCGGTGGACTAGTTCTTTTCGTTTCAAACATTTTCCGGGCGTAATACAAACCTGTAATATGGTTGGTAAAATAGTATCTATATTTAAAGTAAAATAGTTGCTTTAAATTTCAACAAAATCTAATATACATAGTACTGAGATTATTCGCGTAATACCACTGTACTCGTAAATATCTCATCACAGTAGGTTTTACACCACCATTTGGCATCTCTGAACGCACAACCGAAATATGGGACTGCGTCCTGGACTAATCCTGTCGTATAGATAATAGATGTAGTTGCTCCCATCTGCAATTAGTTACAGAATAATTATATAGAACGAGGTAATATTCTACCGTTAACTTAATGTATATAACATAATATTTCCTTTATCGAATAACCAGGATGGTACTAGAAATAACATTACCTTTCTTATAGATATAATATATGGAATGATTGCAGCAATCATAAATTGTTAATAAATAAGATTTTTTACAAATATTTTTATACAAGTAATTGCCTCGTCAAAAAGACATCGTTTTTGTTTTTCAGAGACATTGGATAAACTTGGACTGAAACCCATGTTTAAAATTTTAAATACTCTAGGATTACCTCTTTTTCCCACATATATAAATGTTACCAAAGATTTTGATTACTCTGCTTACAAATTTGACTGGCTAGAAACAGTAATTAAAATCAAAGTCGAACTAGGAATGGACGTACTTATAGGCTTCGATATTTTCACGGATCCTAAAAATTCGTCAATTTATAGACTTGTAATGGGATCACCAGAAACCACGGATCCTTTTCCAAGGTACGTAAATATTTTTTTATTACAAGACTACTCTTCCGTTCATATTCAATAACTTCAATGCGATAGTTCATATTAAAGAATATTAAATCGTGTTTTAATTGGCACCGGAACGAATCTCTGGCTCTAATATAAAATATATGTAGATATCATATTTTTTCTATACATCTGGGATTTTAAAACGCTGACCATCCACCTGACATCACGTTGTCTTCTAACACCTGGAGCGTTTCAAATTCTCGAGGCCTATCGTGTCTTACCACTGCACTCTGTAATTTCACTACCATACCTTCCCCTTCAACCAAAACGTAACTTACAAACCTACTTGGTATTGGATATTTTATTATAAAAGTAATCGTTTTTAGCATGCATAACAATAAAAAGAAACACATTGGATATAAAAATAAAAAACCATTTAAAATACCCACAAATGACGTCGGTGTGAACGAGACATTTGTAACATATAATGATGGAGTTGGTAATGCAGAAGACAATACGAAACAAGACGACGAAATAGAGAAAACAGAACGTATACACAAATTATTTTATGCAGAATTAATAAAACAATTCGTAATAGAAACAGAGGCATTAAAAGATTCAAATTTAAGTGAAGCTGAATACAATAGCAATATAATTTTAACAGCAAACAAATATTTCGTGATTGATAACGACGTGTATGAGGTAATGTACTTTACATTATTCTTATAGCAAATAAGTAGAACCAATATATTTGTAATATTATATTATATTATGTCATAATATTTATTTACAGAATTGTAAATTGATCACTGTTAGTGTTTTTCTTTATTTATTCAACTCATGTGCCGCCTTTGCACTTACTTTTATTTTAAGTCTAGAGTTCTATATTTCCTTTTAATTTTGGTGTAATGAAGTATAATAAATTAAATTCGATTTATTCGATTAATTACTTATATATTATTGTGCATAATTTTTATTTTAAGGTACAAAAAACAAGAATTTGTACAAATTAAGTATTCTCAATTCTAATTATAAATTATTTACTTAATTATACAATCTTCTCTAGTGGCCTTGTTAATATAGGTCTTCTGCCAAGAAGAAAACATCAACACGCTTTAATAAAGCATAGACTTACTTTACAATTTAAATCTTAATATTTTCTGTACACCGCGATATGTGGTGATGATGATAGATATGATAATCAATTCATGATTCAATATTATAATTTCATGTATTAATTATTATTCATATTCTTACTATAATATTCTTAGTAAAATTTATAAGAAATTAAAGAGTATGTAAAATATGAATAATTTTATTTATGAGTATCTTTTGTTAATATTGAGTCGGTCGAATTACGAGTACATAAGTATTACTATTTTCAGTTCGAAACTAACAATGAGACTGACACTGATGCCCAGGAATTTTTGCATATACCAGAACTTACGGTTAATGAATTACAAAATCTCACGGACATAATTGTTGAAAGTGATAATGGCACAGTAATGCCTACATGGAAGAAATATTTAGAAGGAATTTTCAGTATCAGTAATGTTACTTTAAACTTCGAAACAGATAAAATTCTTGTATCTCAATCTGATTTAAAATATTTAGGTATTATGGCAGCGTATCTTTCTAATACACCTCCCGTTATCATTGAGTTATATATTTGGATGAAGGTAAGTATTCGATCTACTTATACATTTTAATTAATTATTTGATAATATTTCTTCTATGATTTCATAATACTTGGTAATTTAATTAATCGGAGGGTTTCTACAATTATTTATAATTGTCGTAATTCTAACCATACTTAATATACAATTAATTCAATTGTTTTTATTTCCCTAATTTATAACACACGTTTTTTTTAAAAACCATTCAATATTGTTATTATAATATTGAATGCTTTTCAAGACACTTTTTTATTATTTATTTTATATTATTTAGTTGCAGTTACACAAAGTCTTCCAATGATTGTGAGTATGATAGTGCAGTGTACAAATATTTGTGTTTGTGTGTACTTTGTGTCTGTGTGTATGTGTTTATTTAATAAAGTTATATGGGTACCGTCAAACCTACTAACTCTACCCATTATATATAAGCTACCCACTCTGTCTATATACATTATAAATATATATAGACAGAGTGGGTAGGTAATACTTTGCCCGAAATTAAAAACAAACCTTCAAAGGAGTTACTTATTTTTGATTGGTTGAATTACAAATATATAAAATTTTATTTAAACGAATTATGAAAATATGTTCTGTATGCGTTGTCAAAATTTGAGCAACCATTATGCCGTCCTCTGTGGTCTTGTGGTTAAGCACACCGCTTTACTTCCGATGGTCTTGGGTTCGATTCCTCACATGGTGCAAATATTTGTATTAATGAGTATAAGTGTTTATATCGCTCTGGGTGTTTTCTATATATATTATTTATTTACAAAAAAAACTATATATTTATATCAGTTGTCCAGTATGTTATGTAGTAACCATAATTAATGTAAATGTGTATGTGTTATGTCATCTATATAAATATATAATAAACACCTAGTGAAACACAATTAGCCCTACGAAATCTTCTGCTGTATCAAATCGCAGCTGAAGTCAATATGTTAATAAGAAAGAATAATGTTAGTGAAACAAATAAAATTAAAAAAACACCTTAATACAAGCTTTGCTTACCGTACTGGATGGCGCTGTGTTAATTGTCTAGTGTTATTTATTGATTTTGACTTAGTGTTAATAAAGTTATACATGGGCTCGTTAACTTACCAACATTCTTCAGTTATTATCATACATAGAATCAGTGACGGTAAGTGGTGAGGATCTTAACAGTAGTTACAAATATTGTCAACTATACATAATTATACAGTTTATTCTAAAATGTATCACAATAAAATTAATATTTGTGAACCAGGATTAATAATAGACTTTAAATCTTTTCCTTTTCCATATTTCGCCTACTCTTGGTATGTGTTTTCGACTTTTTAAAATGACGTTAATCAAATAGGTTACGATTTTTGATACTAGTGTCAGAATCGTATGGGTATTTATTTAAGATATACTTTGTTAGTTAATTAATAAAAGAATCCCGTTAATTATGATTATCTACATTCGGTTCAAAATTACATAAATATATATAGGGAATCGACAGCATAGGATAAATTAGGAACCGTCCTTTAACTGCGCTGGGATATTTTAAAGTATTGTGATATTGTTTAAAAAATGTATGGATTCTGTTCCTATTTCTAAACCCAATGGCTACAATAAAATACAATGGCTCTGGAAGTGGAAGCAATTGTATCAATTTCACCTTTCTATTTGCGCAGCACAATCCATTAGCTTCATTTTTGTATTTCAATGCTTTACTGGCAAACTGAGTTCATAGGTCTAATAGTAACACAGTTGTAGGTACTGTAATCAATTGACATATAGAAAGAAAGCAGCTCGATTGAAACTTGCTTCATTATTAGTCGAATGTCGCGCTTCACGGGTCTGTTTTACCCGAATTACCTATGTCATCATGAACATGTTCATTGCGATCTTTCTGGGCAGTACGAATAGAGGGATAATTAATTTGATTCGTTGTATTTCGGGTTCTTCTGTCCAAATATTACGATTATATAAGAATCGTCATATATATATTACATATACAAATATCTACATAGGTCACAAAAGTTATGTCTGCACACACAACGAAAGAGCTGCGAATGTTATATCAACGTTCATATGAAGAGATCAGAGCCCACCGCCCAGAATTTTCATTACCACCTCGCAGTCTACAATGTGCCAATACGGTTATTGATTTAATGGGGATGGCCGTATCATATGCTATTATTGAACCTGATTTCTGGAACGTCACCAGACCTAAGGTATTGTGTAATTTTTCTTTTTGTTTTCTTTTATTTCTTTGACAACTTGTTTATAATGTTTGTCTTATGGTTGCCAAGCATCCCGCCGGAGTCGCTTCATTATGCTGATCCTACATCGCGACTACGGCAATGGCAACTATAGGTACAGAGTACCGGTATATTGTGTGGTTTCTATTGACTAAAAATCCCCCGCACAATCAGGCAATCTAAGTCTTTGTGTGATTAAAAAAATAAGGTTTCAAGTATGGCATAATTCATGCCATACTTGAAACCTTAAGAAAGAATAGTTAGTAAGCTAGAATTTTTGATATTAAAAAAAATCTTTTATATATTTTTTAAAATAAAGTAAATAAATGTTGTGTTAGTATTCATAATTAGGCATATTAAATGTACTTATTACATATAAATGCATATAGCTTATGTATCAACATCTTTTTAGGTCCAAACAATGCTCGACGGAATAAAAAACGCCTTAGCACATTTAGTTGGCCAGACAAAATGGATGGATGATGACACTAAGTTGGCCACTTACCAGAAAATAATAGAAATGAAAACACTAATTGGCTTTCCGGATTGGTTGTTCGAAGAAGGTGCATTAGAAGAATTCTATAGTGGTATAGAAATAAACCCTGACACGCACTTGGACAATATGATAAATGTAATTCAAGCGAAAGTAAAGAAAGTATTGAATAAGTACCGGGATGAACACAATTTTACATGGGCTACCTATCCTACGGAAGTAAATGCTTATCACACATTTCAGGAAAATACAATAAGTAAGTTGTCACAATATTATAAATATATATTGCCCACGGTTACATCAAAAATAAACTTAAAAGCTAATACCATAAGCCATTCTAATTGTCCTAGGATCACATACACTGTTCTGGTCCTGCAGGATCTGCAGGGAATATTGGATTGTTTGTCTATGTTCATGTAAAATTAAAAAGCCTTCATTGACTATATTATAAATTATATTTCAGGGCATTTGTCATCAGTAATTTATACATATAAATAAAATTGGAGTGTCGGTTTGTAAAATTTAAATAACCGTTTAATACATTCATATGAATTTACTACATTCATATGAATTGTAATACACAAAAACATTTTTTTTTACAATTTTTGTCTGTCTGTCTGTTTGTTCCAGCTAATCTCTAAATTCGCTGGAGCGATTTTATTGGCAGGTAGCTGATATAATAAGGAGTAACTTAACCTACTTTTTTTAAACTTTTTTGTTAAAATTCACGCGGACGTAGTCGCGTGTAGAGCCAGTATTTAAATAAATTGATATCCATATTCTTATTATGCTACACACATACAACTTCACTGACTGAAGATTATCTTAAACTATTTCTTTTTCAGCTGTGCCAATGGTAATGTTGCAGTACCCGTTTTACAATTTAGGACTTGAGTAAGTTTGTAAAAAAATTTTGTCTTTGTTTTAATGCTTTTTTCTTGTTCTCATTCATTTAGACATCTGTCCATTAGCTTTTATCACATTTAATATCTTTGTGTCGTTTATATATCGTCATGTATAAAGGCGACGCTTACAAGTTACCATAAGATGGGCCAGCTAGTATGCTATACAATATATTAAAATATCTATTTTAAGGTCTATTTATTTAAAATCTGTTTTAATCTATTTTTCTACTTTTCTTTTGAAACGTAATCAAGGCTATAATACCAATAACTCGATAACAATGTCAGTTAGTTTTTTCGTTGATACATTAGATAGTAGGTATATTATCATTGCATCATTGCCTTGCCTTTATCCCATTATTTGGGGTCGGCGCAGTATGTCATTCTCTTCCACTGCTCTCTATCAGTCGTCATATCTAAACATACTCTTCTTTTATTCATATCATCTTTCACACAATCCATCCATCTTTTCTTAGGGCGTCCCCTCCCTTTACATCCATCCACATTCATATTATACACTTTCCATAAGACATGGTCCTCATTCCTCCGCATAACATGCCCATACCATAGTAGGTACATTATATTATTACGAAATTGGACGATCCTTAAATTGGAATTAGAGAGTAGACCGGTCTACTAGTAGAAGTGTTCTGGCTAATTGCGGGTTATGTTGGTAGATTCTGTTTATATTATTTACAAGATCGTTCTATTTTTCTATGGATAGTTGGAATTTCGATGTATTAATGTATGTCTTGTTTTTTGATTGATTGACCATCTTTAGCATTCAAATATTGAAAATACCAAAATAGAATATTTTGGTGTATTCAATATTATAATTATTTTAATATGATTATAATTATTTATCAATTTCCAGGGCTATATGGCTTAGACTTTAAAGATGCACTTGTACAGCAGAAGTTTATTTTGCATACTTCATTTTACCTAGCATACCTAGATGTGTAACTTTGTTGTTATGAGGCGGTTCAAAAGTATTAAACACTGACATTATTGTTTTTATGTTTACAATTCTTGCAGCTCTCTCAATTATGGATCTTTAGGAACAGTACTCGGTCATGAAGTAACACACGGCTTCGACAATTTTGGTAAGTAATCTCAGATAACTCTTTTGCCGTTCGGAGAAAATTATATTCAACATACCTATACAATGTGCTATATATAGCAGCGTTGTAGCCTAGTTTATATATGTTTTTAATATAGCAAAAGACCAATACAGAAGTAATAAAAATACAACGTTAAATGTTAATATCTGTTCAGCTATTTAGTCGTGAACAGATACACAGACACTCTTTCAAATTGATATTAGTAGAAAAGGTAATTATATATATAGTATAGATTTCGCAGTAACTATCACTGAATCTGACTATTTATACACAGTCATTTTAAATGATAAATTGCAGTCTGTAAGATTCTATGTGGTATTTGACGTTCGAAAATATATAATATCGAAATTGATACATTAAATTACAATTCAATTCATGTAGGAAAAAGATTTTTTTTCAGGAATTGCAATCCAGAACAGTAACTATGTATTATATTTCTCGACTTCAGGTCGTCTGTTTGATAAGAATGGCAATCTTCTACCTTGGTGGACTAATGCCACTATAGAGTCGTTCGTCAACATGACCGAGTGCTTTGTCGATCAATACTCGGGATATTATCTACCAGAATTAAATGAATATGTAAGTTTGATTACTGTCATTTTTTCTTACTTTATTTAATACTGTAAGTTATTTAACTTTAATATCAAAATAATAATTACACTGTATTTTTTATATATGTAATGATTATTCAAAATTATTCTTTGTATATATTCCTTACAGTTGTCATTTTTTAGATATGTTACTAAAGATATTATTTAATACAAAAGGATGTATTTTTATGTAATCATTATACTTGTATGTATTGAGTAGAACGAGATAATTCCTTCAGTACTTACTGTTATTTTAAGTTATTGATAGTTTAACATATTATTTTGGTTATTAAAAGTACCAAAATAATCTTATAGAAGAAAACTTTATATAACTTGAAATACCTGAGAATAATCGATAATATTCGATAATATTCAACATATAATTTTTAATTTATATTCTTCATCACACGATCCGTCAGATCGTTTACAAATGTACATCGTTAAAGTATCCTTAATGTTATTTTGAAATACAAAAATCTGTATATTTACTCAAGTAACTTTTATATAAAATGTATAAAAGTAACAGTATTAAAGGAATTATATATCAGACCCACAATTTCAGCTAAATGGTAAAAAAACTTTGGGTGAAAACATCGCCGACAATGGGGGGGTGAGGGAGGCATTTATAGCACTGACACGTCATCTACACAAGCATGGCTCTGAAGATAAACTGCCTGGCTTCGAGGATATGTCTTCGGAACAGCTATTTTTCTTATCTTATCAAAATGTAAGTTTGTACTTTAAAATGTTTTATTGTAATAACCCGTTATATATTTATTTAAACTTTATAGAAAAACTCATATTAGCCATAAGAAGTTCGGCTCACTGACATATTCCTGTAAGAAAATGTATCACATACTATTTACATGGGACTGACAATAAGTTTTGAATTAAATCGACCACGATATTATTTTCAGTGTAACTTATAAATGTAAATTATTTCAGTTATGGTGTGGAGTCTCAACTGTGGACTCATTGGAAGCTGATCTAAATGATGAGCATTCGCCCCAAAAATTCAGAGCTCGAGGTGCGTTGCAGAATAATAATGAATTTGCTAAAGCCTGGCAATGTCCTTCCGGTAGTCCAATGAACCCCACCCAAAAATGTGTCATCTTCTAAATAAATAAAATTAACTTTTCAATTATCAATTGCTTCAAACCTGCTATATTACATTTACAACCGAGTATATTACATTTTTATTGTCTATCAGTAATAAATGTTTTACAAGAATCGTAAATGAAAAGTTTAAGATGGAAAAATTATCCACTCTAATGGAATTTGCTTCAAATTGGAAAAATACAGGAATGATGATAATGTAAAAATAAAAGCCCATTTTAATGTTCTTGTATATTATTTTTATTTATCGGAAATATTTTATAATACACATTGTGAGTAAGTAGGTACTCTGTTAGGCTAAAATTATATACATCCCAAACTTTGTCAATCATAAGACATATTTTGCAAAATATTTGTGTAACCTCTCTTGAAGAAATAGACTACAATCGATAAACTAAAGAAATACTCAGCCAATTATTTGAAAACCAACTTCAATTTGTACTTCTTTGATTCTAAAGAAATTAAAATAGTTTTTTATTTTATTTTAATATAGATACATATATATACAAATTATGAAATTGTATATACAAAAATGTAATGCTTTTAATTCTCCTTATATTTAGAATGTGATGTGAAGTTAGAACAGTTAGAAACTTAATTTCATAAACCAAGATTTAAAAAAGATAAGTCTGAAGACGGTAAGCCGAGCGATCTTACCGGCACCGCAGCACCTGAAGGTATGGCAGGTATAGTAGATAAAGCTGGTAGGGATGAAAGGGATGCTAATTGCACCGGTACTCTTCTTTCAATGGCCACAGGTTGAGGCAGCGGTATTGGCCTCTCTACTATCACCGGTTGTGGCACTGGTACAGGTCTATCCACTTGCACTGGCACTGGAACATTGACCGGCCGATCGACGTACACCGCGTGTGGAACAGGTACGGGTCGATCAACATAAACTGGCCAATCGACAGCCACTTGCTTCTCCACAGGCACCGGAACCGGAACAGATACCGGCACTGGAACCTTAACAGGGTATGGCACTTTCTTTTCGTAATATACCGGCACTTGTTTTGTCACCTCCACTGGAACTTTATGCACTACAGGTACAGGTACTGGTACATGAACAGGCACCTGGATGTCCCTAGTTATCGTGCGAGTGATATATCTTGGAACTTCCTGCCTTAGAATAACTGGGTTAGGCTCTATAGCGACTGAAGTTTGTACTGCAGGGGCTGTGAGAACAGGTGCTGGTACAGCCGGGCTTGCAGCTACTACTGCCGGGGCAGGAGAAGCAATGGCTGGTAAAATAGCAGGTGCTGTAGGACTAACAAGTGATACACCAAAAGAAGGAGTAATCGCTGTACCGAATGGAGATCCCAAATATGGCAACGTTCCATAGCCAGTTTGATAAATTGCTCGCTTTAAATTCTTAGTAGGGTTTGGAATTTCCTTTATTCCATCTTTTTCTATGAGCTCTGATAACTTTGTATTATCTTCAATTTCTTTCGTTAATATTACTCTGCTCGATATTAACAGCACCTGTTAAATACGATGATAAAGTACAGTTTAGTAAAATATTTTACTTTAAATAATTTACTTTTTGAAATTACTATTATAGGTACAGAGACACAACATTTTACTAATAGAATGTATTAAGTGTAAATTATAGAGTTCCTTCTACTTTCTTATTATAGTAAATTCGACAGACCGACATTTGTTAATACTTTTTATGTTTAACTGATATGTAGATCTAGATTAAGAGAAGGCTAGTTGGATGGAGTAAGCATTGCAGGTATTATATCAGCGGGTTTAATACACAGGTCAAGGTGAAGTCTAGTGTATGGACTATACTACCATATCTAAATATCTATTTTGTACATAGGTTCAATGCTTATAAATAGAAATAAAAATAATCTTTATTCAAATAAGCTCATTACAAGCACTTTTGAATAGTCATATTTTGATACTACCACTCATTCGGAATGCAGATTCCTCACAAGATTTAGCAAGAAACTTGTATCTTTTGAATAGATGTTTTTTATATAAATAATAACAGTATAACAAGTAAGAGGCATGCGATAAAAATACGCACTCATTATTAATGTAATCAGATAATATTGTCAGCGCTATGGGTTTAAGATTTTCTATAAAAGCATTATTATCGTTAACGAATTCTTTTTATAGTAAGCTTTTTAGCAAAGGAAGTGTTTTATATGACATTTAAATCTTATTCAGGCAAATTTATAATAGACTCTGGTATTGTGTTGTATAACCTTACGCAATTGCCATAAAACGAATTACTAACTTTAGTTAAACGACATTTAGGTAAAATCTGTTTGTTATTGTTACGTAACCTTTTATTAGTGTAATCACTAACTATTTTGAAATTGTCTATATTCTTCCTGGTATATATAATATTTTCTTAAATGTATTGAGAAGCAACGGTTAGGATATTTGATATCTTAAAGTACTCTCGTAATAACTCCCTGGAATTCAAGTTGTAATAATAATTCAATAACACAATTGTATGATACTACAATCATAATATATATTTTTATAATAGCAACTGCTTATTTGATCTTGGTTGGTGTTTTAGGGAAGTCATTATAGTGTTATATCGTTTTCGTGCATATAAAAGAAAAGTTCACAGTTTTCGGTCCGTAATTTGTAATTCAAGTTCAAGTTTAAAAGAGTTAGTGAATGTTGCTCATGGACTTGCTTAGTGAATAATGTATTTAAAACAAATATAACACAGCCCGTTGATAACAACTTTTATGATACACCACTATACTCGAGGAGGTCTAGGAAGCGATCCCCACCATTTCTCTGATATAATTCCTGATTTTAGAGTCATTGGTAGGTTGTGTTATATGCTGTTCCCGAAATTATGTGCGATTTAGACATCATAAAACAGTAGGTAGCTCATTGAAATAATATAAAAAAAACTTCTCTAGCGAATATATTTGTCAGTTCGGTTCATATTTGAGGGCCTCGGTGGTCTAGCAGTTTAGCTTATCGCTTTACTTCCGGCGGTCGCAGATTTGGTTCCTCGTCTCGAAAACTTTTGTATTCGTGAATTTGAGAGAGATTTTTTTTTATCCGTCTGAGCGTAATGCCTTAAAACTCAGACGGTAATAATAATTTGTAATTTTATTATATACAAAATATCATCGTTATTGCTATTCCTGACAGAGCAATAATTAATTATACCTACTTACGCTACGCTAAATGTATGTGCGAGATTTTTTTATTCTATAACAGTGTGACACAGTTTGTAAAAGGTCAGCCAGTCCAATGTGGAGGTAGGAATATGGTTAGATACAGAGCGAATAATCACTACGTACTTAGTACCTAGGCGTAAGTAAATAACAGCATGGTCAGAACATTGACACAATAGAACATGGTCGTAATATAATAATGACTCCCGTAAAAGACTTTTTAGAATAATTACTTGTGATATTTTAAAACAGTTGTTTAATCCCAGTAAGGTTCCCAGTTTCAATAAAATTATCAGTATACACATCTTAATTAAACATACATTATTCTAGAAATTATATAAATACATATACGAATCTAAATACACTCGCATATACCTGAGGGGACTCCAGGAAGATAATATGTATGTTCGTTCGATTTTTTAGGAAACTTGGGTGATATATTACCTACTTAGTGTAATTTCACATCCTTGACAATTTTTTTTTGTATTGTTGTCGTTTCTGTATTTGAAGATTGTTATTACCTACTATTTATTCGCTAAGTCAATAATAACATGTAACGAAAACGAAGTCACCGGCAGAAACTATAATAGTTTAATTTAACTTTTTTTAACTGGAGTTTAACTAGAGATTAAAACAAATTAATTATAGCACTAATAAGATTGCTACTCAATGTTTTATTTTCCTGGTGGTTTACAATTACAACATAATTATTAAACCGCAAATAGATACATAATTTCATTGAGCGATGTAATAAACATCGGAAGTCTTGCTGCTTTATTTAACATGGAATTCGTAACGGTGTTAACGCAATTATTCAATAAATAATATGTAATTGTAATTTATAGTCAGTGTTATCATCAATTGTTACAAGTAATTCTTATTTTGTATACTAGTAGAGACTGCGGTTTCGTACGTTTACATTTGTAGATTATAATACATTGATGGTTAATAGAACAACAACAATATATAAAACATCTAATAAATACTATTATTGGCTTCGGTGATGTAATCTTTTGAGATACCGTCTTACTTCCAATGGTCACGGGTTCGATTCCGCGCACGGTATAAACATTTGTATTCATGAGCATGATTGTTTACATCCGTTTGGGTGTTTTCTGTGTATATGTATGTTTTTTTATAAAATAATTGTATCTGTAAATTTATATCTGTTGTCTAGTACCCATAGCACAAATTGTGTCAGCTTACCGACTATTTAGAGCTGTGTGAATTGCCTTATTATTATTTGATGAATTAATTAATCGTAGATGTCTTATTAAAAATTGTACACAAAATTAATTATTACCTTAATTTAACGACATATGTACTCTACGAAAATTTAACACAAACAAACAAATCATTTTTGCTTCGTCACGACTCTACGTTTTTATGACATGATATAAAAATACTTTTCAGCAATGATTTGTTACACTTTAGAACTAGTCTACTTACTTTCTATTTATATGTTGTTATCCATCGTTTCGTCTGCTTTTTTTGAGGTAAAGTATACCTTATTCAAATCTATCTTCAAGTCAAATTTTACTAAGATCCGTTCAGATGATTAAGTTATAAAAAGATGACAACAGACTAACTGATAAACAAACTCTCATTTTTAATTACATATAGTATAGATTCTATTCATATTTTTATTTTATTATACAATCCCTAAATAATCAGTATAAAAAAATCATTCTTACCATTAAAAAAATAACAAACGCCATTATAATTCTTTAAATTGAGATCACAGCGGTATCACATTACTTTTTATCGAATATCAAAGTATCAAAGGACCGAACGATTGGGAATATCGAGCTTATGTGATGTCGATTAGTGTTTTACCGTTTTATATAGAGGTAAGGCAGTAACAGTTCTAAGCCGAGCGAAACGACTACTTGTTCGCATTAGGTTGAACAATTTTATTTGAAACTAGGTACCAGCGAATTCCTATACGTCTGTACATGTGTAATCGCCATCTATTGATGGTAATCGAACGACAATAATATTTCGCAGCCTCTACAGGACGCTGTGTATTGTATTCGATATTAAAATATATAAAGAAGAGTATAAATTTTAATAAATATAAAGTATCATATATTAAAATTTATATTCTAACGCGGATTACTTTAAAAACTACTAAAATACAAAGTTGTACTGATATTATACGGCAAGTTAGACGCTAAAGGTATCTTGGTAACCTGTTAAGAAATTCGAGAAAATTCCAAGACTTAAAAAGTTAACGCATTTAATAAATAGAAAATTAATGTATAAGCATTTACGATATGTGGGTATGGTGAAAGATCATAATAATTATCCCAGATGGGGTAGGCAGTGGCATGCTCTATGTCAAAAACGTAATACAAGACATGCCCACATTATAACTGGTTTGAATTTGACAAACAAACTGATACTTGAATCCGACGAAGGTGAGGACTGGCCTACAGCCGAATCTTAGATTAATTTGGTTTCTATCGCTGTTTTCGTCACTGCAGAGTGAGGTTTTTTAGTGTCAGCGAGAATCGAACTCAAGACTTCGAGTCTTCAGGAGTCTAGTTATAAACCAATAAGTCATGACGCTCTAGAGTCTAGGTGAACGAATATAAATGCAGACATACAAATTATTTTGTGAACAACTATATTTTGTTGAATATTATTATGATAGAGATTTATGTTCCTCAAAAATGTATCTGTCTGTATGTCTCTCTGTTCATGTCAAAACGACTAACCGGATCTTAATGAAATGTGTCACGAGAACGGATAGTTTATTAAGAAAAATTCTTTAATTTTGTAAAATATGCAACTGAAGATGCAGAGTAACAACTAGTTGTAAGTACATAATAGAACGTCCCACATTTTTTCTTCTTATTTATGTTTATTCAAGTCTTTTATATGTGAAGAAGGAAGGGATTAGTAACGGGAATTATTGGCAGATTATTATTAGGATAGAGATTGATGTTCATCATATTGCAAGAAAACTAACAACACAGCAGAAAAAGAGCCTGCTGTGCCAGGAAATGTACCTATTTGATAGAATAATCCCCTATCTTCTGTGGCAGCAAATAATAGTACATATTTTTATACGAGAGCAGATAAGTTAAGTGCCGTCTCCGAGCACATAAATGATTTAATGTACAGTCACTGCTTATTCACTACTTTGTAATTTTTTTTAATTTATTAGGTGATTTTTGTCTTGTTATTAGGTCAACAAGATTTACACCAACACAATTACATTACATATAATATATATATATATATATTACAATATATTTGATATACTAAGCACAACCTTAATTATGGGTATTTATATTACTACGACATTTATATTAAAAAAATGTGTTTACACTTGATAAACCGAAACATATGACGTAACAGATTGACTGTTTAATATTAGGTTATTGTACTTATCATATGTGAACAACATAATAAAGTTTCATACTTACCTAATACCCTAAATGACAGTAATTAATTACTTTCGTACTGTTCAATAATTCCGTTCTGCTTTATTAAACGGTAGCAACATGCGTATGCTAATAGATTTTAATCTTTTTATTGCACTAATTGACGGCCTAGGTGATCTAACGGTTTAACACACCGCCTTACTTCCGATGGCCGCAGGTTTGATTCCTTGCACGGTACAAACATTTGTATTCATGAGTATGATTCTTTGTATAGGTCTGGGTATTTTCTATGTATTCATATCAATTGTCTAGTACCCATAATACAAGCTCTGCTTACCTTGGGACTAGATGACGTTGTGTGAATTATCCAGGAGTATATAGTGTAATAATAAGAGTATATTATTATTATTACAATTATGAACCACTACTTCTCGATTTGGCTTTGGTGATCTAGCGGTTTAGCACACCGCCTGACTTCCGATGGTCGTCGGTCAATACTTGCGATACAAATATAAGTTGTGTGTAGGTATTGATCCCAATGTTTTCTATTTGTCATGTATAAATACACACATATAGGTACAAACCAGGTTTTTCTTTATACAAAGACATTCATTTCTCGTCTTAGATTAAGATAGGCAAAATATTATAAATCCTACTACAAGTTAGGATGGCCGCTGTACAAATATTCCGCTTGGTACGGTTCTAACCGAGATTCCTATTTCCTTTTACACGTAAGGGTATGCGAACGTTTTTAAAGCCCTGGTATGTCAAGTAGGTAAGTACGTAATAAGTACATGTTATGAATCGTGGGAGCGTGGTATCTCGAAACACGCATTAAATAGATATATACATGTAGAATAATTTAATAATAACATTTCATTAAATATAATATAGACAACCACATCGTAAGTTACAGTCATATTACAAAATCAAATCACAAAATGATATTAACAATTCATTGAAGAAATGAAAACTGGACTATGCATCCTAATATTATAAATTCAAAAATGTGTCGTAGTATATCACTCTGGTCATAACAAAATGACTGAACCGATTTAATGAAATACGACATGAGGAGACGAGAACGGTTCAAGTTATTTCTCTTTACTTTAAAAAGAATGCAATCGAAGTTGCGGGTACGTACCTCAAAGAACGTGCCACATTTTTATCTTCCAATTTCTGTTTCTTCAAATCCTTTATACTAACGGGAATACTAACGGTAACGGGAACTATTGGCAGCTTACCACTTGTATCTTAACAGATCGTGCTCTGCAACCTCCATGAAAAGCAAGGTGATACGTTACTGATTTAATTCACCACTATAAATAGACCTGACACTTCCTCTGACATCTGCACCTTCAACTACACCACACTACCACTTCAGCGCGAGGGGTTACACCATTTCTCAATCCATTAAAAAACTCTTTTATACCAATATATTTATTCACTGATTCACACATACAAAATAAATTAAACAAACACTCGCCACCTTAAACTAAGATGAAACATAATACCATTTATTCGATTTATCAGTCTAAAATTGTGCACGTATTTAACAAACTAAAATATTTATCAAATAACATAGTACATATACATTGACGTACTCGTTGTTTATGTTAATATTATCATAGTTATTATGTACCTACAATGATTGACAATATACCAATGTATAATGATAATTATGATGTAAATAGTCGATTATTCTCTATTTGAAATAGTGTACTATATTACTATAGATAGTATGCGTTGATGTAAAGGGAAGGTAATAATGGAAACATTGTAGTTCATATTTTTGATGGCCAATTATATAACTACATTAAAATAATAATACATAGGTCTTATATATTTAACATATTATACAATACGGTTACTCATATGATTACGATGATCTACACTTAAACGTTTTATAATGACGAACTAAAATGTACGAAAATATAAAACTATTAGGTAGTATTTCTTTTTCTTTTATATGTATATATAATAATTCAATGGGATATTGTTTTGAATTTATATTACCTAATTAGTGTAGGTAGATGGGTACCTAATTATGATTGTTTAATAATTCATAATCAAACTGATTAACCAAAATAAACGTAATATTTTTGATTAAACGGTACATTATTCGAAAACTCTGTGAACAAATTCAGGAACTTTGCGACTCTAATTTTTAAAATGAAAATATCAAGTAAGTAATCGAATCTCCGCCAATAGTATTAATATGTAATAAATTTTTAAACATATTATATACAGAAATAGTAGAATCACAAAAACTTATTATTAAATATTTTTTCAATCGAATTTGTTTCTTTATCAAACCGGTTTATAGAGTACTTATTTTAAAACTCTCCCGTTTGGTACACATTATTAATTTAGTTATCAGCCCCAGATTGTAATTTTTTTTCGAGGCGTGTCAAAAACTTAATGGCCCTCTTAAGACTCCTTCCACTTCCGTCCAACATTTTTACAATAAACATTTTAACATAATTATTGTAGCTTTTTTAACAGTTATATCTAAACATTGAATTCACTTGACGTCCGTCTGTCACTGGTCAAGTTGTCAAAGGTGCATTAATAATCAGATGTGTATTCATCTGCCAAGTTCGAATTTACCCCAGAACTTGCCGCCCGGGGCCCATGTTGGTCCCCCCTAGATCCGGGGCTGATAGTTATACGGGTTTAGATATGGTTCATAGAGTTTGAGTCTGTCATAGATATACACGTATACACTGATTATTCAGTCTCGTTATCGTCACTTGCGTCGGTGGTCTCAGTTGTTGTGGTTTCCGTGACAGTCTCGGTGACGTCATCGGAATTATCGGCTGGCGTAGTGGTCATACTGTCGGGTAGATGTTCACAGTGTCTACCGCTCACACCGACAGGACAGTGGCACCTGTAGTTACCATCTTCCTCCTCTAAAGATTGACATTTACCACCGTTCTTGCACACGTTTGCATTTTTCTCGCAGTAATTTAGTTCTGAAAATTGATAGGTAAATTTAGTACGACTTTGAAGTAATCTTTATTTGTTACGAATAGAATAGATTTTAAAAAATATCTTTAGCACTTATGAATATATATTTTAAATTGTACCAAATTAGACAAGAAGAATGGGAAAGGAACTTGACGAATGTGATGTAAAATTTTATTAGTAACAATGTATGTCTGTAGTTTCGAGAAAATCTCCGATTTTCTTACTACCAACTGTCTTAATCGACGTACTGCTGATACAAATTATTTGACAGAATGTATACCCGTATAGTATACAATATACGTTACTCGTTAATAATAATAGCCTACTAAATTTTCCTTTTTATGGTGTTGAAATATATAAAATATAATACAAAAACTGCACCTAATGGTAGAAACATTCTCTGCCAGTAAACCTTTGAATTGTTGATCTAGGGACAAACAATATTTCTAATTTACAGAATTTATCCAACATTAATTTTCATTGTATATTTGTATTGTATATTGTATACAATAAGACTGAGAGTAAGGTATGATGGCACCGCCATTATCATATTGTAATAATAGTCACAAAATTATAGGCCACTACATTCAAAAGTGACCTTTTGGCCTATAATTTCGATAAATTTAAATCGATATACAAAATACCTAATAAAAATAAAGCAGACGTTGAAATTAGTTCATAGAAAGCCAAATCTATCATGTGTTTATTTATTGGCTCCACTACCCTACAACCAGAAATATTGAGAACACTTGGTGTAGGTTCAATATATTCAATATTTTACATATATCTAAATACTATTCTAAAAGTGAACGGTTTATTGTGGACGTGTTATTCATTAAATGTTTAAAAATTAACCACAATTATAAATATCCTTATTAAAAAAATAATATTTGATAAAAAAAGAGATCTTAAAAAGATACGATTGAGTTCTTTACTAGTTATTCTCAACGAAAGTAACTCCAAATCGTCCAATACCGGCTATTGAACGATAGGGACAGTGATAAAAATATTAACATTCTGACGTATCCTATTTGAATGAATGATTTTTACTTTGACTTTTATATTAACTTTAAATATAACGTATCATCACCTTTATCACAGAGCATGCCGCCCCATCCCTGCTTGCAGTTGCACTCCCACGGTTTATTGCATGTGCCATTTACACAGCCAGGATACGGATGACACTGCGAGCATGTGGCGCCCGTCCATCCAACTTTACAGCGACATTCACCAGGACGCCTGCAGTACCCCCGCTCACCGTGACAACCGATTGCACAAATCGCTGTAATTCAATATATTAACAATTTATCAATTCTTTTTAACAGTATCCAGTAGAACTGGATACTGTTACTGGATAAAGTAGGGTTCATAAAAAAATTGCATGTATATTTTTCATAACTGACTAAAAGGTCGTATATAACCTTCTACAAGTTTTACAGCGTCATCCAGTAAGTTTACTTATCAACCCACACAATGTAAAGGTTGGTTTACCAAACAAAGTAGAGTACATGTAAGTACTACGAGTACCTACTAAATAATTGATAGACATGTTTAAATGTTTTGTTTGTAAATCCATCTAGGTCCTTATGAAAACAATGCTTAAATTGTGCGGAAATCTAACCTATGATCATCAGAAACAGGACAGCGTGTTCCCACTAGACAGCCGAGTTTGTCAAAGGTCAACAGTTACGAAATTTTTTTAGAAAAGAAATCTGTTTTTTCTCATTATATAATCATGTCAAATTTCAACACCCGTATAGTTGTGAAAAGGTAACAGACTGACAGGTAAACACATTCTCATGTTCATAATATTAGTAAATAAATACTTTGTATTATAGGTATGTAGGTAGACTACAGATACTTTGTAAATCCTAGCGAATATTTAGCTAAATAACATTCGATGTTTTAAACTTACGCGTCTGACACAAGAGGCCGGTGTAGCCAGGCAAGCACTTGCATTCTAAAGGCTTGTCGCAGTAGCCGTGCTGGCATCCAGGTAAAGGTTGGCAGGCTCTACAAGTGGGCCCGGACCAGCCGAGCTTACAACGACACTCGCCAGGCGAATCACAGTAGCCGCGAGTGGCGTGGCAGTCCGAACGGCAAATTGCTATGAACATGAATAAATAATTCTTAGAACATAATAATAATATAGGTATCAGGACAATTCACACAAGGCTATTTAGTCCCAAACTAAGCAGGGCTAGTGTTATGGGTACATAAACAATTATTACAAATACAGATCCATTTTTTTTGTGATACATACATAATATACTTAAGAAACACCTAGATCGATAGAAATAATAATACTCATGAATACAAATGTTTGTACCGTGTGAGAAATCGAATCGCGCGGTCATCGAAGTAAAGCGGTGTGTTAAACCACTACACCATCACCTGTCAATCTAGAAAAACTCTAAATTACATTACGATATTCTGGTTCTAATCCAAATTGATGTGATATTTTCTATAACTATTTCTACTGTTTATATGTTTTTAAATACTTTTAAAAATATATAAATATTATATATTGGGTATATCTATCTGTTATTGTAATTCTGTACACTTGATATTAGACACAAGGTTCTTTTACGAATAGCCGGTAACTTGTGAAAGAGTTATTAAAATTCCTTTGTCAACTACAAAATGAGTTGACAGTATTAAAACGCCTGATCAGGTCTTCATAAATCATAGCTAGATCCATATACCATCTCGTTGACGTAAAACAAACATAAAAAACTGAATCAAAATCGAACAACCCGTTTGAGTGTCATAATACCACAAACAGATGTATAGTCGAATATGTTAAATTTATGACATCCTTTTTCATTGGAGATTAATAACATTTACAAACAACTCACGTTCTGAACAGAAGAGCCCGTCCCATCCTTCCCGACATATGCATTCAAACGACTGGTTGCAATGTCCGTGCATGCAGCCCGGGAGTGGTATGCACTTATTACAATGCTCGCCATAGAAGCCCAACTTGCAACGACATTCACCAGGGCGTTTGCAATAACCTAAAAATATACAGTAATTTAAAAATAACGTGTCAAACATGATCACTGTTGTAGGCACATTTTTCTATATGTAACGGAAATTGCAATCAAGCTAATAGTGAACGTAAGCGGCAACCGTCGTCTATATTACATATATACAAACAGCATCATGCACATCACGTCTTCAAGTGATACAGCATATCCCAAATAGGTCGCCATTCCGAAAGACAAAGATATCATTCTGCGTAACTAGCCCAACCTTCAGCCAAAACACAACATAAAAAGCAAAATCCCTAATGACAGAAATAAGTATGAAAGGTACATCCTTCATACCCATTTCACTCAGACAGACTTACTTTTTACAGTACTTTTTATATAATAATAATAATAAGACAATTATATCACCCCATCAATGGGAGAATACTAAAGTATATATAGAGTATTATAATAATCTAGGACAATTCATACAGCATCTAGGATACTAGACATCTAATAATAAAATAGAAATATTTAAATATGTTTTATCTAAACGCACACACAATATCAATAGATAACACTCAAATCAGTATAAACAATGGTACTCATAAATACAAATGTTTGTACCGTGCGAGTACTCTAACCCGCAACCGCAGGATGTAGTGTGTGTGTTAGCGGTGTGTTAAACCGCTAGACCACCAAGGCGATACTTCGATAAATTGAATTCTTTAAATTATGGATCCTCGTACTGTTACTATATTTTCCTTATACACATACAAACTCGTTGCCATGAATGGGTGTTGCATGAAAAGATAAATCTATCCTCATAGCTATGACTGACTTATTATCTAGCTTCTGTTAAGTAATTCTGATAAATTGCAATGCTTCGCCTTCTCTTTTGGGCTTTTGACTAGCATGACAATATCTTTTATTGCACTTACTACAAGTATGCACTCTACATATTTCGTTATATAAAAGCTTTCGCATGACTGTTCGCAACTAAACTTTCTATGTGAAAGTTCCGGTGAATTAGTGTTCAAGTAAGTAGGTAATTTCTTTTTGAGTGTAGGTAGATAGGTGCCTAGCGTAACTTTGAAAAAGGAAGAATAATAATAATAGACTCGTACTACTGATGCTGGTACATTTTGTACGAACCACATCTGTGTAAACTCTATTCCGTTTTTAATGACTGTAAAAGTACAGGGTATTATTACAGTACTTAGGAATTACAAGGCGCGAGAGTCACTTAATGTTGAATTCACAGGAATTAACCGTGATTGTTTCCAGGTAGACCAAGTGGAGGTCGATCTGATGTAGGCTAATAATGCCCATTACTAACGATGTCTCCAAGTCTTTGCAAGTACTAACTTAAATATATAACATAGGGTCTCTACGTTTAATCCACGCCTTTGGGAAAGATTATACATATCAAAAACCTCTTTAGTAGATATAAGAAATTCTAAACATTACCTTGTAGTGGATCGCAACCCTTCTTACAAAGAGGGACATCGCATATATCTCCTTGCCAGCCGGGCAAACACTTGGGCTCTCCGTTGTCATCGCATATGTAGTGACTGTGTTCGCTCAGCACCGCCGGCAGCGAGCATGCCTGAATATTAAACAGTCAATAAATAATACAGCTATATAAAATACACTATAAAAACTGGCTACAAATAATGCATCCACTATGTTAGTCAATAATATAATAGTCGATGTCTATATAATTACATTCAAATGAAATAGATTTGAATGAAACATTCAATCATGAATGCGTACAGATATATAAATTTTCTTATTTATATTAAGAGGATATAAATCTGTAATACTTATATCTGCAAAGCATTCTCATTGTAGTTTCAAAGTCAAAAATAGCTAACATTTATAAACATCAATATAATAGATTAATATTATAATATCTAATATGACGAACAAAGTCACATACTTATGTCAACCATAAATCAAGTTTATCAGACTCTAAATTTTTCATTAATGTAAAGTGGATATCCAGCTTGTGTGAAGTCGAGTCAAAGTTTTCCTGACTCATCTGTTTTGCTAAAATCTTTTACTGGAAACGGTCACTGAAAGTGATAAACATAACATTGTCATACCTAAAATTAACAGCGTACTAAATATATTTTGATTTTGCATTAAAAGATGTCATGACCTCACAATTAGTTGTTGCCATTACAAAGCAAAAACAAATATTATTCTGGACAATTCACACAGAGCATGTCCTACATACTAGTTATCTTATAGATATAGGTTCTTATACATTTTTTGTACATGGAACAACATCTAGGTCAATACAAACAGTCATACATAAAAACCAACTAAGTCGAAGTAGAGGTCGCATAACTAGATTGGATTGAAATCGATCTTCATATTAGATTCATTAAAAAACTTACTACGTAAACAATTCGGTTTACTGAAAGACAACATTTTATGCACCATATTTAGATCCAGTCCATATATTTAGATATCTAACTTTGATCGTAACGATTTTGGTATGTTCGATTGTCGCTGTCAGCTATCGACTACTCTCAAAAGGAACTCCGATACAATAATATTGCACTCCAGCGTCTCTCATCTTTAATTATTTATATAGGTATGTATACTGAATTACTTATATATTAATTACATATTTCGTGTTTAATGAAAAAAACTAACTGATTTTGTTTATTCAGTTTAGTCTTGAATAAAGTTAACTTGAATTAAAAAAAAAATAATACATATTTAAATTGAAATCGATATTGAGATTAGAGATGAGTTAACTTAGTTTAAAAAAAAACAGTATAAATAAAGATTAGGTAAACTGTAATTGATATTGAGATCGAAATTCAGCGTTGACCTGCTGCTGTTTCAGTAAATAATTATTTAGTGTAGTTTTTTGACACACAACATAAAGTGATAACGCCGTTGCGTTATCAAATCGTGCGTGCATTGTGTCCTTACAGTATAGACTACGATCTCATTAGGCATTCATTATCAATTCATTTTTGTAATAAACTAACTTGTACACATCTTTACACGTGTGATTTCGATTAGTTGATATTTATGAACTCTTACATTATAAAATAAAACCTATGGCATACATTTCAGATTTCCGTAGTTAGTGGCTTGTGTCCAGACAAACCATTTCAAATATAAGAAGCTATAGATTGTCACTAAGTACTTGCTATTTCGTGTGTTTTGATTCTCTATTTATCATAAAAGATAAATCACATCTAAGCTTGTGTTGTTCGCAAAATTACAAAGACGAACTTGTTAGCAGATTTTCGCTGTTCAGTTCGTTAGTTCATTTAATAAAATGCAAAAAGTATTACCACAGATAATATAATATTACATAGAATTACAAAAAAATAAAAGGGACTTACGGGAAAAATACTTATGCTTCATTGGGACTTTGGGAGCAAACGTACTAGTCGTAAGAGAGCTTCGAACCAAACTGACTGATTCCATCTGACTTAATTATATAGATGTTTGGTTGCATAAATGTTTAGGTTGACATTGTTATAATAATGATAATTCATTGTAGATTTTTATCCAAAGCATTATAATTTCTTACATCTAGTGTTTGTGTGATTCATTCATATATCGTTATTATAATAACATTCAGTATTACCACAGATAACATAATATTACATAGTATTACCTACTTATTTGATGACGGCTTCGGTGGTCTAACGGTTTAGCACACCGCTTTACTTCCAATGGTCGGGGGTTCCATTCCTCGCATGGTACAAACATTTGTATTCATGAGTATGACTGTTTATTCCGGTCTGGGTGATTACTATATATATTATGTATATATTTACAAAAAAATATATATCTAAGTATCAATTGTCTAGTATCCATAACACAAACTCTGCTTACAGTAGAACTAGATGGCGCTGTATTAATTGTCCAGGGTTATTTATTGTTACTTATTTTTAAACTTTCCCGTTTGGTACTTATTATTACTATTATTACTCCCATCAAGTCGTACCTATATATATCTATTTAGTAATAATTTTATTGTAAATGATTTACCATACAATTATTTGTATTAAATCCTTTAATATTTACTCTTAGTAAATATTAAAGGATTCTATAGTCAAAAAGAAATAGACACGGTACGCCTTTTATAGAATTATTATTATAATATTAGCCTATAAATTCGCCCGAATAATCAAGTCATACCTATTTGATAACGGTTCGGTGATAACGGAATTGGTTTACTTTACCTAACTCTTATTATGTCTGAAATCTTGATTTTTGTAATGTTTCCAGTTATTTTAATTTAAAACCCGACCTACTGAACTGATTTTTGATATAATTTCTATGGGAGCAATCTGCAAGTATAAGTTCAGATAAAAAAGATTTTTCATCGTTTATAAACCGATAATAACGGAGCGGATAGAAACTCTCCTTTTTTCAAATTGGTTCATAATAGAAAGCCTTGCTTCCTCAAGCTATGTGATCGTCAGGATTACAAGCGATAAAAAGATCTCACTGAGTCAGCAAGGAACTTTCTAATAAGAGTCGCGTGAAAGCAACGAGAAAGTATGCCACAAGAAAACCCCGGTGAAAATGTCCATCACCTGTATGTAATTTAAATTCAAACAGGAGATATTTTTAAATATGGTAACTCTCATTACCTTTCTTCACGCTATATTCCATACGGTCAGGTAGACTTTATTCGACTACATCAATAAATCATAATCACGTAAATTCAACTGGTTATTCGTATTTTAATTTAATTATCGTTTGATTTAAATTATTGCAAAGACATTTTATTTCTAGGTATATATGGAAATGTCTGTTTCCTTTATTGTCGTACCTACTAATTAACAATTTAATATCTACTTGCTTAGTTATTACTCTTTAACTTATGTTTATACCAAATGTTGTTTACCAATCTACTGGCTTATTGTAAATATCATAATAATGATTATCTACTATACTCAATATATATGTAGTGTAAAACTATTGAATCTTGCTAATATTTTGATACATTGCGTGTTGATTTGCGTCTCTATTTTACCACTATTACATGGGTCAAAAAATGGGTCCGAGATAATCTATTTCCACAGAAGCATTCCCACTCTTTTGACTAAATATATATAGATTTTATTCCATATAAAACTACACCTATCTAAACAATCTATGTATGGTATTAGTATAAGTATAGATCTTGTCAATAAAAAACGAACCAAAAATATAGCAGTATAATTAATGATAAAGTGCAACTCTACATAAAAGAGTGGACCAAAATATTGATGTCATTATATTCTTTAAAAGAAGCAGATCATAGGCACTCACCTGTTTCTTCCATTTAGGCAAATGTTTCGCCGGCAAAACAACAGGACATACACAGCATGTGATGAAGATAATCACGAAACTCTTCATCTTTAACAATCCATTTACTTGGTAACAATGTTGATAACCTTGAAACACTAAAGAGCGATGCAGACACAGGTATAAAATCGTAAATCGGCAAATGGAATACGTTAACTGTTAATTTTTTTATTGCAATATTCTCAGATGATGCAGCTGGTGCGCACTCCGACGTTGTTGGTACTGTTATGTTGTGTTATTGAACTTGACTCGAAGCAACTTTCGCCGCGGTCGCTTTTTACGAAGCCACAAAACTAGCGTAGAAATTGTAGGTACCCATCACTATGGAGCTCGTCGACGATCAGGCGACTTCCGTCAAGCACGCATCATTTACCAATTGTGTTGTACAAGAGCGTTCTATAATTTTAATCAAATGCATTCGTACGTTTTTGTACGTTTGATTGTGTAATTAACGTCTAATTTTAATTAAAGGATATGTTCTCTACACTTTCATTTTTAATATCTACTGGTTTTATGTGCTTTATCTAATAAATTAATTTTTCGCCAAAAGTCGACTAACATTTAGAATTAAGTATTCATTAATAAAATTAATATCTTTAAATAATATTGATTGACACCTAACAAAAATAAGTGTACTGTACCTACCTAAATTTGAAATATATCTACTATAATTTTTGTGTATAAATTCATTAATTCTATTGTATATTAAATTTTGCATGCCAAAACAATGGCGGAATATGTGAAGTATTTTATTAATACTGAAATTCTTTTATTATCTATACCACATTTCATGCAAATAAATTCATTTGATTTCTGTTTTCATACAAGAACATAGCCAATTGACGGCGTGCCTTTATCGATCACTTTACTGATATTAGTAGATAGTAGTACCTATCATGGCCAATTAAACAGTAACAGTTTAGTCGAGAATTTTTTGAGGAAAGAAAACTGAGTTAAATACGGTTATGTCATCATATAATAATAATTTATAAGTTTAGTCCGAAAAACATTGTAAGTTTCGTAGTTTTATATTTTATTAATCTACATACTGTCAGTCTGGAATAGCTATTCCAGAAATTTTTAATGACTCATGCGTAAGTAATTTTCATATAAATGATATCATATAGACCTGTAGTCCATGTGATGTTATTTATTTTGAGAAATCTCTCAACTCATGGTACTAGTACTTACCCTCTACTCGCTGCTTCTGGGGCCTAATACTATACTGAATTTCTCTTAAAGCAGTTCAAGAAGACGTCACGGATGCACAAAGTATCAAGTATTTAGTGAAATTTATTTTCCTGCCTCGAGCTTTTAAGGAAGAAACTACAAGTAATTCGATTTCAACAAATAAGTTATCACAAGCGTGTGAACCCACGTTTATTTCAGTTCTACTACATTTATCATAAAAGCTACAATTCCACTTCATTTAAGTTTTGTTATAAGACTTTCAATTAAAAGCACCTCTTTGCAAATACACTAAATGTATTTGCAAAGACGTGGGAAAAGTGATGCTTTTTATAAGTAAAAAAATATAGTAGCTGTATACATACATACAAAGTGCCCAGTTACACTTATTTATATTACTCCTTAATCTACTATACTACTAAAAGTTTTTGTATTAAATACATACACTATGAGATTCAAATCTATTAATTTGCGAATTTTATGTTTTAATGTTATCTTGCCACTTGTCATTATTACGTATGTAGGTATATCATGAAGATTTAAAAAATAAAATTCCAACGTACCTATGTATTGTTTATTTATATTACTTCTATATATACACTATATAAAGCTATATACACATAGTTTAGGTCCATATTTATTATAATTATTATTAATTACTGAAGCTCAGAGCAATATAAATGTTACATGAAAAATGTTTACAACAAGATCATAATTATATTGAACAAGTTGTGATGTTAACAATAAATAAGACAAGAATAATATCAAAAAATATCAGTATCAAATTATTGGCTAGTGTTGTATCATAAGTTTAGTATTGCATTCATTGTGTTGTGTAGTTACTCCTATTTTTTCTTATTCCTACTAGTGCTTATTATTGGATTATTCTTTTGCCGCAGAAAATTAGGGCACATACTATATAAAATAGAAATGCTGTATGTAGTCAGACTACAATTACAATAAACACCGAAATTATTGAAATTTCTATGAAAATAGAGTACGGTTCCACCCCACTTTGTGGAGACACACATACTAACTACGCCACGCCCACGAGAAATACATTCAATAGGACCGAAAAATAGGAGTATTTCACCAATTATAATATCATTACATAAAACCACAAATGTATTTGAAACGAGTAATTTAATATTAACTTTGTACACTTTTAATACATGATGTACCTAATGAGCTCACTTTGACCTTTTATAATTAAACATGAATTATTACAAAGCTCATTATATAGCATAATATAGTAAATGCATTTCAGACATTATACATTATTGTTCATAAGAAGTACTTATGTTTTTTTTTTCATTTGTGTAATAAAAACTGTGTAATCCTTTTGACGGTGCCATGATGGATCCCTTAGTGTATCATTGGAATATAAAACTAATATATTATTTACTACAAGTAATGTATAAAAATATATACACAGGTTACTTTGATATTTCTACAATAGTACAAAATGTAGAGATATGGACAATGTATATCGTATCGTATAAATAAATTAAAACAACTAAATCATTTTGTATTTTATCAGATCATAAGACGATATAATATAATATAAAAAATACCAAATTTAAATGAGCCCTGAACTCTTATCTACACAGATTATAAATACAATTACACATACGAAATTCAGAGGTAATATAAATTTGGTGATGTTATTAAACACTTAAAGCTACATAGAAACCCCCTAAATAAATTAACATATACACTACCACTAGCCGTGTATTGCAGAGATTATTCATATTTTGCAAAATGGATCCAAAATTTTTTATCAAAGATTACTTCGTGTATCACAGTTATTATTGGGCTGAGAAAATTATTACACTACCAAATGTATACGACCATACAAACCAATTTACTAAGCTGTATTCCGTTTGTCAGTAATTCGTACTCTTAATACACGATCGAGTCAAATTACAAATTCGAATGGTTTTATTAACACAATTCACTAAGTATTAAACGTACAATATTTATTATATTTAATACCAATGATGACACATCTGCTTATTAATATTAATTACGTACAAATAAATCAAATATTAAACTGATATACATAAATATATAGCCCAAACATCTATTTAATTTACTTATTCTGTACAGTATATGTTATGATAAAAAAATACACAAATGTTGTTTACTAATTATACCAATTTTAATAACTATAGTGATATACAGTCAATATTAGTACAGTGTTTTATAACAGGGATGTTAGGGAGCTCCGTAACCGAAACTATCGGATATCCGATATAGAAAAACTATTCGTAACCGTAACCGAATCCTAAATAAAAGTTACGGATAATATCAGATTGGGGCGGAGCCTAATTGAGATACGTTATATATATAACCTTATTATTTCTCCTATAACCTAAAATTCCTCAAAAAATTTATATCCGTAAACGAAATTATCCGAAAGTAACGGATAATTCGAAATAATCCGAAACCTCGGATAGGTTTCGGATCCCAAATTCCCCAAATTTCATAAACATAACATCCCTGTTTTATAATAAACTATATTTAGGTAGGTATTTTGGAACGAACAAAAGAGATGTGCACTCGTAATAAACGTTAATATATCATCATTTGGTAGTGTATAAGCCCTCAAATTAGGCCTCGTTACAATAAACAATTTGTAGCGGATAATATATGATATTTATAATCCGCCTTAAAATCTGCTAATATCACGATAAATCCAATGACGGCAAATTACTATAGAAGATAATGATAAGTCTCGACTAGCGACAAAACTTAATAAAATTATTAAATATTCATTCGTTACGGAAGCTACACACATTCATAATAATAGGATGTATCTTACGACTAACGTGACCATTAAGTTTTATTTACCAGAGGGCGCTTAAAAAAGACAGACAATATAGGTTAGTCATAAAAGAATGTACCAACCAGAAAACATTGTAATTGTATTAATCTGGATTGTATTCAAACTAAAGTTTTTCAAAGGAATATAGTGGAAAATTGGTTATAATAAATACAAAGTAAGGGGTTCAATCAATTTAGTAAACTAGTTGGATTTTTTTTCGGTATTCCGTTTGGTTGAATTGGTGAAAATAGGTTAATTTTCATGTTTACGTACTGACGCGTTACAAAGTTTGCACACATTTAGTCTAGCTTGGGTCATCCAGATCGTCTTAAAGCAGGACTCTCGGGCCCAAAACGGATTGGATGGTCACGTTACTCACAATCATTTGTTTTGTTAGATTTTGATAAAAAAGCAAAGCCATAGAATATCGGCGGAATGTATAAATATGAATGTAATAATTACATACTGAATAATATTATAAGGAAACATGAGTTTTAATTTATCTGATAATAAATTAAATGGCTGGACAATATATTCAATTAATAAAATAAAAGACTTATTAAATTTATACACCCTTAATTACAAAAACTATAAAAGTTGAATAAAGCTACTTTAGCCATTTAACTGTTTTGTCCGTTTCTTTCGAGCAATTCTTCATTAGAAAGAAATTAACAAAACACTAACAGTTACAACGAGTTTTTATGGTTCTTAGTTTAAATTCATAATTTCGTCTAGAGATTCTCAATTTTATTGCATAAATTTAATATAACTTTATAATAATTAATACACTAATTTACAATCATAACAAAAAATCAATATTATTTTTAACTCATAGTATAAATGATTCTACCATACATACATTAGTATTATTTTTATGCATGGCAGGCACATTCAGATATTAGCATATCTGAACACAAACACACGATATTATAAACATCTATATTTTGGATACATCAAACTAAATTTCACTGATCTACTAATCATTATGAAATCGCATATTCAACTCTGAAATCGATTGGAAATCTCTATCGGCTATATATTGAGCAACAACAGAAATCTTGAGATTGGCAGTGGTGGAGAAAAATAAAACAATTACCTAAATTTGTGTAAAAGGTTCACTTGTAAGATGATTTTTGTAAAATATTGATTATATTTTAATATGTATGGGCATCATCATCATCTCCTTGGGTAATAGGCAATAAATTAAGTTCCCGGTCGATCTAATAACCATAGTAAGCAAAAACAAAAGTACACAAAAGGAAAACTGTTTTAGGTTGCTCACAGACTGTCGGTTAATCGTCAGGTTGCCTATTCTGATTGCTAGGCCTCCTGTTTAAAGGGGGCGGGGCGTTAACAAATTCCACTGTATTGAGTCGGAATTCATCCAATCATTAGTCGCAATTATTCAACCTGTAACTAATAGACGGTCTGTCTGTCACAGACCGTCTTCTATGCTCGGCGGAGACTTCTAAATCTCTTATATGTAAAAAAATACATTAAACGCTTTCATAATTTATCACACAATATCAATAACATCCTGTTGTCTACGTTTAAATGGAAAAAAACCTAACCCAAATTATCCCTGTTTAACTATTATTTTCACAAAAAAAAATCACAGACATAAAATATAAAATGGAATAATAATAATGTTAAAACATTTATACTGTAGGTATATTTTGGAATGAGCATGCTAGTGAGTGATAGTATAATAAAGTACGAAACGGGTTCCACATGTTTTGAGCTGCCGTGCGCAGCTTGATTGCACATGCACCGATTAAAAAATAAATTGATACAATAACAATAGTAGTTCAAATAAAAATATTCGGAAATAATTACACACATTAGAAAGACTATGCAGTAATTTTAATAAAATATTTTTATATTGATTTTAAAGCTTGAAAAATTTTTTAGAACTTATTCTACCCACTAAAACGTATCATGTTTGGAACTACTGGAATATGAAAAATTAGACCATCCTGATATCAAACAAAACCGTACTATGCAATAATATGACGAAACTATTTAACTATTCGAAAATACTCTAAATTAAATGTCAAAAGACGTTGATAAATACCAGGCTGACATTGAGACTCGTAACAAAATCAATAAAAATAAGTTCAATGAATCTTAAAAGTACTGTTGATTCAATAATAAATACAATAACATAAATGTGAAACAAAAGATCGAATATCATATCATACAACGAATCATACGATCGAATATCATATCAACGAATGAATCATGTTGTCTATTCAATTAATTTTAAATTCCCCGAAACTGCTTTACTCATTTTTACGAAAATTTGTGTGCATATCGGGTAGATCTGAAAATCGGTCAACGTCTATTTTTCATTTTCCTCAATAACAAGAGTGGGTGACCCATACCTAAATATTTCTTTTAATTTAATTTTTTTATAATCGGATTTAAAAAATACATAGGTACAACCCTCCCTACATTTTAATATATGCATCGTAACTAGAGATAGAACAGCGAATACTTGTCATAAAAGAATTTTAGCTTCGATTCGAAAGATCTCTCGTTTTCAATAATTTTACCATCATCATAGTTTGATACGTTGTAGTGAGCGGAGTGCTTTATAATAAAACAATATTAAGTGCCTATATTACACATTGTGATACGTCCCATTCCGATACTCCTCCTTTAAATCACGGCATCGTGATTGTAACAGGCGACATCTATGTCTATAACTCGTTCTGCCGCGTGTCTGCGTACAATGGCACCTGCTTGTATTCTGGGAATGGGTATAATACTAGATGGTCCGCTGTTTTGTACCATGGAATAAGACCATTCTGTAATAATAAAAAAAAATTAAGACATTATTGACAACTATAAGTTAGCAATTTTGTGATAAATACTCCGTTTAACATTAATAAAAAAACAAAATAATAATAATCGCATGCAATCGCGTTTTTCGCGCTTGATAGTTGCGTACGTTCCAAATAATTTCACTTTATTTTTCATTTCACCGATTCTATTTATATCCAGAGACACGTTTAAGATTTATAAATTATCAATAACTCTAAAGTTATTCGATAGCCATAGGTGTCCGCCATTTTGCAATGATAATTATTATTAAAAGATGCGCTAAAACACGCGGTCTTTCTCGTTCTGTTGTCTATATTTACATGATCATTCTTTCCTGTGCGAAAGACGATTCGCACATGACAGCGCTAAGTTTATCTCTTTCATCGTTCATACGCCATTATGAGACGAGTATAGGCTCTGTAAACTACTAATTAGTATTGTAACTCACCATATTACTTCGTTTGTTTGTGCCTCGTCCATAACCATTCCAATGATTACCTGCTATACCTATCAAATCGCCCACCTGGAAAGCAAATATTTAAATAAATAGTATAGTTTAATTGTACTCTGAAATTTCTGTAAAGGTACTATTCTTCTGTAAAATTCTGTTGATGGGGTGTAGCCTAGATGACTGACTTACTGGTCAGTTATCGAGGCCACACCCCGGGCTAGACAGATTTTTAATGAAGTCCTCAAATTAGTCAATTCAACATATTATGGTTGAAATGTGGTTTTTAATATATTTTATCATATAATTTCTTTAATAAAAAACGTAGTCAAGTTCGTATTGAAATATTCACACATATCATCTCTATATCTCTCATGTGAAAAAAATAAAATGATCAATTTAACTTACTTTACTCACAATTGTTGAAGAAGTAACAATTATATATCTACTAGTCTACCTATTTCAAAATTAATTAAGAAATTAATATGTATTAACACTATTACTTACTAATGAATGAATATAATTTCCTAATTGTTAGTAAGTTATATGCCAATAAATAATTTGCAATATTAGGCAATTTGCACAGTAAAAATTTTACTCTAAATCTTAACTGTGGGTCTATTATTATTTATAATTTTGTTTGAGCATACGAATAAAGTTTATGGGTCTATAGAAAGCCTCGATGGACTAGTGTTTTAGCACACAGCTTTACTTCTGATAGTCGCCTTCGATGCCCTGCATGATACAAACATTTATATACATGAGTATAATTGTATCGATCTGGGTGTTTCCTATCATATTATGTATGTATTAGTATCAGTTATCTAGTACCCATAACACAAGCTCTGCTTAGATTTGAGACTAGATGTCGTTGTGTGAATTGTCAAAGGACATTATTATTATTATTTCGCTCCATTTTCACAACTTTTTGCTGTTTTATATTACGGTTTGTGGCGTATATAACACTTACGGGCCGAAACCAAGTAAATGCAGTGTGTGCGTGCTTTTATTATTATTTATTTTACGTCTAAAAGCCGTGTACTTTACCTCTAAAGATATATCCTGGCTGTGTTCAGGCGAGTGTGGCATAACTGCGATCCTGTCATGTGCGTTCTGCCCGCCGAAGTAGTAGATGTCGTCCAGTGAGAAGAAACTGTTCGAAGCGTCCACTCGGTTGGTTTGCATCATCTCATAGGCCACTCGGCCCACCTATAACGAAATTTTATTTATATAATTAGAATGACAAAGAATCTGACGAGCCACCCGATAGTCAGTAGAAATAGAAATAATCTTTATTGAAATAAACTCAATATAAGCACTTTTGAATAGTCATGTTTTTTTATTCTACCACTCATTCGGAAGTGACAACATAATTAGATTTAATATTTATTATTTATATATTTACTTCAAGTTTAGACATGTTAAATAATTAAAAAATATTGTGGTCTTTATCTCACTCAGAAACTAGATGACGGGACACGCTTGCAAATGATCGCTGACGACGGTAACACTTTGTTAAGCACAGAGTATAGTATAATCACCTGGCTGCTGAAGGTGCACACGATGTAGTCGCACATGGCCAGCATATGGAGGTCGAGGAGCAGCCCGGCCAGCGATACCGGCGTGTAACGGCGGTGAGTGGCGGCCGTTTTAGCGACAGATTCGTCGCCCAGGAACTGGTATGACGGGTACTTGTTGCGCGCGTCCTCCAAGACCTGAAAATTATTTGGTTTATATCACGAGGGTTAAGGAAAAAGTTGGAGTCATGTCGTATCATACAAGTCGTAGTATACAACTAAAGAGATTGATGGAAAATCATGGAGAATGGCAAGAACCACCGACAAGAGCGCAGCTCTTAAATTATGAATGAAACCACGAAGGTGGCAACCAAGTATACGGTCCATGTGGTGGTAAATGGTTACTATGGGATACAGATACCTCAATGTAATAGACATCGTCTCAATCGACATTGTATTACTATCTCTCTCATAATAGTTGCCATAATTTTTGGACTCCTGAATTAATTTAACAAAAAGGACTCACAGCTCACATTGTATTTAATTAAGATTGTTTCTATATCTCAAAGTGCAATAAATATGTTTATAATAATATAAAATTATGTTTGTGTAATTAGCTCTATTTTAGCTCCATTTTTTTATATAAAAATCAAACCCTACATGTTTTTTTAAGAAAAAAAAAAATATAATCTAGTCTTAAATGACGGAGATCTCACTGCATCAAATCCTAAGGCCTAACACACAATTTAATATAAATTCTATAAGTAACAGGTGATAGCTACAGAAACTCGAAAAAGTAATAAAAACAAAATCGATGTCGTCTATAGGTATATAGAATATACCTATAGTAATTTAAAGAATATGTGTATAAAAAAATTGTATAATGTAACTTAGCTGATCTCGCAAATGTTGTTGAAGTTGATTAAAAAAAAAATAAAACAAATATATTACAATCTAAAAATGTAATGAGTCTGTGGTCTGTATTCAGTAGTATTAGAGAGTTGTTAAAATTAGTGGAATAAAAATTGTGTGTTTGAGTTTTGAAGGTTGTTTTAGTGAAATAATTCCTTCATATTAAGTGGTCCTTACGATCCGGATAAGTTTAAAATAAAAAAGAACTTGTATTTTGAGTGATATTATTAAATAATTGAACATTTAATAAATACATTGAGCACAGTGTAATTAAGTGAGCGCGAAAATAGATCATAGACAATACCGGTACAGACGTTCCGTTGGACTCAGTTCATAAAGTAACTATTACACAATATTTTATTTGAAATAGTGATTATTGACTTATAATATCGAAACATTTTTTTTTGTTTTAAAAACATTTAACATTTATTCAGTGCATAAAAAATATTTAGAAAAATGGAAAATTTATTAGTGCTTCAAGAAAATAATTATTCTATCTTACAAAAAACTATATCTAATTTTAAGAAAACACCGAAGCCAAGATTAAATAAAAGTTACTTGAAAGTGAGATTGGAAAGTTTAGAGAAACATTGGGATATCTTTGATGAGACACATAGAAATATAGTAAAGACATCTACATTAGAACAAAGAAAGAAGCATGAATATTTTGAAAAGGATTTATTTTCGAAATGCGAAGAAGAGTATTTGTTTTGCAAAGCAGATATCACAGAGATGTTAGAAAGTTTTGAGTCATCAAATATAGTCCAGGAGCCATGTACAAAATATGTAAATCAAGACGTAAAATTACCCAAAATAAATATACCCCTATACCAAGGCGATTATAGCGAGTGGATAACATTCAAAGATTTGTACATATCATTAATTCATAACAATAAAAATTTGAGTAAAATACAAAAGATGCATTACCTGAAGTCCAGTTTAACTGGCGAAGCTGAACAACTTTTGAAACACATACAAATTACCGAAAATAATTATGACATCGCCTGGAGTACATTATCTAATAGATATAATAATAAAAGAATAATAGTAAATTCAATTTTGACTAGACTTTTGGGACAGAGACGAATATTTACAGCTTCATCAAAGAACATAAAAGATTTATTAGATACAACAAATGAATGTTTAAATAATTTAAAGAATAACAACATTAATATTGAGAATTGGGATCCATTAATAATACATATAATTAGTAATAAATTAGACTCGGAGTCTCAAAAAACATGGGAAGAAGAATTGCAAACAATACCTGTTGAAGAATTACCTACGTTAGAAAAATTTAAGAAATATTTAGAAGGAAGATTTAGAGTAACAGAAATGATTCAAACATCTTATATGAAAGAGAGAACTCAAATTAAACCAAAATCGTTTGCTACAATAACTAGTAATGCTGTAAAAAGAAATACAGAGTATAGAAGTAGAAATATAGAATGTGGAAAGTGTAAAGAGAATCACGACATATTTTCATGCAAAGAGTTTATTAAGCTAGATCCAGTTATGAGAACAGAGTACATTAAAAAGGAGAGATTATGCTTTAATTGTTTGCGTCCTGGTCATAGTGTAAAATTTTGTAGATATAGAATGAGATGCGATATCTGTAATAGAAAGCACCACACGTTGATACATATAACTAAACCAAATTTAGAGACTATTAATAATGAGACTGAAGAGATTAGAACACCAGATAATCAAACAATGAGTCAACACAATATTCTTTCACATGTGTCAATACGAGGCCGTGTGTCATTACTTGCTACTGCTTTGGTGAATTTAGAAACGAGCAGAGGGCCACAGATTGTACGAGCTTTAATAGACCCTTGCTCAGAAGAATCATTTATAAGTGAAGCAGTTGTAAAGAGATTACAATTGAAATGTAAAGATGTAGAAGGTCAGGTATCAGCAGTTGGACAGATGTCTACCCCGTTCAAGCACGCGGCGGAGATTGAGTTATCCTCTAGAATGAATAAAAATTATAAATTAAAATGTACTGCTTATGTAATTAAGCATGTTACAGATATCATGCCCGCTATAAGAATAAATTATGAGCATTGGACACATTTCAGTGGCATCGAGTTAGCAGATCCAACTTACCATACACCTGGAAATGTAGACCTTTTATTGGGTGTTCATGTCTACACAGATATTTTGATGAGTGGAGTTTTAAAGAGAAAGCAAGGAGAACCAATCGCCCAACAAACTTACTTAGGGTGGATAATATCTGGCGGCGAAGCTGTTGAGAGATTACCAAATAAGGGCCAAATTATTAGTATGCATTTGAGTGTAACGTTAGATAATATGCTACAGAGATTTTGGGAATGTGAGTCACTAGAGTCTGAGAATAAAAATACACTTACCTCCCAAGAAGCTAGAGCAGAAGAAATATATGAGAAAACAGTCATGAGAGATGAACAAGGACGATATGTAGTCAGCTTACCATTTGTGAGAGACAATCCAATCTTACCTGAAAATTCTAGAGAAATAGCAATGAGAAGATTAAGAGGTTTAGAGAGAAGATTGGCTGGAAATGAAAACTTAAAACGAGAGTATGATAATGTGTTAAAAGAGTATATAACATTAAACCATATGGAATTAGTAAAAGATGAGAGAGAGAAAGATACAGTCTACTTACCGCATCACGCAGTTTTCAGAGATGATAAAACAACATCGAAAGTGCGTGTCGTATTCGATGCTTCGTGTCGAGGTACAAACGGAGTATCACTTAACGATGGGCTTTTGATTGGACCTAATTTACAAGAAGAGTTAAGAGATATTATTCTAAGATGGAGAACACATAAAATAGTTTTTGTGGCAGATATTATTAAAATGTATCGCCAGATAAAAATACAAGAGAGAGACACAAAATATCAGAGAATATTATATAGATTTAATCAAAATAATGAAATACAAACCTATAAATTACTGACAGTTACCTTTGGCATGACTTCAGCACCTTACCTTGCAATAAAAACCATGAGACAGCTTGCTAAAGATGAAAATACACAATATCCTGTTGCCTCGAAAATTGTGAATTCAGACTTTTATATGGACGATGTATTAACTGGTTTTGATAATGTGTGCGATGCGATAAATGCACAAAAAGAGTTAGCAGAAATGTTATTGAAAGGAAAATTTGAATTACAAAAAATATCTTCAAATAGTCAAGAATTTATGAATTCAATAGATCCTGAGAAAAGAGTGAATAGTATTGTATTAGATATAAATCATAAAGAGACTGTGAAGACTTTGGGTATTATGTGGGAGACAAATGAGGACAGTTTAAAAATAGCACCTACTTATATGAAAAGCGAAAATACTAATTTACTTACTAAGAGAAATATATTGCGCCAGATAGCTTCTTTATTCGATCCTATGGGTTGGTTATCACCTGCCATAATTAAAGCAAAGATATTTATGCAAAAGCTCTGGCTAAATCAAGTAGATTGGGATGAAGAACTGTCGAATGATCTGAAAGAAGAATGGAATAAATATAAAAATGATTTACCTGTACTGTCCGAAATCAAGATTCCTAGATGGAATGGAAGTACTATTGATGTGGAAGTGGAGTTACATGGATTTGCAGACGCCTCGCAATCAGCATATGCAGCCGTAGTTTATACTAGAGTATTGAGTAATAATAAAAATCCCTGCCAAACAACGTTGATTATGGCAAGAACTAAAGTTGCTCCTGTAAAACAAATATCTTTACCGCGCTTGGAACTATGTGCAGCAGCATTGTTAAGTAAATTACTTAAACATGTTATGAGAATACTTTCCATTGATACCAGTAAAACATTTGCTTGGTCTGACTCCAAAGTAACATTGGCCTGGATAAAAGGCGACCCAAATAAATGGACACCATTTGTTAAAAATAGAGTTATAGAAATTAGAAACAATTTGAATATTCAGTGGTTGTACATTAATACAAAAGAGAACCCCGCTGATCCAGCATCACGAGGATTATTACCCAGTGTACTAAAAGAGAGTCATTTATGGTGGCAAGGTCCAGAATTTCTGCAAATGTCTAATTTTATGTTACCAAAAGATATAATTCCTGAAACAGAGTTGGAAAAAAGAGTTCAGATTAAATGTAATACGACAGTTATAAAAACTAAAGATGATGAATTTAAACTTACCTTATTGAATAGATTTTCGTCACTGAAGAAACTATTGAACGTTGTTGCCTTTTGTAGAAGATGGATGAAAAATGTAAAAAGAGAAAATATTAAACATAAAAGCATAGATTGTGAAGAAAGAGATAAGGCACTTACCGTTTGTGTTAAAATAGCTCAGCAAATAGACTTTACAGATGAAATAGAAACCCTGAAAAAGAAGAAAATTATTAAAAGATGTAGTCGATTATTACCATTATGTCCTTACCTTGATGAGAATGATGTTCTGAGAGTTGGTGGCCGTTTAAAGCATGCAGAGCTGAAATATGAAAGAAAACATCCTGTCATACTTACCAGAGATAATCCACTTATACCACTTCTGTTGGATGATGCACACAAAGAGACGCTGCATGGAGGTCCTCGATTATGATAAAATAATTATTGGATTATAAATGGCGGTCAAAGAATAAAGAGATTTTATAGACAGTGCAAAAAATGTGCTATATATAATGCTACTACTAGTAATCAAATAATGGGAAACTTACCTGACGTTAGAGTGAATCCATCTCGCCCATTTTCAATAAGTGGAGTCGATTATGCTGGTCCTATACTATGTCGAATGAGCAAAGGACGAGGAGCTAAAGCTTATAAATCATATATATGCCTATTTATTTGCATGGCAACAAAAGCCATACACCTTGAGTTAGTCAGTGACATGACAACAGAAGCATTTATTTCGTCATTTAAAAGATTCGTTGCACGAAGAGGTCGATGTTATGAGCTGTGGAGTGATCACGGAACTACATTTATATCAGCAGAGAAAACCCTATTTGAGATGTGGAAACAGGGTAGAAACGAACTTCCTGAAGAATTGAGAATTTTGTTGGATGATAGAGGCACTGTTTGGAAATATATACCACCTGGCGCTCCTAACTTTGGAGGCTTATGGGAAGCCGGGGTGAAATCTGTGAAGTATCACCTTAAGCGTATACTAGGAGATACTACGCTTACTTTTGAGGAGTTATACACAGTCTTGACTCAAGTAGAGGCTTGTCTTAATTCGCGTCCACTAACAGCACTTAATGATGATTACGAGTATCTGACACCCGGACATTTCCTTGTTGGAGAGCCTACTATAACTTTACCAGACAGAAACTATGAAAAGGTAAATGTATCCAATTTAACGAGATGGCAATTGACGCAGAAAATGGTGCGTGATTTTTGGTCAAGATGGCAAACTGAATATTTGTCTCGATTACAGCAACGTCCGAAATGGATGAGAGTTCAAAAAGATTTCGAGATTGGAGATATGGTCTTAATAAAAGACTCAAGAGCGTCTCCATCCAGTTGGCGCCTTGGTCGAATACAAAAGAAGTATCCGAGTTCCGATGGCCTAACTAGAGTTTACGATGTTCGTACAGCCACAGGTGTTATGCAGCGTTCGGTGTCTAAACTTTGTAGACTTCCTGATTTCAACTGAGAATGATACGTACAAGGATATGGGCATATCCTTGGCGGCGGAGAATGTTGAAGTTGATTAAAAAAAAAAAAACAAAAAATATTACAATCTAAAAATGTAATTAGTCTGTGGTCTGTATTCAGTAGTATTAGAGAGTTGTTAAAATTAGTGGAATAAAAATTGTGTGTTTGAGTTTTGAAGGTTGTTTTAGTGAAATAATTCCTTCAGTTTGCCGTATAAATTAAAATAGCTATTAAAAAATGGGAATTGGTGATAGAAGGATGAAAATTTAAGGTTGTAGGTATTTTTTATGCCACAAAATAACAATAAATTTAAAAAAAAATTGCGAAAAAATGAAAAACAAAATCTTAGAGTGGGCCACCCTTAATACTTAAGGGTATAAAAATTTCTTATAAATCTATTCTCAGACCTACTAAATAGACATATAAAATTTCATCAAAATCGGTCAAGCCGTTTCAGTGAACGACAAACGAAAGTACGAAACCTGTGACCCGAGAATTTTTTATATTAGAAGATAGAATCTCACATTAGGATCATCAGTAGCGAGGTACACCCTCCTGACGTCGACTGTGCGCGTGAGCTCCAACTGGTCGTAATAGTCCTTCACGTGGGCCATATACTCGTGGATGTGGTGGAACGCTGCCTCTGTTCCCACCTTGTCCGTACGCCGTATGTGAACACTAAAAACATACTATATCAAAACGGAGCCACATAAATCTTCTAATACGCAAATGGCTAGAAATCCAGTGGTGGAAATTGCATTTTATATTATAAGTTTGAATATTATTAAGGTACCATAGTAAAAACCACAGTATATTAATAACCATAGTAGTCGAAACCATAGTAAAAAAAATACGATAATTGTTAGATTACTACTATTAGATTATTTAAATAAAATTTGGTAATAGAATGAATCCTAGAGACTTAACATGTAAGACAATATTTATTATTGACTATGAACAAGGTCATAGGTTAGTGTGTATAATATAACCAGTTTTTTACATAATTACATTATGTAGATAGTATCAGAGTATGTATAAATATGAATAAAATTATTTGTAAGTATACAACCAAAATTAGATACAATATTCTATTAGCATTATACAGTAAACAAAAAAATACATATTTGAATTACAAATGTATAAATATAATTAGTTAGCATTAGTGCTGTAGTGTTGACTTCAAAACAACCTTAGAGAAATGGTTTAAAGTATTGAACAGGTTGTATGAAAATAAGAAATAATGACAATATTTAGCGACTGCAAGTTGGTGTTTCAGATACATATATTACGACTTTTCTAGTGGTCATATTTTATTAATGTTATAAACGCGAAAGTTTGTATGTATTGATAGATGGATGGATGGATGTTTGATTTTGATGAAACGTTACTGACTTTATAGTAATTTAGTATATATAACAGAATAACACATAGGCTATAAATTTCATGCGGGTGAAACCGCAGGCACAGCTAGTCATCAGGAAAAATCTATTATCATTCTGAAAAGTAATAAACTAAATTCCAACATGACTAATAAACTCACCCAACAATTGGCGTCTTGAAGTTCATCTTCGCTATAGTTTCATTGATGGACTTCTGCATGGCTGGCCGTGGTTTTAGGACGTATTTGAGCATTTGGCCGATCCACCAGGACGCTGGGTCACCGTTGAAGCGAACTATCCTGGACAAGGACTTGGCATTATATTCTGATCAAAGTTTTATTATTAACATTAACGAATATTTCTTTTCTTGGTCACAGATAAATAATAAATTCAAAATCTACATATATGGAACAATCATCTTATACTTATGTGAGAAAATCTATTTGTGGGTGACTATCAACACATAAAATCAATTTTTTGAATTGCCTGCAGATAACTTTTTGCAAAGTCCACCCTGGTACATACAATCTTTGTTTATTACTGGGGAATTCCCAATGAATGAACTAACTGATCTGTCAACATACTGATTCTATCATCCTCCACTACTGCCCCACCAGCGCATATCATTAGAACATTAGAAGAGACAGTTTTTTTTATAAAATGGTAATGGAATGGTGCACTGCCTGCCAGTGGAGGATGATAAAATGTACATGAGGGCAGGTTAGTTAGCATCGTGACAAATTCACCAAGAATTTATCACGATGGTCCAGGGGGGACCGCGTGGAGGTCTACCTGACATGGTACATTGTTAGCAATGGAGTTATTAAGTCACATTACTAACAATCCCCTTTCCCCCAGAAGAAGCAGTTGTGCAGTTCCATTATTAAAATAAAACGGTGATATTATAACGTACAACATACCTATGAGCTAAATCCTTGGGTATTGCGAGGGGTAGAAACTTAGGCTTTTGCGATATTGAATCAATGAAGGGCAGAGATACTACTTTGGCGTCGTACGTCACTGAAACATAAATTACAGTCTTTAAATATAAAAATGTATCGATTGTGACAATTTAATTATATTATATGACAATAAATAATAGCTTATCTAAATCGCTCTTCACAGTTTTAATAGTAATTTTAAAAGAAATCGTAAATCACAATGTTTAGCCGAAATAACGAAATAATATGAATAGCACTTGTTTACAATTGCAGTTAATTAAAAAAATATCTATATGTAAATATACCTACCTAGCCAGATGTAGGTAATAGTCACATGCTAATAAAACTCTTTAATCTTTAGGATCACGAAGGGCGATTTTCAATACTATCATTAAAAATAAATTACTTCCAATAATAAAAATACTAGATCTTTTATTGACAAATATTGCGTCACCAAATGCAAAGGAAAACATCAGCCATAAAATATTGGTAATGAAACTCAATAAAATTTAAGCACAGTTGGTTACAGCTGATAAAAAGTTAATGGTTCCATATTTTATGACTGATACGCAAAGATAAAGAAATCGAGAAGGAGCCGTGTCTGTATATAAAAATTAAAAATCAATAGTATACGTTATAAAACGTTTATAGACTTTTGCCCGTTTGTCTGTGAATGCAATTTTCTCTGACGTATAATAACAAGTTTCTCGTAACATTTAATGTTTCGTTCATTCCAATCGGTGTATTTTTTTCGAATTACTCTAATGCTGTTGGTTGCAGCTGGCCTTTACAGTTTCACCGGACGATAGGGCCAGTGCAGATGGCACTCCAAACCCGTGAAACTTATGGAACAGCTGAAGGCCCCCGCCTGACGGATACGACGACCAATCGGTGAAAATAAAACGCTCTCCTATTAACAGTATCTATTGTTACTTCGAATACCACCTGTACAATGTCGCGGGCATAGTTAGGTAATAATAAATATTAATTTCAAATCAATACAACGCGAGAGAACAGGAAAATTGAAAACTAAAATAATAGACAGAACGTCGATAATTACCTGGCCACTGCAACACTTTGTCGCCGTACGCACTTGTACAGCTATCCGATATCGGGTAAAAAACGTAGTCCCAGCCCTTGGTATTATATCTCCAACCCTTTGAGTTTAGTATTAAGGTTCTTTCTGTAGCGTATGCGAATATTAAACAGTAAACAATGTGGTGAAGCTGGCAACCAAAACCGCAACCCTGAAAACATGAATGATTATAGATCCATTAGATTAGTATCCATTATGAACTGTTATTTTTTAAATTCAATGTACTTTTGTGTCTAATATGATTTTGTATATAATTTGCGGTTGACTTTTACAAAAGGGGTTACGACATAATTATTTATAATTTGTTTTAGAAAGCGTATGTCCAATATAAATTGTAACAATATATTTTAATATATGTATAATTTAATAGGTTTTAATAAAACTTGATTAGCATTGTAAAATAAATTTAAGTAGTTAAACAGAATAAGTTGTTAAATGACTTGGTTGAATGGTTATGACTTCAAAGGAACGCCACTGTTTCTAGATTTTGAAATGTAAACAAGGTGACTGAAAATGAAATCACAACAAATGTTTTATTTTGAAGATCTTAAGCTCCAACAAATATAAAATAATACATTTCAGTATAGTGTACTAGTATGAATGAATGAATTAACAAACTGTTATTTCCCACATTAGTCATAACAATTTAATTCACCGCATAGATAAACGAATTTTTATAGGGTATTCTAAAATAGATTAATATTATACCGGAAATGATAAGATGTTAAGATATAAACAGGAGAATCGAACCCACTATTCCACCGTGTTAGATCATTCTAACACATATACTGAAAAACGGTATATACAAGGAAGGCAACGAAGACAACTATAGTGGTGGTAAACAGCATCATATCCAAGATTACTACATAGAATACATTTGAACATAATTCACGCGGACTGTTCTTTTGCAAGCTATGGATATTAAAATTATTACAATTTATATTAGAATACGTTTTGTATAAAACTAATTGTGCTGTATACAAAAAAGTATCAAAGAAATTGAAAAATAATCGATTACAGAAAAGTCAATTTGTCTTCGTCAACGATCAAGTGGCGGTACGACCGGACAAGTTCCGTGGTTTTATGTGGTGTGATGCCAAAAAACCGATTATTCTATAAATCTTAATATTATTTGAGAAAAAACTATTTAATGTTACATAAAAATTAATTAATATAATTTCATTAACGTTTAACCTGAATCATAGTTTTTTTATACATTGTTATTATAAATTATATATTTTTTAAATGCACTGCCCACATTTATCTCTTTTTGCCATATGGTTGACTGGGAGAAAATGTCTTAAGGTGTTAATTAAATCTGCCACCATTTTTATATAATTATGCATTAAAGTCATAATAAAATAAATATAGACAAATATAAAAAAATCTAAAAAAATATAATCTATTTTTTATGTAGAATATCGTATCCCTAGAAAAAAGTTGAAAACAGTGTTTCACAAGACTTCATTCCGTTTACACAACTTCGTGACTGTCACTCAATCATTTATGTATGTGCGGAATGTAACGTTGACATTTACAAATATTTGCTCATTCCGCCGCTATATCATACTTCGCTCCGTTATATATCGAGACAAGTATGTTAGACAACGCATAGTTACGTATCACTAATAGTAATACAACATACATATTATTTTATTTTAATTTATAACTAATTTCGTATTAAAATAATTATTTATTTTAATGCAAAATTAATTAACAGAAACTATTTTAATGATGTGTTAAATATTACATCGATAAATGACTGTCATAAATATAGCGTAATATAAAAACTGAATCGAGGACAGGAATAGATTTGTTATTGTTGGAATACGTCGTGGTTTACTACACCGACTTACATATAAGTCAAATCTGATGACTGAGAATAGAAACACAATAACCACGAGAAAATCAATTCGAGGGACTGAATGGGCTCGCAGGAGCGACGCCTGCCGCCTACGTTGGATTCAAATTATTAATTTGAAGAAATGAATGAACTAACGATATCCTTTACCGAGAAAAAATATGTCAAGTGTCGTATTCACAACGACGGCGACGTCAACACCTGATAATGTCTCTAACTACCCCATCTGTTTATATAATTGTTTATTATTATTATAAAAGTATACATTACATATGAATTTGGATGGTTATAAGGGCAGAGGAAGGCCGAGAAAAAGATGAATGGACTGAAAGAAAAAATGCGAGAAAGGATGTATAAACAAAACGAACAGGGATGAATAGCAGAGAAAAACATATTACGTCGACCCCAAATGAATAGGATAAGGTAGAAGCAAATATGATGATATATAAGAGTATAATAATAATTATTCATTATTAAAGGTAAAGTATATCTTTAAAAATTATAAGGCGCATGTAGTACTAAACTTCAGTTCGCAATATATGAGTAGAAAGCATACTCATTTAGACAAATTTGAGAATAAATACATTAAAAAAATAGAGATGTATGTATGTATGTAGGCGAGTCAGACATAACCTTGAACACCACGCTAATTATACCTAAATGTACATATAAAAACTATCAATGTATGTTTTTTTTTTCGGAAACTACTATATTTGTTAGTTTAGTATTACTATATTTTCGATAGAATTATTAAGTTTGATAGCACAAAAATTCGCGTCTCTACAACCTTCATTACCAGTGATTAATCTGGCATTGAGTTTTTATTTAATTGAAATAGGAAACAAGTCAACAATAACTGTAATTTGTAACCTTACAATCATATCGAGATTATGATGTGTGGGCTCCAAAAAATATACAATATATTATCAGGTGGTCAGAGGTCAGAATTCAGAGCTAACAGAGTACATAACATGCTAATTGAGTGCTAATTTCTTCTAGCGGTACATTGAAAAATAAAGATTATTGTTGCTTTTTATATGTTATTGGAATGGCAAAGAAACTGATGTTGTCAAGCAAACCTAATGCAAAACTAAAATTTACAAATGTTAACTTTAACTAAAACTTTAACTTTAAAATCTAATTTACAATATTTGGAAATTTGCGGTACTGTAATAGCGATATACCACAGCACCACGACTAACACACATCATCACTCAATGCCTGCACATCATGCGCTGCATTTTGGAAGACTATGTAATATACCCCCCGACTCTAAAATCAAGCTGCTGTACCGCTGAAATAAGCGTGTCTCACTTATTTCAGCGGTCAAGCAGTTTGATTAGTACTTACTATATAGCAAACGCACAGGCGACATTATACAAAGATTAGTTTATTTGCGCATCAAAAATATATCTGCAGAATACCATATTAAAAACAAATATAACAGGCTAATACGCCTGTAATTTTTCATGATTATTATACAATCACATTATATTATTAACACAACGTCACTAATTTTACATCAGCAGAAAAGTCTAAATAGCCATTTATTTTCACGACAATGTTAATTGACCTCATTCCGTTACATAGAATTGAATAAAACCATTTCATGGAATCTAAGTAAGAAACATTAAATGAAATTGTGAACAGACAATTGTCAATCGGGACCGTTTTTATTGCATATTATTATTGTTTAACGAACTCATTGTTTAATTATAGTTACAGTTATAGCACAATTAATATTTTAATTATTAAATCAATAGTCATATTCATGTTAATAACAATATTTCATTATTATTATAGGATACTTTTTTGTCTACAACAAACACATTCAAAATGGATTTACTCAATATATACCAAAAAGTTTGTACAAATGGAAGTAAGTTAGGTACCTATAACAATTATATCATAAAATATGCATTTTTATCGACTATCGACATGTTGAGGAAAATAGAATTAATGTCACGCTATATAGTTTGTAGCTACAAAAACCACTTGTTTGTATAAACCGTGTATAGGCGACGGAGCATGACAATAATAGATAATATTTTTAATGTCATAATATCAATGCAAAACAGAACAGAAAACAGACAGGGGGAAATGTTAGGGCACTTGATACAACACGTTAAATTTATGTTTAACTTTTGATAAGAATGATAGAAGATTGTAGTGAATCACTGAATACACACCAAGAGTGTAGCTTTTTAATTAAAAATCAACCAAGTGAAACCGTGTTAATCGTGAAAATATAGACACACTAACTCCAAAATCTTGCACCATACAATTCATTCTTACGTCTACGCAGACAAACCTACCACAAACCTTTGTCTCACTAATTTCTGCCGTCTAGCAGTATGAGTTGTAAGGTGTGTTGTGGATTAAAGAATAACATAGAGTATTGAAATTGCAAGGTACGGAAGCATGACACAGTCCTCCAAGAGTCGACGACGACTTAATCATGAATAGTTCAAGAATAGTTGCCATTTTGTGTGTTTGCCATTCCACCTTTTATTACATTTCCTATTAACAATATGAAAATTAAAACTTTTGGACATTTTAGCTATTTTCAGTCGTCATTTAGAAAAAATCATATACATATAAAAAATTCTGAATTTCTAAATGAAATTAGTTTCCAATTGGACGTATATTTCTGTATCGTTAATAATTTAATAAACTATACCTCATATTTTAATATTTTTTTTTTATAAACAGACTGTTTTATGCATATTAAAATTTCTAATTATTGTTGCAAACATACCTTATTCAAATTGCAAATAAGTTTCCTTGCCTCCCTGCAATCCGGTGGGTTCTGCAGGTGTCGGAGACGTCGCTGTATGAGATCGCTGACGTTCGCAGCCTCCATCTGCCGCCACTCGTGGTAACCGTCCAGTTCTGGCAACTTCTCTTGGTCCGATAGTAGAGATCTAAAAAAGTTAATTGCATGTGTTTTCTTTTTACTGAAAGTTTTGTGCTATTGACAGGTGTTAAGACCTGTAGCACTGCGACCCACATAGGTCAATTGCGCTCGCCCTAGGCCCGTCAGGGACAAGAATGGATATTCTTAGGAGCGATGGTTTTTATCTCCTCAGGGTATAGTGTATACTTTCCAAAGGAGATGATTCACTTATGCATAAGTGGGCTATTACATGTGTTACCTAGAAAGAATTGTTAGTATAATATTGATTAATAATCCCCATAGTAATGTGGACTTAAAACCCAATGGTAACAATGTAACCACTGGAAACTCCTTTAACGTACATTATACCTAATCCGTACATTTTGTTTAGATAAGCTTATAGTCTTCGCTTAGTTATGTTTAAACTTTATCAAAAGCAGTCATAACAGCTTGATGCTATGGAATTAATTCTGTATTAGTCTTGTATATAAATATTATGTAACTTGAAAATACGACTTTGTAAAGGAAATGGGAACATCTTTTTATTAATTGTTGAAGACGAAACTGTGAATCCCCTTGCGTTACTAGCGGGGCATTAATGGAGTATTATAGGATGAGCATGATGAGCAGACGAATTCGCCAGGAATTAACCGCATGATAGATTTCCAGGAGTTAACTGCGTGGAGGTCGACCTGACACGGTAACTAATAAATTGCATTAATGTAAATAACTAATTATGAAATTCCCACATTATTATAATTACTCAAGTGCCTACAGTCAGTTGAAGTAGGTACAAACAAACACATAATAAACCACTTCATAAGGGTTAAGATTACTACATAAGTACCTACTTCAAACTGATAATGCTATAAGTTTCTTATCACTTAAAAATCTCTTTCTAAGAACATAATATTACACTCTTATCAACTTTATTGTTTGAACATACTGATTAATCTTAATCGTTACTAATATTTATTAATGTGAAAGTCAGTTTGTCTGTCATCTCTTGACATTTTAAGACTTGGTTAATATTACTGTGTACCTTTTTATGTACATATATTTGCACTCAATAATGCCTTTGACTACTATTACTTTATATCGCCTCTATTAATAAACGTTACATTCTGCGATTGTGTCTTTCATTAAATACAATGGCGCAGTTCGAATCCTCCCGGATTCGAACTTACACTCCCAAAGGGAATGACTACATTAATTACACTTTAATGATTTCTCATAACTTATTTAGCGCTGCGAATTTCATGTCACGTTGTTTGTCCGCGATGAAATCGAATACTGAACCGATTTTAATCAAATTTTACACACTGTGTGCAGTTTGATCCAACTAGAGAGATGGGATAGTCTATATAGCTTTATTTATTACTAAAAAAAATAGAGTAACTACCTAAAAAATTTCATTATATAAATACAATGGATAAAAAATGTCCACCCGAAGCCAGGACGAAAAGTATAAATAAAATAAACGTTTGTTTGGTTTGTATGTAAGTATATGTTTAATTTTAAGTACTGAAATACGTGCCCCTAGTAAAATTTAATATTAAATCATAAATCCATACAAAATAACAATAAGTATTCTTATTTTGAATGAATATGTAATATATTGAAGCGTATTCAGCATTTCAATAAACATTAAAACAACCACATCGAATAACGCTATCAAACACGCTATAATATTGGAAACCGTAAAATCGTAAATTTTATTAAGCTTACTTTAATGCAATCAATTACAAACCTTTTTCTATCAGCCACTTGGTCCAAGACGGATTGTAATTTCTCAATTTTGTTATCATTATTGCGTATTGCTTTCGACAATTCATTGCTAATATAATACCACAACTCTTTCGTGTTGGACTGTATTCTCCTTCTGAGATTCTCGTAGTCCTCGGACGGACCATGGCCAGTATCAAAGAATAGAGCACCAGTGTCTATATCTTTCAAGTTACCATTTAAACTACAAAGAAAACAATTAATGAATATAAATATTACTTACACAGAATAATCATGAAATTTAATATCACGCACGACGTACGATTTACGATACATTCTATTAATTAAATAAAATAAAAGTTATCTTATGTCTTAAAAAGTATTCTTTTTAAGAAATAATTCGTGCACTACTATTTTTTAAAACAAAATTCTTTATTCCTATACTTAGTTCTATTATAATCGCTTATGATAAGTTAAATCTATCGCCACTTCGAAATGTAGTTTGATCCGAGAAGGTCGTGACAAGCAACTCTTCTTCATTTTTTTTAATGAGATTGTATATATAATTACGTATTACATTTAAACAAAGAAGACTTAAATCAGGTTTGTAACCGGACTTACAGGTATTAAAATATTTAGATGGTAAAATAAGAAATAATTACATTATGCGTAAACAATATAAAAACGCTTACTAAGTAGACATGGAAGACCTACCTAAACATAATAATACAGGAGCAATTAAATAATATCTTGAGGTATATAATAATAGACTCACCCCGATGACTTTCTTATCTGTGCTATAAGATTACTATGCTGTTGTCTGAGGGTTTCTAGTTGAGATGATACCCTTCTTAACCTATCTTGAAATTCTGCTACTTCTTCGGTGCTTCCACTGCATCTGTATGTTATTTTAAAAATTGCTGTACTATATTTTAAAATAGTTCTTATTTTAACTTGTGGATAGGAAAAGGATTGTTAGCAATAAGTTTTTATATGTATTTATTTCAGTTCAATAGACACCCGCAATTGTTTTATTTTTAATTGATGATATTGGAATGATGCATCCCATGCGCTAATGATTTACGCTGGCGGAGCACCAGTGGAGGATGAAAAAAAGATCATGAAGTCAGGTCAGTTAGCCCATCTTGGCAAATGATAATTTACCATGATGGTTTCCAGGTGGATCAACTGTGGGAATAGAGGTCAACTTGACATGGTACATTGCTAGCAATGGGATTACCCCACATTCCTAACAATCCCCTTCCCCCCCTCGCAATTCTTTACCGGTGACCAGACACCTGAATGTTGGATTTTTTTTTAATATTATTTTAAGTATTAGTTACGTATTTGTAGTAATCGGGACTAGTGGCCTCATTACTAAGCATTTTTTATTAAATGATAATGGGCTGGCGCAACCACCTGCGCGTAAATTTCTGCTGACGTAAAAATCAAATCAGTTAGCCAATCATGACAAATTCTACAAGAATATATCACCATAAATCATGTTTATTACATGATTTATGCTTAATTGTTATAGCTCACCTGAGTGGGGATATCACAAGATAGGTGACACCGACCCATACAACCAGTAACACTACTGCGGCCCTCTTCCATTTTGCAAGGTACATCATAAAAAAGTCATTAAATGACATGTGACCATTGGAGTAGTGTTTCATTATGGCCTTTTCATTATTGTATGATATTTGTATTACTTTCACCCATACAGTTTAACTGAAACAATTGAAAGTGGTTACTATCTAACTAACTCACATACTTGTTAAGTGGTATCATTTAGACACATTAATTAGTGGCAATAATAATGCCAGTACACTTAACAAAACTAAAAGGAATACACTTCATGAAACTGAAATGGTTCAATAACATATTAAACATGTTATTTATAATATAATGCTTAATGTTAATTGGAGTAAACTGTTATCTGAGAATATAAATAGGTTGTATGTAAGTGTCATTCTGGCATTAATACTACCTAACTCATTTTATTTTAGTATCTAATAGAGTTTAATGAACTCTTTTTATTAATTGTACCATGTAATACCATGAAATTCAAACCATTACAAAAAGACTGATCTACATTTATCATACTAAAAATAAACTAAATAGAGACTAAATTAAAGTATGTAGAATTATAGTAGATGCAAAGATATATTTCATAACAGTGCTTTATTATGAAATAATGTATGGTGACAACAGTATGTATGCTGGATTATAAGCTTATTATGTATTATATGTTGTCCTTATTATTAGACAGAATGAATAAATAACTTTATTTTACAATAACAATTGAAAGAAGTGGGACTAGAGGATATATTAAAGAGCAAATTAATTTATTAACACAATATATGATATGACACAATCCAACATTATTATTACAAGACTTAATAAATGAGGAAATATTTAAGGATATTACTTAATTGTTTAAATAACTTTTTTTATCTTACAGCATGTGAGCAAGGAATGGGAAGTAACCAGAAAAAACCATTACTGTTATTTTGTTCTATTAAAAGCACATAAACCAAGTCTTGAACAAAGCTTTTTTATCTTCAAAATTATTAAGACCTTAAGGGTTGGAAAAAAATCATAATGTAAATATATTACTATATAACAAATAAACAACAAACAGAAAGGAGTGATTAGAGATAATTTAGAAAATAGACCAACTATAATAAAAACAATTTGTATTCAAAAAGACTATACAAACTAAATATTATTAATAATACTCTTGATTTTGACCTTGAAAATCAAAAGTATTCTGTATTAAACTATAATATAAAAATATAAATAAAAATTCAATGTGCCATTTCATGTATGATTAAGTGGCTAACAACAAAGTTCAAAGTAATTATGTAAATATAAATATAATGCCAAAACATTTAATTTAAAATGTACAGTGCATTTTTAATAATGATGCGAAATTACGATTTAAAAAAATATCTATATATATATAGGCAAATTATAAAAAATAACAGTGATGAATGTCTCTAGTTGTCTTATAAAATAAACTATTGAAGACATCTTCGCTAGTTGTTAGCATAATAAATAGGTGGCCGGATATTGATAATTTAGACAAATCTGTGTATCGCAATCAAAAGAGATAGAGGTACGTGACATCGGCAACAATTTTGATTCAGTTATTACCTGCTTGAATTATAATAGCACACATATTTAGGTATTAGATTAGACAAATTACAACAACCCAATAAAATAAAAGACTACAAGTGTTCTTTATTTCATAAAAATAAGGAAAGTAGTGTATAATGCAGTTTGCTCTACGACAAAACATCTGATATGTTGTACCCACCAATTGTATTTGTTTTACAGAACTAGACAACAAACTTACTTTTTAGTACACAGAAAATTAATATTATAGACTAACCGCTGAAGTTCTCTCATAGAAAGCAAAAAAGACACAATGATAAAAACCACAAAAAACACTCAACAAAATTCTAATTCTGAATTTCTGAAACAGTCGAGCCGAGTGTACAGACTCAGACCTGATTGATCAGAGACAATGTCATGTCATAAATGCCGAGTCTCTATAACTGTGCTATTTTAGTTAGTCAGTAGATGACATGGACATTCATAATGACGTACAGGAGGTGTTTATGTTTGTGTCATTCTGTTCTGCAGTCAACTGCAGTAAGTGCAGTATCAGTTTGCAATTTTTTTATATTGTACGCTCGTTATTTTTTCATCTAGAATTTATTTGTATCAAGTGTGAAGGAATAATATTATAAAAAAAGAAAAATGCCAAAGAAACCGATAAGAAATGCATTTTACTACTATATGTTGGATTTCAAAGAAGAACAAAAAAAAATAGGCATAAATTACGCAAACCTGGCAGATGTGGCTACCGCCGCTGGCCCTTCATGGAGTGTATGTATTGTACATTTTAAAATTTATACACTATTTATGTCGATTTATCTATGTCGGATTTATTAATAACGGACCTGTTAATTAACAAATTCCTTATACTAATTTCATTTTGCGCGTACAAAAACATTTTGAAGGGTTCTGTTAAAACTATTGATTTTGTTGCTTTCTGGGGTAGTTGGAGACATTGTACTGAGTGAGCTTTTTTATTCATATACAATTTTTTTATGATATTACCTGGTTATTACCTTGGCTTGATAAATTATGACCTAAGCTTTTATTCATCCACATGATACAATCTATCTTCATATTAAATTTCATTAAAATCCTTTTACAAGCTTGGTTTAAAAAATGTGTGTGTGTGTATTTGTAAACACTGTTAATTATGAATTATTATTTATTCAAGTAGTTTCCAACATTATCTATATTTATTTATTTGTCCACATACATTAGTGAATATAGATAAAATGAAGCTTTAACTTAATACAGGCTCTATTTACTAAAATAAATTATGAGTCTAGTACAGTTCAACTGTTTTACAGCTATGCAGTGTTTTTTTATCACAAAAACTAATATAGATATTTTAGAGTGTTGTCTACTGCTTACTAGATGGCATTATACAATATTTTTGCATAAATGTATGTGTGCAATGTATATAACATTAAGCAAAAATTGCTTAGCACTAGAATGGTTAATGGTGTGGTGACCATTAACTGTCTATCATTGAATACTATATTGGAATGTTGTGTTTCATATCAACTAGCAACATAGATAATTCAGAATCTAACAATATTAGCAATCCCCCATCATCAGAAACATTGGTTGCTGATTAGGTGTACTAATAACAAAATAATTCAATAATCTTCATAAAAAATTAAGTAAATATGTAATCATTGTGTACTTTACAACACTAGGATTTAGTACAGAATTGAAATAGGTTTAGAATCTATTAGATCGAGTCAATTGAGTAGCAACTTGACCTTACTTTGGAGTGAATATATTTTCCTGTGAAAATGGAGTCTGTTTTTTGCCTTAGATCACTAGAAATACATAGGTGAAAACTAAATTATATTCAATGTAGTAGATTTAGTGTAATGTGTTTATAAACATCAGTACTGAATCTAGGGGCGACCAACATGGGGCCCATGCCCAGGCAGCAATTTCTGGGGGCAGCAAATTCGAACTTGCCGGAGAATACACATCTTATCATCAATGCACCTTTAACAACTTGGCCACTAAAAGAGGGTCATCAAGTAAATTGTTTGTGGTCAATGTATTTGAAAATAAAGATATAATTGTAATAAAGCCACAATAACTAATAGTAATAGTAATTGGACAAATTGTTTGTTAATATGTATGTTTGAAAAAATGTTTGATGTAGGGGGGGGGGGGGGGATGTAAAGTCTTAGGATGGAGGCATTTTTAAGTTTTGGAACTGACACTGATATGTAGGTATAGACAATATGTCAATTAGAAATTAAATTTCTAGAGGGCACCACCACCTGTAAGGTCTAAATTTGAAGCTATAGCAAAGCAAGAGAAACAGAAAAAAAATGTTCCTGACTTGAAGTTTACATCCAATGGTGTATCATTGGCTGAAATAGAGCGACAGGAGAAGGAACTCCGGGATGCAGAAGAAGCTGAACGCAAAGACATCAACAATTTAGTCAAGTTGAAAAGCTTTAATGGCAGTAAGTACATGATTCCTTTTATTTCAATATATTATAATTTGGAATCTACTTGTTTTAAAAACTATAATACAGTAGTAATATGTATCGACATGACATCTTAAATAGATAATTGTTTCTATTTGTTTGTTAACCCTTAATTCTAATTAGGTTAATTCAATTACAAAATCTCAACAACATGAATTTATATAAAACAAAAAATATATCTCAACATGTGACATAATTTATGACTTCATATGGACTCCATATGGCTTCTCTGTAACTTGTACAGGTAAACAGTATTTTTTTATTATCAGGTATTAAATATGAAGATATATACCTGATGGATGTGAACTTCTATTGTAAAGCAGGCACAGAATATGTAATTGGTGAGAGTACCATCTTGCGATTCAATCTTCAAGATGGTATCAAGGATATATATCATGAATTGATCAATCCTCGTAAGTCCTTTTTTTTATTATACTATTGAAAAATATGATATCACATATTTTACGGTGTCCATTTTGTCGTGTTCTCCAAACACTAAAGAAATTTAAAGTATGATTATCATCGTTACAAATAGTTATTGATTAATATATAAAATTATTGTTTATAGTAGTCAAAACCAAATTAGTAGGAAGTACTGCCAAAACACAAAAAAAATTGTGTTTAAGGAAATTGTAAATATTATTTTGGATGTTTAAGTACTGTATATGTTGTTTAACAATACTTAATATTGTAATGGTGTGAATATTAATGAAGACATGACTGAATTTTCAAAATATAAACTCATTGCCCATTTCAGCTCACATACCGATTGGTTATGCTTCTGACATAAAAATAGGAAGCCAAGAATATGGTTTGGAAATGCCGGACGATACTCAAAGTCGCAGTAATTTCATGCAAATATTAGCAAACTGTGTGGATTATTTGAAACAACAAGATCCCAATGTAAATTCCCTGCCGCCGATTTTCACTATTCCTGATAAAATTGCGCCAGTCCAAGACTTCATATTACAAATGTGTAGCAAAGCTGGTAAGTGGTGAAATACTTACATTTATTAATTATAATAATAATAATAGATTGCCCTAGAGAATTCACACAGCTCTATTTAGTGTTAAGCTAAGCATAGAGCTTGTGTTATGTGTGCTATCGAATCCAACCATTTTCAATCAGAAGTAAGGTGGTGTGCTAAACCACTAGAACTCGGAGGCCGACAAAAAGGCTATTTATTGATAAGTAACACAACAGGCTTTTGTTAAAGAAGCTTTTATTTTGAATATAAATTTGTTATCTTATAATAAACTTTGAATTGCCTTCCACCTTACCAAACTAACAATATGTGGCCCCTAATCATGAATATAATGTATTATAATAATTTCAAGACTATACACAGCGCTATCTAGTCTAGTATCCATGACACAAGCTTTAACTATAAGCTAGTTAAAGCTTATGTCATGAATACTAGATAACTGATACAAATATATAGATACATTTTTTGTAAATACATACATTATATACATAGAAAACACCCAGGCCAAACAAATCATGAATACAAATGTTTGTGCCGTGCGAGGAATCGAATCCACGACCATCGGAAGTAATGTGGTAGTCCATCGAGGCCGTCAAATATAACAATCGAACATTTCGGATTCGCTCAGTGTGTATTTTTTTACTACAGCTGAAGATGACAGCATATTCAGGATATACAAGCTTGATACTCTATTCTTCACACTGATTAATGCCATCAAATCTCGCAGTGACGAAGGTTTTCCCAAGGAGTCACTTGCATTAGCTCAGTTGAAAAAAGATCTATTTAAATATACACCTGGTATTGGATGTGAGGTCTGTATTAGTAGTTTTTGTACAAAGTTATCTTCGTGAATACATCTGCCTCAATTACTTCAGCCACCAAGCACTTGATAGTTGTTTGGAGTTGCTGTGTGAGATATAGCAGTGAAGTATGAAGGTACCACAACACGGGCGCCACGTGACAACGTGAACTCCGTGCTATTCATGTATATAGCCATGGTTCCCAGTGTTCCCACTTACTTTCATATAGGCCGTAAGCTTGATTGCCATTCGAATGAAAAAAAAATGAAGAAATTAACATTATTATGTTCATGTAACTGGAAAGTTATTCAGTTCAATTTCGGATTACTTTTCCAACGCAACCCTTTACATAATACTAATAAGTCGTCCTGGCTTTGCACGAGAACGAAGATTATAAGGATTATATAAATTAAAACCATATTCTTTACTGATGAAGTAGCTTGCTGATATTTAACTATTTTTAAAGTTCATCTATTACGGACAATAAATCTAATCTATCCTATTTATGAATTTTACCAATATTTTATCAAACTAAGTGTTATTTTGCGGAAGTCCATTTCAGTATTTAATGGATTTATATTATTTTGTTTAATTCCGCTACAATTACCATGTGTGAAATCACAAATATTCAGTGCGGACACATGACTGCCGTTACGACCTTCTCTAATGGCGATCAAATTTCGACCGTTATTAAGTCTACACCCATATTGCGATACGTATTTCTCTTCTGAACGATTGTCAGCATCAAGTAGGTTTCGGATATAGCTTGGAGGGCCTAGCGTTAACTGTTCGGCGCCGTTTGTTCACCGAACAGTTTGGTGCTAATTAAACAAAATAATATAAATCTATTAAATGGCAATATGATTCGAGTGGGATGAGTATATTAATATTCAAGAAAAACAGGCAATAATTTTACACTGATCTCAAGAGTTTACAATAAACTCAAAAAGTTTATAAATAAAAAATTATTAAAACAATCAAGCTGCCGGAAACATTACCAAGTCTATAAAAATTCACCATTTAATAATTGTACTTTTAGACCCATGAAAATGCTGATAAGTCTATAGAATGCACCATTTCTCGCACAAAAAGATGGGCCTACACCATTCTCGACAGTTGCTGTCCAGTTGTTGGCATTGAACTTGAGCCGGGGAAACATATTCCTGTGGACTACGATATGGACGTGAGTTTTTTTTAGTATATACTCTGTAGTTAATGTACCAGGATAAGCAATTTATACACAGCGCGAGAATTCGGTCTGTATCTTGCGAGAATCGAACCCACAACCATACGAAAGAAGTCGATATACTAAACCGCTAGATCACCAAAAGCATCTTAAAGTTACACAGCCGAATCAGAACGAATAATTGAATTACTGTATGATTTTAATTTATACCTCTTTAAATTTTTAACAGAGTTAAAAAAAGAAGTAGAGAATTTCCTCTTTAAATTTTATTTAATATATTTTTTACAATTGTTGTTTTTTGTTGTTCATTATTTATTTAGTACAGGCAGAGGTTTACTTGTGTTGACTATTATGTAGGTTATTTTTATTTATCAACTAGCTACACGCGACTTAATCCGCGTGGAAATTAACTTTATTTTTCTATAAAATAAAAGATTTTTTCTAAAATAAAAGTAACCTAAGTTACTCCTTCTTACATCAGCTACTTGCCAATAAAAGTCCTGTCAAAATCGGTCCAACCATTTCAGAGATTAGCCGGAACAAACAGACAGACAGACAAAAATTGTAAAAAATGTTATTAAAATTATAAGACCTTCTTCAGATATTAATATCTCAAATATCTTACAATGTAACGTGACGCCGATATATTTTTTATTTCAGAGTATTCATACGTATAAAGAACAAAAGAGAGTTCGTGCCGGCCCGTCTGTAGCGAACGCCATCGTAAATATATATTTTTTATTAATATAATAAATATATCTTTGTCAGCATTAAATTTCATATGATTGCTTGTTCCTTTGTACAGGCCACGACTTCGTATGCCAGTTCGTCAGTGCATAATGAAGGCACCAGTGACTCATTTAATTGCAGCAACTTGAACTCCACTTTAGATAGTGAGTAGTGTAGATTTTATTTTATTTTGAATTTTTATTGTTTATGGATAGTCCAAACTAGCTTTTACATTATTTTATGATAGAATATTAATTTATATTATATATAATATAAATTAATATTATTTTATTTTATTATAAATTAAACTTATAATTATTAGGTAACTCCTCAGCAGCTCGTTTTCTGAGTTATATAACCAATGTGTACTAATACAACTGAACGGATCATAAAAATACACAATAAAATTCATCATCATTATATCTTTGTTACTTTTTTTTTTACTTTTCTATTGTTTGCATATTACCTACCAGTTCGATATTTAAATCAGTTTCCTTAAGGTTGTCTTGAAAAGATTGCCAATAGATAAGGCCGCCTTATTATAAATATACATGTGTTTTGTAACATATTGTTTATACCTTTTCTTTATTGAATTTTACACAAAGTATATACTTCCTATGTAATGAAATTTAACATTAACATTGTCTTCATAAGGTTGGACATTGACTATCCTTTATAAATAAACTGAGAAAGGATAATGGACAAGTGTTTTATAAATGCTAATTTTTATTTTTAGGTTCTCTGAGAGAAAAACGAACACATCAGCCCTTGCGCTTACCGAAAATTGACTGTAAGTACAATATCACAGTTTGTGGTTTTATATTTGTAAAACATAAATGAGTTTAATTGAAAAAGAAAATACATACATACTATACTGTACTTAACATAATTTTGTAGTTGAGAAATATATACTAATTTCCTGAATTACAAGAAATATTTAGATGAAAATAATCTTGCATGCTACTGCAGCTTGCTACTGCTCATATAACTTGCTTCTACTAAATAACTGACAAAGACAAAACACTTTTTCTCACATTAGACACAATTGTTATCTTACTCAGAAGTACCTACGTCTCAGTAGTATGCTCAATGCTTAATCTATATAAATGGTGACTATTTAAAAGTGCTTATATTAAGTTTATTTGAAGAAATATTTCTATTAATGGTCTGTGCTAAGTTCGCCAGGTGGAGCCCCCATTTATCCCAAAAAGCTTCAAGTAGCTTATGAAACATTTTTTTTATTAATAATGGGATTGCGCTTGGTCTTACCTCATCTGATGGTAAATGATGGCAAGATCTAGAATGTAGCGCGCTTACCCAGAAGATATCTAATCACCATAGACTTGAAGAATCCGGAGTTGTATTTCTCCGGGTACACAAAAGCTGGAAGTGTGTTCCACTCTTTGGCAGTGCAGCAGTTTAATAATGAGATGTAGCAGTAAAATTACTGGGGATTGAGACCGAATATATTAGTCCACAGGAATGGCAACACCTATGAAGTACCTCGAGCGTTATATGAGTATGTCAAGCACTACGGCTGTTCATGTATATACACGACGGTTACCTTCCTATCAAGTTGTATTCCATTCCTTTTATTTAAAAAATAGATTCCAGTACAATAACTACTTAAACTAAAACAAGTGACTTTTGTCCTCTAATTAACAGATTCGCAGAGCATTCGTCCCGCTCCTGAACTCACCGAAGACAACTTTCCAAAACTATCTGCCGGTCGAGGTAATATTTTATTGTTTCTGTAACACCATTGATATTGCGTTTCCTATACAAGGCTAGTCGTAAAAGGTATACCAAACTGTATACCAACTGTATTCATGATGTTGAATTGAAATTTTATAAGAATTGAAGTAGAAAACTATTATAAAATAGTTTTTATAACCGTCATACAAACTTCGCAGCCACGTGAGCAATCCTACAGTAGGTATGGCTAGTTTATTACAAAAGTTTCGGTTTTGTTTCATTTTATTTATTTCTACTGTTTCTTGATGAAAGTAGTATTATTATTTGTACAGAGTCTAGCTCTATTTAAGGATGGGGAAGGGGATTGTTAGTAATGTGGATTGATAACCCCATTGCTAGCAATGTACTATGTCAGGTCGACCTCCACGCGGTTCCCCCTGGAAACCATCGTGTTAAATTCCTGGTGAATTTGCACTACGGGCTAACTGACCTGACCTCATGCTCGTCTTATCATCCTCCACTGGTGCCCCGCCAGCGTAAACCGTTGGCGCGGGCGGGTGCACCATTCCATTATCAACCCTCAAAAAAACTCTATTTAAGGTTGCTTGATTCTGTAACACAGATGTATTATAATTTAGTTTTGCAATAATTTTCTGATTGTGATTCTGAACCGACTTCAAACACTAAGAAACAAGTACCTACCTGAAAGTATACTCTTTGAAATAAAACATATATTTTTCCAAATCGATTTCTAAATGACGGCGTTATGAAGTAACAAACATTAAAAATTTATAGCCGAACCTTCCCTTTTTGGAGTCATTTAAACTAAAAATAATCTCACATTAAATTCAGTATAGACAATTTTGTTTTTATAGTAGTAATAGCATAATTATCTAGACTATCACAATAAATATTTCTTGTTTCAGGTCGCGGCCTACGTGGCAGCTTCGATAATATGAGAAAGAAGAAATAAATTTGTACAACTATACTCATGCGTATTCTCTAAACATGCTTGAGGAAAAATTTACGAGAGGTATGCCGTTTAACGTGTTTCTCAAATGATTTGTGTACTTAACGCCATAAGCAGTTATGTTTTAAAGACGAAATTACTTATACACGATGAGTACCCCAACTCTTCTGTGCATCCTGTATAATTAACACTTTTCTGACCGGATACGAGTTTAATTGTAATTTCACTTGCATTATCTAGTCTATCAATAGTGAAGTGGTTTATTTAGTATGACGTACTTCAATGTTCTATTTCAAAATATTAGCCGCTGACATAGGTTCGCTGTAAAATTGTTTTGGTCAACAAAGTGTTAATAAAAATTTTAAAATATGTCAAAATGTACCCTTACTCCTAAAGATGCCAATCGCCTTAATAACCTCTTTTGACTATTGCATTCATTTGTTCTTTCTCATATTAAATTGTGATGGAATTGCAATAGTTGAAATAGTTTCGAAGGAAATTATACTTTTTTATATTATATGGTTATAAACCATTTAAATTTTAAGCTCAACTTATGGATATGTTAATTAGGTATGCATTTTTGTAAGTGAGTGCTATTTTTGTGATATTAATAGTTATCTACACCTATTAAAATGACATTATTTTTCTATTGTTACGTATTATGTAGTGTTAAACTTATTTTTGTATTCGTGTTGTTATGTATTATAGAAAGTACAACTATGACGATATCAAATTTAACGTCCATTTCATTTTAAAGGTTCGAGGTTGTTCATTCTTTTAAGAAAGTAACTTAAATGACATATCTTGTAGTTTCACTAAAATAACTATTTTATTAATCATTTCAATGTTGGAAACATATAGTCTATAATTTTTACCAGTATTCACTATTTAAATACTCCCCAATGGCATCTATTATTTTAATCTACACCTTAAATACATATTCTTGAGGCAGATGTATTTTAGCACGTCTGGTGCGTTTGCATTTATTATTGTTGTTAAAAATAAGTATTAGTGTTAAAATAAGTGTCATATTAAATCATAGATATTGCTAAATTCTTATCTGTCACTTAGTGTAGAAAACTAAACCTAATTAGATGGGACAATGCTGCATTCATGAGTATACCCAGCTTCCGACTTCAGTAGGGAGAATATATTGATTGTTCCTCTTATGATTATTACCTCTTATATTAGGATTTAAAAAAAAATGGATGTTCTGGTATATTACTACATGTAGATTTACTGTGTCTGTTTGTCTCATCTGCTACTGCCGCCAGTATCTTCTTAAGTTTTTTGGCAGTTTGAACTATAAAAATATGGCAATGTATTTGCAAGATAAAGAGACTTGAAACCTTAGTGCATAAGATTAGTAAGACTTAAGACGTACCACAGTGTATCATAATTATTATGGGATACTCTTTTTTAATTTCTATTACGACGACGACGACATTAGTATGCGTCGAATGACTCATAGGAAGTAGACCAAAAACTTATGTGCTTATAATTAAAGCTATTTTGAATATAATTTTGTCTTAGTTATTTTTAAACTTTCGTGTTTAATGTACATTATTTATATTATTAACCGGATTTTAGCACGAATAATTTTAGGTTGCACTAGCTCACACAGTCAGCTCGTGACCACGGCTAGCGCAATCTAGTCGAAATGTTGAGAGACATAAATACCTTTATTTACCATAAAATTACTCGTGTTAAGACCCGGTAAATATATACAAATAATGTATATTAATCACGAAAATTTAATTATTATGTCTTATTTGTAAAAAAATGTTATTTTTTTGTTTTTATGACAAAGATTTTGTTACTGTTGAACTTTAAAAAATATGCTGAATGCAAGAATCTCGTGTTACATTTGTTTTATGACATATGGTTTAATAATTTGGATTCTTTATTATTATTGTTTCTTTATTTCATTATAATACTTTGTGGTAATTTGTGAGATAACATTTTTAAATCGAATAGTAAGTGAAGTAAATCTCTATTTTGCCTGGATCTATGCATTTATTCATAATAATTTGTGAAATTTCACAAATGTGTACTGACAGACAAAAGAAGGCATCTTTTTTTCTCATTCCTAGATCTAGGTTAGATATAGAACTTACAGAATCAAAGATAATATCCAATGTGTCTAATAAACTATATACTACATTCTTAAAAATAGGATAAAAATCGAAACCACGTCTGGTTAGAAAAAAAAAATTTAATGTGATCAACATATACCAATATATGTACATGTAATAAATGTCGAGTTTTATTTCAACCTTCCTTTTCTTCCTTTACTGTTTCTAATTTAGTATCTCTGTACTCTGTAGTCGTTTCTTCATCTGTTGGAGCAGGACCTGCTTCTGGCTCGTCGGCGATTGAGGGTGATTCAACATCGGTGACGGGTTTCGTGACCATCTCTTTTATCTCCTGGTCCACAGAACTGTATACCACTTTAATGTCACCATTTTTGTCTGCTGACGCCTCTTTTATTTCTACTATCGCGCTCCACACCAACAGGAGCATGTAGACTTGGAATACTAGAATTTTAAACAAATTACTTCATTGCACAATTTTTATTTTCAAATTAGAGGATCAATGGGCCGTCAATACTGAATTAATGACATTTAAAAATGGAACAAAAATTGGCCTTGTACGGAGTAACTAAGAATTGGCTTGATTAGAGATATAGAGGTACATGTTTGCTATTGATATTGTTGATTGTTTCTTCATCGTAAAATTTACCTGTAAGAAGTTTTTAGCAATAAGGCCACACATTTTTATGTAATAATATAATCTTACATATTAGTATAGACACAGATAACATAATATTACATATATAGAATAACAATTACTACATAGTTATTCTATATTAGTTTAGGTATATTTAAAAATATATTTTAAATTAAAAAAATCTGTATACTACAATACAGATGATTTTATGTTATATATGAAGTTGGTACTGTCATCCTTTTCACTTTGATTAAATTAAATATAATAAATTATACTCACTTGTACTAAATATAATCGTAATAACGAGGAGTACGTCTATAGCAGCAATGACCATTGAATACACTAGAATGGACGTTACCACCGTCGCTATAGTATAATATATATACACTTGCAACAATACGATATCATTCTGAAATAGAAGTACTGTAATAACTTGTAGTATAAACGAATTATATACGTACGAAAAACGGATTTGGATGCGGTTTTGATTGCGCTTTAGGTGTTTCGATCACCGGAGAGCAAGTCAGGAATACAAATGTCATGCACAGTTCTTTGGTGTAGCCCAGATAAATGTAAATATGATCTATGTCACCACGGATGAATAGATTATGGTACGGTTTTTACTTTGAAATATCCTCACGTGATCGATATGATCCTTGGTTAAAATTTTAAAAAAAGTTTTCACTCGTTTAATTCTATATATTTAAGTTAATAAAGTCAACCTACCCGATATATCCCGCATAACAACAGAACAGTAAATGACATATCCGTGGAATAGGCCAGAATTGGAATGGGTTTGGATGCATTGTCTTCTAATATTATCTCTTGAACCTTCATAATAGTCGGTGAAAATGTCTCGTTCGCTGTGCCCACCAAAGAAACTATCTGAAATATAGTAGGAACGTGCATAAATATAAAATGTAATACTCGAATTATAAAACAATTGACTTAAAAAACAATAAGGCGCGTAAGTAACTGCAGATACGTCATTAATTACACAAAATAATACAAAACCATTAAGTATCTAATAATATGGCCTTCCGCAAAATAACACCTAATTTAATAAAAATCTGTCATTAATATAGAGCACAAGCTTATAGGTATACATACACCTAAAATTTGAGTTATTTAATATTTTTATGACACATGCCTCGTTAGGCAGAGAAAACTCAAACGATATCCATATCCATACTTATCTTCCACCACAACATCACCGAGGTACAAAGTCGTCTGCGTGAAGCCTTTGTTTCACTATGTAATATTATCTTATCTATGGACTCACCTATTGACAATATCAAACAGCTTGCTTCGTAAGCTAAGCTATGTTTCAGTCGAAGGTTGAGATATAGGAGTAAAATTACAGATATGACAATCTCATACCAGTCAATTCATAACGCAGTCGGTCAAACGTTAGCAATACCTAACCGTTGTCATGATATTAAAATAAAATACTTACCGCAGCAATCAAATTAAAATATCCAACCACTATTATACCTATCCTAACAGGCGCTATCCAGCAACAATAACTCAATTTATAATTAACTACAGCTGATTCTACGTATTGATACATTTTTTCCATTTTGTAAACTATTTTACACTATTCTAAAAAACACCCGTCCTGCGATAGTTTTCGGTTGAAATAAAACTGTCCGATATAGAAAATTATCTGTTTTAATTAGGATGTTGGTTAATTAGTGGTCGGAAAAAAGTATTAGGCGTCAGTAATTCGCTAATTATACGTCATTGTAACCTGCTAACAACTATTTTTGCACAATCGTCTCGGTTATCATTGTAATTTGACCATAATAATCATCTTAGACCTCCGGAATGCCAAACAGTATAGTGCTATATTGCTTGGGACTTTGGTGACACACTTCATGCATTGCCTTTAGTAAGTAACCATGCCTTCATACCCAATAATTTCGGTGAAAAGCTCTGACACAACTTGCAAAGCAAACTGCATCAGAAATAATGCCTAATTCGGAACAAACTCTGACAAATGAAACTAATAGTGACCCCTAACTTTATAATTCATAATAAAGTACGGAATAAAATAATCTTGGAGACCAAGACCTTTGTAATAAAAAAATGTTTATTATTTTATTTAAATTATTACATGGGTACTTCCTATGGAAACTGTAAAAATGTAATTCTAACAAATAAAGGATAATTACATCAATACTCTAGAATCGTCAACAAATATTAAATAAAACCAAAATAATTGTATATGAAACCAACATGATGAATTTGATAAAGCGTATAATATAGGCAATGAATTGACCATATACATTCTTATAAACGAATGTAAAAAACATAAATCCTACAATAAATTTGGAACTGGAAAAGGCACACATTGAGCTTGTCAAATTAGACTTCATATATCTTGTATGATCAGTAATAAACGTCACTAACTTTCAACAACTATCAATAATTGTTTATAATAATATAAATAAAATTATACAAATGATCACACAATTTGCCTACTCAAGCCGATTTGTATGAGATTGTAAATACTATATACCATACAGGTGCACATACATAAGCACGGTCTTGTAATAAGTTAAACGGTTTTAAAAATAAATTATAGTAAAATATAATTACTGACATCAACTTCTTTAAAAATATATCAAAATAAATTATAATCCCTGTATCATTATTTTATGAAAGAAAATAAAATTAGAGTAAACTAAACATTTATTAAAAAAAAAGAAATACACTAAAACGGCAGTGGTCCGTCCTCGCGATGAATTTAAAACAAAATTAAATAAAAAAAAAAGAAAGAAAATCAGGAAAATTTAACGAATTGCCATATTTTGCAATAGAAAAAGTAGAAAATATTTTATGATTTATTTAACAATATGTAATGGAAACTTATAAATATTTTAATCGTGTGAAGTTCCCGGTTTGTAGAAAGAACTAAAAAAAATGTGATATTGAATGTCACAGTTATAATAAAAACAGTTTTATTTTGTAGTATGTGTCATTGTCAACAATAACAATCTTAAAAAATCTATTAGTCTCTTTCCATAACACATTGTTTAAATATTTCATCAATTTATTCCTTTAATATATACACTTTCTCTGAAAATCTTTCAAAATACAACAAAAATACTAAATTCTCTCCACTATGCCTCATTGCTTTGTACAATAATATTGCATTATACCATAACATGATCCCGAAAAAATATTTAACTACATATAATTTCCTAGCTTTGTATTGGTAAAATATAATAATTGTAAATTTTATATACTTAGGCGTATAATATATTATCATATCACACAAGATTGAGAAACATAGTTATAATATTTAATAGTTAAAGATTTATATAATAGGAGAATAGATAAAAAGGACCAAAAAAGTATACGTGTGACAAGTTGGGGACGTGAAATAGACAGTTTAAACAACAGTTGGTTACTTCATCAGGGCATGGACCACAGCGTTAGCGTTCAGCGCCTTCAGATCGGTGTAGGTTTGGCCTGTTCCAACAAAAACAATCGGCTGACCGGTAATATAAGTCATGGATATGGCAGCGCCGACTTTGTCATCTATTGTATCGAATTTAGTGAGTACAATTCCGTCGATCACGTGTGGATTGGTAGACGAACTGTGGTCAGCTAGGGCTTGGTTGAATTTTACGAGTTGGTCGACAGCCTCGTTTCCGACTAGTGCTTCCCCAACGAATAACACTAAGTCGGGTTCATTGACCTTGATCAATTTGGCTAGAGCTCGCATCAGCGGTTCATTATCTTGCATTCTGCCCGCAGTGTCGATGAGTACCACGTCGATCTTGGTATCTGAAGCGTAACGGATTGCTTCCATGGCTATGCCTGCAGCATCTTTGCCTGTTAAAACAAATAAATAATCTTGAACGTGTTTAACTGCGCCATCTAGGCAAAACAATACATATGTAGAAAAATCCAGAACAATGTAATCATATTTGAGTATGTTTGAATGCTACGGCCAAACTCGCGACCGCCACAAATATACAACTGGGCTTTCAATCAAGTAGGTCAAAACCACCGTCTTATGAGAAGAATCGATATTAGCATAATAGCGTGTCATAATAAAAAAACCTTGATTGCTGTTGATTGTTAAAACCAAGGGTTTTCAATATAAATAAGTACGTACATTTTTTTTTTTGGGTATTTTTGTACACAAAATGTGATGATGTCAATTCCATCGTTCCAATACTAAATAATTAAATTTAAAAAAATAACTTAAAACACTTAAACTAATGTGATACCAGCCAGAACAATGTGATTAAAAATATACATATATATAAACGGACGCAAGTATCCTATGTCAATAAACAATTTTAAGTATGAGTTCGATAATATCTCACCATATCCTTTCTCGTACAAGTGCACCATTTTGCGTCCGTGGTGGTTGGATTCAGGATGCAGTGCGTTCAAATGCCGTGCGTGCGTCCGCAGTTGCTCAACCGCGCCGGCACGGAACGTGTCGCACGCCGCTATCAGCACCGACATCTCATTCTCAATCAGCCAGAAGCAGATCTTGGCAAGGTTAGTCGATTTGCCCACGCCATTCACCTATTAAAAGATTTATAGAGGTCAAACACACAGATAAACAATATAAGTATAATTTCAATTATATAATTTTTCTAAAATAAAAGTTGTTTGAGATATATGAGTTAAGGTTTAAATAAACCTTAATGCCACAAGGATCTCAAATTATTATCAGATTCTTAATAATTTCCCTGACAACATATGTGGCCGTACATAAGCCATAGGTTACTGGAACTCTAAACTAAAAACTAATCAGGATCATCTAAAGAGACAACACCCTAGTGTTAGCATTGTACTTTAACAATCTCCATGATAGTCAGACATGACATGACAGTCCCTTCCATGCCATCGTGTTGAATTTCGAATACTATATTTTAAAAATATATGAAATAAATCTCACCCCACAAAATGCCATGACGTAAGGTCTGCCTTCCTGTTTGGCATGAATACAATCACGTAGAATATCCACACGACGCTTCGGTGATAGAATCTGCACCAACGACTCTGTTAGAGTGGTCTTCACTGTTTTAGCGACGCTGTCAAATGTTCCCAGTACCTGTAAATAATATATTTATTAAAGCTAGCAGCACACGGGATCAATTAGTATTAAAATCTTAAAAATATTTCAAAATAAATACTGACCATGTCATCTTAAAATGTGTTATAGTATATTGTATTCAATAAGTGTAAGATTATTTAATTATTTTTTTAAAATAAACACAAACCTTTCCTTCCAACTTCATAGCAACAGAGTCACAGAGTTTGTTAGCTATATCAGCGGCGACATTCTTCGCTATCAGGTGGTCGCGCATCTTATCCAACACCGGCCGCATCGAGTCTTCAGTGAGGGCTTTCGAACCCACCAGGCCTAGTAAAGAAAAATAATTTAAATAACATTCTTCAGACTTCCACAGCTCCAGTGGTATAGCAGTTTGGCACACCACTTTACCTTCTGTGGTCGCGGGTCAAATTCCTTACACGGTACAAACATTTGCATTCATGAGTATCATTGTATTGGCCTGGGTGTTTCCTATGTATATTGAATGTATTTATAAAAATATCTAAGTATGAGAAACAATTCTTTAAAAAAGCAAATGAAACTCTAAATATATTTATTACAAGAGAAGCAATTGGTAAAGATCCATGAATGCACTCGAATGCATTTGTGGCTGTCATCATAATCATTAAGCCACCGCAGTCTTCCAGCAGAGAATCACAGTGCCTCACTTCCAGTTATTACCAGCAACCTTACGTATGTCGTCGCTCCAAGCTGCGGAGCATCCTACACTACGTTTGCCATTAGCGGTCTCCACTCTAGAACACGTCTAGTCCAGGCAGCATCGGTTCTTTGACAGATTTGACCAGCCCACTACCACTTCAACTAACAACAACTTCAACTAACACGAAAACCTATGTCGGCGACCTTAATTCTCTGCTGAATTATTTCGTTTCGGATTTAGACCCTTAGAGAAACTCCAGACATAGCTCTTTCCATAGCTTGTTGAGCGACTTTGAGTTGTTAGATCAGTTCGTCTGTGACCATGTTTCGGCACCATAAGTCATAACGATTAGAACAGTAGTGGCTGTAGAACTCATGAAATGATTACCTTTGAATATGCTGAACATGCCACCACTTTTTTTAGTGTTTTGCTGAGTGGTTTGCTCCTCATCCTCACTGCTGCTCTCCTCTGAATCCACCTCTAAATCGCGGATGGCACCCGTCATTTGTCCCACAAGCTAAAATAAATTACTTGATCAATAAGAAGTCAAAGAATTTAAAATTTTGTAAATAGTTACAGAAATCTACATAATATATAAGTACTAAACAATACATAAATGAATATTTTGACGGCATCGGAGGTCTAGCGGTTTAGCGCGCCGCTTTAGTTCCGATGGTTCGATTTCTCGCATGGTACCCCAGAAGGTATGTAGCATGATTATGAAAATTCTACACTATAAATAAACATCTAATGTTAATATAAAATACAAGTAATAATAGAGCTATTATTACTGTTTTGCTGTCTTTATACAAATGAAAACAAATCACTACACATCACATGAACAACTGCTATCTAGTCGACTAACTGGGTCGCCAAGCCTTAATAAAATAGAACAAATCAGAAAATATATAGGAAACAAACCTGTGTGTCAGGATTGATGGTACCATTTGCATCCTCTGGCTTGTCTGTACTGAAGTCAAGTGACGGCAGATCTCGGGAGTCGCCACCTAGTGCCCACACACGTGGTTGCTTCACACGCTCTTCAGGTTTTGGACTTTTTGTTGGTTTAGGAGATTTCCTGTTATAAAAATAGTTATAAAATGATAATCCATATAGTAGACATTAATATATTTTATGCTAAGGTGCAAAATAAAGAAATGGATCAAGCAAGTGACACTCTGGTATCCTATGATGCCTGTCATGCATTGTCATTCCAGAGAACAACGATATCATCTCTCACTTTTTAAAATTGCACTGCCTAATCTGCATCTTACAATGGAAATACAAGATATATTTCCAGCAAACCTAACCAAGCAAGCTGCTTAGTAACAGAAATAGGTACTACTGGAGTACCTACAGAGATGAATTTTGATAGTCTAAGTCAGATGTCATTCTTAGTTATAAAGTATTCTTGTATTGGCATCTGCTAAAGAATCTTGGTATACTATTTCACGTAAAAGAATTTCCCAGGACTCAGATTGTGGGCTAGAAGGTTACTATCCTACTCTTAAAAGGAGACAACTCTGGCCTGTAGTGAGACTTTAAAAACCTGTTATGAAGATTTTTATATAAACAAAAATTATACAAACTAATTATAAATGTGAGAGTGACTATATGTTCATTAAGTTAACATACTTGATTTCCTTTTTGCCTTTAGAGGCCAGTTTTTGAGCCAGTTTGGCTCTATTTGCTGCTATCACGTCATCATCTGTCTCCGGTGATTCTTCCACTTTACCATTAGTTAGGCTCTTGGATTCTACAATTTTCACTGTAATGTAAAGAAATAATTTATTAGTAAGCAATTTTGTATTAGGACAGACTGTTTGCAAACAATATTCTCAATGATTATATTATTAATAATTATATTATTAAATAATAATAGGTTAAGAATAAATATATATAGATCTATATATTCATATTTTATATAAGTTGCCATAGGTACATTGTGGATAGTTTAGAGAAAGGTCTATATCCAACAGTGAATAGTAACAACCTGAAATGATGAATTATGACATATGCATTGAGTATCTCAGATTGTAAGTCCAATATTAGAATTAAAATAGAATAGTCTGTAATAAGTAACAATTATACTATAAATCTATACATATACAGGCAAGTCAGTTTGAAGATGTTTTGTAATATAATATGATATAGATAGTAACTATAATAAAGCAATTTGTGCTAGCTTAACATCTGCATTGCAGTATACACTATTACAAATGCAAAAATATCTTCAAATTGGCTTAAGCTGTGCAATCTTTCTAATAATTTCATAAATATGTAATTACTGAATGATTTTTACCTGATTTTTTACTTTTCTCCTCCCCCTTCCTTTCGATCATAGAAGCAACAGTTTTTTTAGATTTTTGAGAATCTTCAAAAGTTCTCATTTGCTTTGGAATCTTTGCTTGCGACTTTGCTGTAATTACAAAAAAAAAACAAAGTATATACTTTGGACAACTAGTAGAGGGTATAAATTGCCGTTTAGGTTAAGTATCATCAATTCATAAACAAAATTATAAAAAAGGAACTTACCCCATGACTCGCAAGCCTTAAGCACCGAATCATATGTTAATTTGAAATCAAAGTCTCCTGTATGACGAGCTCCCTGCAGTTCATTTTTGTACTTGTCTCTGAATTCCAAGTGGACATCATTTAGAAACTTATCCACATAAGATAGTTGGAGTATACGTTGATAGGCAACCACAAAAACCAACTCAAACTCGTTATCGAGTTTATACTGCAGCGTTAGCGCATTATGGTTGAATGTATTGTTACCTGTACGCTCCTAAAAAAAAAAAGCACAATAAAACTTAGAATTCAGTCGTGCTCACTAAACGCGTGGCAAATATAAAATACTTACTTGTAAAATTACACTACGTATCAACGAGTTCACGGATGGTGTAAAAATGTCACTAGTGCTTTGAAAACACCACAATACTATTCCTCCTTTACTGAAAATGCTAAAGAGGTCCAACATTTTATTTCTTATACAATATTATTTAAGATATTTAGTTTTGCGAAATATTTATTAAAATTAAAAGAAATCACAGATGTTACTTTTATGACGTTGAACAATATTACTACTAGTGATGAGCGATACTTATCGATTCTATCGAAATATTGACGTCAGAATTATTTAGTTCCAGAACACTTTGGTATAACTTGACAGTTCATATTTATTGTTACATTCTTTTATTTTCAATGTCATTTTATACCGTAATATTAAAATAAAATCTAAACTAACAGTAAAAGTTCATTCATAGTGGTAGCCCGATGATCTATAGTGGACCATTATTTATGTAACCTTATTATTCCATTTTTTACTATTATATAAGTATAACATAGTATACAAGAGGCGATTATTTAAAATATTATTTATACTGATGTTTACAGTATGAGGGAGGGGTAAATTAATAATTAATCCCATTACTAATAACGTATTATATTAGATTTACCTCCACCCGATAACACCTGAAAACCATTGTCGTTAGTTTCTTGTAAATTTGCCATGATCGCGATGAGCTAACTGAATTACTTTATGCTAGCAGTTTTTTTTTGTATTAATTAGGATTTGTTTTTGTGCAGTACAGTAATTTTGCGAACTTAAACTTCTTATTTCTCTTGCCGCGTAAAGTTTGTAAAAAAATTACAAAGTAAATATAAAATTTTTGCTTCACTTATTAATATATTGTGTATCGATGTATATTGAATATTGGTAATATCCAAAACAAACTCTAATCTAAAGTATCGAAATCGATGTTTTAATACTGCAACCCATACATCACTATTTCAAGGTACTGCAGTGTATTTGGCTGTCTAAGGTATGTGCTGTCAAGTAAACTATACAGTAAAAGTACCTGTTTTTATGACATAAAGTTAACAACTCACCTGAGGTAATACACATTCACAGAGTGAATGAATGAATCTGAGTCTATACTGCTCACTTACATATGTCACTATCATTTAATGATATTTGATGATATTAGTATGAAATTGCAATCTTTAATATTGTTATACTTTACTTCACGATTGATTGTATTTATTAATCAATTATTTTTTTTTATTTATTCCCTGTTTCTATAAGTACATAGCATCGAAAATCTATTTATCAAAGCATCATCCGTCCGTGTATATAAGAATTTTAAAATAATTCTTCCAAGTTCCTCCGATTCTGCCCACCGTGGGGGACAACCCGGAATACGGAATGCCTCCCCTCCCCCCCAATCTCTGCTCCTGTTGTGTGGATGTGGATCCTCCCACACAGAGTCATAGAGTCGCGCCCGCTCCTCACATGTCGCTACAAAAGTAGAGTCATAGCAGGAGCGGGCCATCTACTTATTTCATAAGTATGATAATTAAACATTAATAATTAACAAAACCTATGTATTACATCCAATATATAACTATCACTTTAATTAAAATAATTATAATATTATATATATTTTAAATAAACATATCGAATAAGTATAGAAGCTAATCGATGAATCTTGAAGGTGTGTGCAATGTGTACAATGTGGTGCCAGTAATATTATTCCCCTGAATTGCCCAGATGACCTGTTGATTATTAAACGTTCCACGTCTTAGGGCTCCATTCTGGTTGGGAAAGCGAGCCGAACCAAATTGTAGACTCCGAATTCAACAAATTTATATAAAGAGCCAATTATTTAAAATATTATATATATTTTCATATTTATGTTTACGGAATAACTAATAACTCCTCCGAGCCACGAAATGAGTAATCAATAAGTTTTCATTTGATCATTGGTTGAGAATGTTGCTTTTCGATGCATGCGCAATGGCTAAATAAACAGTTGGCAATTGCCATCTTTCCATCCATATCAACGTTGCAACCTAGGTTCATGTAATGACGGATTTTAAGAAAATCTTATAAACAGATAGATCATAACCTAGGATATTTTTATCTGGACTCACGCGGATAGCGCTGCGGAATACGGTACAGAATATTTTGCAGTTCAAACATTTGTAGTGCGTGCTGATAAGTGCCGCGTAAGCTACTGAAACTGTCCCAAAAAAATAAACCACTTATGTTGATACTAGTTACCAACTACTTTGGACAAATTTCATCATTTATTTTTCATCCTTTTCTGATTATTTCTGTGAATAAATAGCCTTGTACATATACATTAATTTTTTCGTTTTGTCGTGAAAAAATAACAAAGAGTCAGACAGAAGAATATTCTTTTGCAATCATAATATTAGTATAGATTATTCGTTTCGATCATATTGTATTATCGTACGTTTATATAATACTTCAATGAATATATTTTTCAGTGATTTTTTTTTCTTTCTATTATTTATATACTATGGCATATTGGCGTCTTATGTGATATGAACAATATTCATTAAGCCGAAGTTTCAAGCAAGATTTCGTTTTCCTGTTTTTATATTGAGCAAACATAAACTTTATGTTTTAAAAGTTTAAAGTAAATTTAAAATTATAACACGCCTTCCAGTTATGTAGTTTATTCAATAATTCTTCAATGGACAAAGTACCCAAGCTCCTAAAATCTACGTCTTACCATTGTCTATGTACTATGCATTAAAAAAATAAATATTTTGTCAAATCATTGCGTTATTGTTCGACACTGTTAATTTCTTAAATCCTATCAATTTCAATAATTTCTAATCTTTATTCTATATAACAAGAGATATAAAAAATTAATAATGAATATCACATCGGCTGCAGGGATTATATCCCTGCTTGACGAGCCCATGTCAGAAGTGAAAGAGTTCGCGTTGAAGAGGTTGGACAATATCGTCGACGAATTTTGGCCCGAGATATCTGAATCGATCGAAAAAATAGAAATCTTGCATGAGGACAAAGTGTTCTCCCAGCACCAGTTAGCAGCCTTGGTAGCTAGCAAGGTCTACTACCACCTAGGGGCATTTGAAGATTCTTTGACGTACGCTTTAGGAGCTGGTGATTTGTTTGATGTTAATGCCCGGAATGAATATGTGGATACGACTATCGCAAAAGCTATTGATTTCTACACCCAGAAAAGAAAATCTCTGTATGTGGAAGGTGTAGGAGAAATAATTGATCCTCGTTTGGAGGCCATTGTGAATCGTATGTTTCAGAGATGTTTAGACGATGGTCAATACAGGCAGGCTCTCGGATTAGCACTGGAGACGCGCCGCATGGATATCTTCCAGAAATCCATTATGGATTCTGATGATATATCAGGTAAATTTAATTTATATCTACATATATATATATATATATTACTAGGAAAGACAAAGAAAAATTTGCTTACTAATGCTACTTGCCTTTTGTTTTTATTTTGAATATAATTTTTAATAAAATTTGAACCTTATTCCAATAATGAAGCTCTTTCAATTGTATATATTTATTAATACTGATCAGACATATTCTCTGTTATATGATAAAATATGCAATATAATGATTTAGAATCCAATCACAGAACCGCACAATTGTCAATAGAGTTTGTTTTTGTTATGGAATAATATACTAAATAATTACTATGAACATAGTGCTCTGTAATCTCAATGGCAAAATATAATATAATATGAAAGTTCTGATTATCTGAATTTTTTTAAGGAGAGTTAATTATAGGTAGGATAATTTATATATATATTTTAGGTGTTAAATAATAAGCTTTTGATATTGAGTGCATAAATTCTGTTAGGGTTTTTTTAATAGATTCATCTTACATACTTCTAGGTGATGCTTAGTATTTTTAATAAGGTGTACTAATAAAAAATGTTTTGTAACAACGAAGTGAAGTAGCAATGATGTAGCGAAATAGAAAGGGATTTAATTAAATTGTAGATATGAAAATTGATAAATTATTTAGTAACTTATTAAAATATTTTTCAAATAGACCATCATTATTATTATATCTTATTTTATATGTATATATATTATTTTATATGGATAGAGACAGCAATCCTGCACCTCTATCTAATCTGTGGGAATGTATATGCAGGTAGAACACCAGTGTAGTTTAGAAATGCACTAATGAAATTTTGTGGCTTAGCTCATTGTGATAAAATTAGCAGGAATTAAATGTAATGGTTTTCATGGAAAACTGCATGTAGGTTGACCTGGTAAAATACAGTGCTTAAATAAGAATTATGATTTGCAAAATTAAAATCTAGTTATATATAAACTCTGTATAACTTCATGTAGTAATAAAATAATCAACATTAGAATTTATATTAACAAAGGTTTTCTTTTTCAGGAATGCTTCAGTATGCTTTTACAGTGGCAATGAGTCTTCTTCAGAACAGGGGCTTCCGCAGTATAGTTCTTCGCTGTCTTGTTGATCTCTATAGAGGACTCAATATCCCTGACTATGTAAATATGTGTCAGTGTCTAATTTTCCTCGAAGATCCTTTATCTGTTGCAAAAATCCTTGACAGACTTACACATGGTCCTCAGGAATCAGTATTAATGGCCTATCAAATAGCTTTTGATTTGTATGATTCTGCAACACAACAGTTTCTGGGCAGGGTTTTACAAGCCTTGAGGAGCACAGCTCCTATACCCAATGCATTGGGTGGAAAACCACAGCCGCAAGGAGGACCATTCCCTGAGTCTACTATGGAAGTTGAACAAACACCAACAGAAGAGTCTAAGAAGCCTGAAAGAGATATTGAAAATTTAAATGATGAAGAGAAAGAACACCAGCGAAGGGTTGAAAAGTTAATTTCTATTTTGGGAGGTGATGTATCAATAGGCCTACAATTACAGTTCTTAATTAGGTCTAATCATGCTGATATGCTTATATTGAAAAACACAAAAGATGCTATCAGAGTTTCAATATGTCACACAGCAACAGTTATTGCAAATGCATTTATGCATGCCGGTACTACAAGTGACCAATTTTTGAGAGATAATCTGGAATGGTTAGCTAGAGCTACAAACTGGGCTAAATTGACAGTCACAGCATCTCTTGGTGTAATACACAGAGGTCACGAAAATGAATCCTTAGCTCTCATGCAATCATATTTACCTAAAGAAGCAGGTCCATCTTCAGGGTACTCTGAAGGTGGTGGTTTATATGCACTCGGCTTAATCCATGCTAATCATGGTGCAAATATCATTGACTATCTTTTAACACAATTAAAAGATGCACAAAATGAGATGGTCCGCCATGGGGGTTGTCTGGGTCTTGGTTTGGCTGCCATGGGTACACATCGGCAGGATGTTTATGAACAATTAAAGTTTAATCTCTACCAAGATGATGCTGTCACTGGTGAGGCTGCTGGCATTGCTATGGGTATGGTAATGTTGGGTTCAAGACATGCTGCAGCTATTGAAGATATGGTTGCTTATGCCCAAGAAACTCAACATGAAAAAATTTTGAGAGGCTTAGCTGTTGGCATTGCTTTCACAATGTATGGAAGACTTGAAGAAGCTGATGCCCTTGTTAAACAATTATTGAGAGATAAGGATCCTTTATTGCGACGAGCTGGATGCTACACTATAGCCACTGCATATTGTGGCACAGGCAACAATGACTCCATACGTACATTGTTGCATGTTGCAGTATCGGATGTAAATGATGATGTTCGTCGTGCTGCAGTTACTGCACTTGGTTTTCTTCTCTTTAGAACACCAGAACAATGTCCTTCAGTTGTATCTCTCCTGGCTGAATCCTACAACCCGCATGTCCGTTATGGTGCAGCTATGGCATTAGGAATTGCCTGTGCTGGCACAGGAAATCGTGAAGCCATTGGGCTATTAGAGCCAATGGTCAAATTTGACCCTGTTAATTTTGTAAGACAGGGTGCATTAATTGCCTCAGCTATGATTTTGATTCAACAAACAGAATCTCTGTGCCCTAAAGTGACTTACTTCCGCCAGTTATATGCACAAGTAATTTCAAATAAACATGAAGATGTTATGGCAAAATTCGGTGCAATTTTAGCTCAGGGTATCATTGACGCTGGTGGCCGAAATGTCACTGTTTCCCTTCAAAACAGAACTGGACATATGAATATGTTGGCTGTCGTAGGAATGTTGGTGTTTACACAGTATTGGTACTGGTTTCCGCTGGCTCATTGCTTGTCATTGGCCTTTACACCCACATGTCTGATTGCACTTAATTCAGATTTGAAGATGCCTCAGATGGACATTAAATCAAATTCAAAACCATCACTTTATGCTTATCCAGCTCCACTTGAAGAAAAGAAACGAGAGGAAAGGGAAAGAGTCACTACTGCTGTATTGAGTATTGCCGCTGCTAGAGCTCGCAGGAGAGCACATGGCACCGAAGGTTCAGCTAGCAGCGGCAGTTCATCATCAGCATCTAAAATGGATGTTGATGAAGAAGAAAAGAAGCCATCAAAATCTCCTAATCCTAACATAACTGTTCATGGTAAAACTGAGAAGGAAGCTGGAACATCAAAAGATAACAAGAAGGAAGAGAAAGAAGGAGAAGAAAAAGAAGTAAAAGAAAAAAAGGAACCAGAACCGACTTTTGAAATTTTAAGCAATCCAGCAAGAGTAATGAGACAACAGTTAAAGGCTATCTCTATTGTAGATGGCTCGGGCTTTTTGCCATTGAAAGATGTAACCATTGGAGGCATTGTGATGCTAAACCACTCTGGTGATGTTGAACAAGTACTTGTTGAGCCTGTTGCCGCCTTTGGCCCAAAGACTGAAGAAGAGAAGGAACCCGAGCCACCAGAACCCTTTGAATATTTAGATGATTGATAGGTATAGTCCCTTTGACAAATATACATATATTTTTAAAATCAGTATGAGTAGATTATAATATAACATGAAATGTATTGAACAAGTTAACAGTAAAGTGTTTAAATACGGTCAATAGATACTAACTAAAAATTTATTGTGTTTCTTATCGATTAAATGATTGTTCGTCAGATATACATTAGTTTTTCCTTTTTTTTTTACTAGTGACTTAATCTGTAATGAAGATACATTGTGAAGAAATTTATAATTTATATATATAGTCTGTTTTTTTGCAGTGTTAAATAGGGTTGTGGCACTATCGGAGATTAATGTTATAATTAGATTATTACCCATTTTTATAGGTTACTCAGAAATAGAATAGATTTTTTTAACAGCCCAAAATTCCTAATTATATCTTATACTACGAACCATACGCTCCCAATATCCATCCCACGCTTGAGGAATAAAGTTATGAAGAAAAAATACGCAGCAAACTAACCCAAAGGAAAAAGTTACATCATTCTAGCTTTCAAAATGACGAATTTCCGTATAAAAATAGGGGATGAGCCCAATTTCATTTTACCGTCTTAATTTAATTTACCTCATTACATTTTTACAAACTTTGAATGTCATATTTTGTATAGAAATAGTGTTGTATATATAAAATATTTCAATCTTGAAACTAATTCTATAGGCTGTTGGTTAAATAAAAAATATTTAAGCTATTTCTAACTTTATAAATGACAATAATTCCGTACAATCTTTCATCTCCCCTTTCACCCTTTTTATTATTAAAACGTAGCCTTTTAAGTATGGCCTTTTTCAGGGACTAGACTATTTCATTTAAATTGGTTCAGTAGTTTTGACGTGAAAGCGAGACAAACAAACAGTTTAATATTACAACAACAACTTTTTAATATTAGTAGTCGTAGTATAAGTAAAGAGGTCCTGCTAGTCAGCAGACCTTTTACAACCCCTAAATTTAAGGAGAACTTTACCAATCTGACATTATTGACTACAAACCAGAGATAGTGGGCGGGACAACTAATTTGGATTGTGCTTCGAACTAGAAGATCAATAATATTACAAACGTGTCTTTATTGGAGGATGTTTCTTTGTATCTGTATTTAAGGGATATTTCGGCTAAATTAAAAAAAAAACTAAGACAACACTTATAATATGCAACACTCTATATAAATATGTATTGTAGAACGTGAGTGATGTTGGGCCAAAAAGGACTTGTATCCAGAGCTGTAAAACATATTAATAAAAAAAAACTACTTTCATCCAGAGCTGTAAAAATAATAAAAAACTAAAATTAAATTAATATCGGATGTGAGAGTTAAGAATCGTTTAAGAATAATTGAGAGTATTATGTTCCTTGAATTGAATAAACTAGTCTTGCCTACAAAGTGTTGCGAATATTTTATCAAGTAGTCAACCACGGAATATTGTACTGATGAAATAAATACACGTGTTTGCCATTTCAAAATTAATATTGATTTATTGATAGTTGAGGCCTGTTAAGCATTCAGCACAGTAATTTGTAGCACGTACAGAAGTAGTATAAAGTGCTAAAAGAATTGTATTGAAGAGAAGTAAAATGAATTGGGATCTCGACTATGGTGATTTGGCAGAAAACAAGGAGTTTGTGGGTGTATGTGAGAATCTGAAGGAAAATTTGATAGAAGTGCAAAAAGTGCTTGATCAGTTGCTACCATTGAAGCAACAATATGAGAAGTTATCGCTTCCTGCTCAAATTGAGCTAGATTTATTCTTAGCTTATACATTAAATTCCTTGCATTGGGTCCATTTACGAATAGAGGGAGAAGATCCGACCAAACATCCCATAAAAGATGAACTCCAAAGAATAAAGGCTGTTATGTTAAAATGGCAGGAAGTTAAAGATCGCGAAAAACGCCCCACTGTAGATGTTGAGGCAGCAAAACGATTTGTGAGAAGTGGTCTCTATGATCCTTACAGAGCTACAGCTAAAGAAGGAGCACCTCTAAACAAAAAAATAAAATTTGAAAATAATGATCAATAATAAGTATTTAACTTTTACATGTAACATGTAAGACTGAGTGTATTAATATACATTCTAATATCCAATGCCACATTTAGTCTTACTATATAAATTCTCATATTCTTTGTGTTATTTAGGTTTACATATTTAATTGTTTTATAAGTTAAGTAACTTTTAAGGATTGTTTTTTACTCAAAACCAAATGTACCTTTGGTAATAATGATACATTAAAACATCATATTATTTAAATACTTTTTTATTTCAACAATACTTCAGATCACAATACACAATTTTTTTAGGAATGTAATGTCAAGTCTCATATACATAAGATAATTAAATTTTAAAATATAACTTATAGGAACTTACAGGTACTACCCTCAATACAGGAATAATATTAAAGAATAATAATTTATCTAAAATCCATGATAGTTGTGTGAATGCATCTGTCTATTGTGCTATATTTGAATAGATAGTTTACTACAAAGTAAATTGCAAGTGGTTTAATGTTGCTGATATCTACAATAGATTCATTCACCTTCTATTGAGAATAATACAAAAGCTGTAGTTTTTAGTTTTATCATTAAGGATTCTACAATATTAATTAAAATATAAGAGAATGCATTAAATGTGTAGCCAGTTGTTTTTAATTGGACCCTCCCTATGGCCAAATAATAGCATTATACTATCCTCTATCCTCTTTCCTTATGTTTATTTCATCTGTATTTTTAATCCTCATTGAGAATTTTTGATATATTTGCAAAACAACTGCTGTGTTACAGTTTTACTTATACTATGGCACATTATTGAAAGGATATCATTGCTATTATATATATTATAAATCTATTTTTTAATGTTAACTATGATTATATTGAATTACAAAAAAACATTTACTTCTCAACTTGCAGTACTAATCCTGCTGCAGAAATATTATCTCCTGCACCTGCTGTCAATTGTGCTTCTGTGCATATGAGAACTGGTGCTACACATATATCTACATTCTCATTACCTATCACTTCATCCCAGCAAGCTACAGGTTTACTGGGCTCAAAAAAGACTCGACTATTATTATTATTATCTGCTGTTGTAGAGAAACTATCATCAAGCAACAGTTTTGTCTTTTCAAGTGCTATAGTCAGATTATTACATACATATCTATGAGCAGTCAATGATGCCTTTGCAGCTGCAGCCTCAGTACGCTTCCATGCTGAGCTCTTCACTGTCAATATGGCTTGATATGCCAATGTATGTACATGAATACGAGTCAACTTCCTATTGCTACTGTATTGAACATTTTTTTGTCTAACAATTTTAAATATTTTGCGCATTTGATCTAATGCTGTAGCAACTCGTGGATTAGAATCTGCTACAACACTGACCCTACCTAACTCTAATACACTACATAAATTGTCAAGTTCTTGTTCATTCATACCAACAGAATCAACAAAAGGCAAAACTTTATTGGTTAGGTGCAAGAGGAGATCCAAATCCACATAACTAGCCATCTCAAAATGAGCTAGAGTTGTAATAGGTTGTGATAATATTTGTTTCTTAACTAATTCAAGTCTTTCAGCTCTCAAATCTGTAACAAATGATTTAAGAATGGTCATTCAACTTAATTGGAAGAAGGTATGTATATATTATTCTATAGCATTCCCATTACAAATGTAATTTTACAACATTTATGATTATTATAATATACAAAAATAAAATCGATAAATAATGCTTCTAAAAATTAAAATCAAAAAGATTATATCACAGTCTCTGCCCTGAGTACTAACTATATTCATAAAATATTATCCAGAACAAATTACACAGAGATATCACTGTGTAATTTGTTCTTCTTGTAATTAGTTCCAAATTAAGTGGAGTTTGAACTATGGATGCTAAACAATTGATAGAAATATATAAATACATTTTATTTTCTAAATACATATAGTATACACAGAAAACACAGGATTAATACAAGCAACTAAACAAAATTTCAAGAATATAAATCTTTGGATCTTGTGAGAATTCAACCTACATTGATATATAAATGCATATATAAGAGTACATCAATGTATTTGTATAAATAATTAATAAGTTTTCTGTAAATCAAATCAGACTAAGTTGGGTTACATTATTAATTAAATATACAGCATAGTACCTGTTACATCATCCTTCTTAAATGGATAGTTGTCCATCATTTGTAATCCGCTAATGACTAGTAAATTCGGATTGAAACTTGGTAAGCATTCACCAAATTTCTCCAAGGAACTTAAAAGAGGGTTGTTTTCATCATTGTGTAGTATGTATCTATTTGCCCTTGGAGCTTTATAAATACCGAAACTCTCATCTGCTTTATACTCCAGGATCATGTGAACATCATCTTTAATTTCTTCTTCATTATTATTACCAACAATTTGAATACCATTTGGAATGTATGATTTCAGAGTTTCACTCATTTTAGCTGCTAAAAGTACTTTCCATCCTTCCAAGAAGAACCTTTTAGCCATGAGTGGAGCATTGCCTCCTATGGACCATCTAGAATCTGTCATCTTTAGAGCTTGGTCAATTAATTCATCAAACAACTTTGAATTCGACATAAATCTCCTGAAATTTGACTTGATTATTATAATATATAAAGAATTAACTAAAAGGGATTCACCATTTTAGTCTTTTTTTTCACACATTGGTGGTAAAGCGAGAAAAAAAGATAGATGGTGTGAAAGATAATAATATATATAAAAGGAGAGTAAGATTAGAGATAACCAATATGGACTAGTGGAAGAAGTGCACATACTGTGCAGACCCCAAATAATGGTATAAAGGCAAGGCAATGCCAACATTGGAGACAGCTAACCTGTTGGTAAGTGTCAATCTTATGTATGTGAATATCACCACAGATATCACATTATCAAGTGACAATCATGATACCACTCATACATTGTTTGTGCAACTAAGATGTCCTGCCTCTTACCCTGTAATTTCACTGCCTAATGTATGTGTAATTGTAGGGTGCCACTAACACCACAGCACACCATGGAAGGCTATTTTGCTTGGCGGCTGAAGTAGTTGCGACTGAGGTACCCTTACAATTTAATTTATTATTATAAATATATATACAAAATAATTATTATGAAAAATACTCACTCAGCTGCTGCTCCATGTTTGAAGTAATATGAGAAACTTCTAAGAAATTCAGCTCTATTTCTGATTTCATCAAAATGTTTCGGACTACCTTTCAGGTCTTTATAATCCAACAATGAGGTCGCGTTTACGAAAAGGTCATGGCATGCCCCATATCCTAAAGCTACATTCGGCTGCCTGTTACCGACGCCCACTTTATTTTGACTCTCCAAATACAACAAATGATCTTTGACTGGCGACAACCTCTCATCCCCAATATCACTTTTGCGGTAATAAACTGCATACAACACGATACAGAAAGATACAATGGACCCCAACTTTACTGGAGCACCAGCCATTATTAATGAAATAAACCACTGAAACTATGAAATGGAATGTGTATGTGTTTATCCTTAGAAAGTCCACGTCACCTCATTTTTACAATGGGATTAATGTAAATAATTTATGAGACATAATAACCTTATATTGTTTGTTTACGTTTGCGTTATCATCAGTATTATATCAGTAATTAAAACAACTGACGGTCACAATATGTTAAGCTATGTGGCATGACGTATTTGACGCTGTGAATGATGTTGACAGTGTTGCCAACACTACTAAGACAAAATATGCTAACTGTTGAAAATATGCTATGCATTATTGCATATAGTAATATGCATTTTTCATTAGTATATAGTAATAGTCATTTAAGCTTAAATCTTTAATAATTAAATTTATTTTATGCTTTAATCAATTATTTCACTGATTTATAAAACATTTTCTTTCTTTATAAATGTTTCCTTTTCCTACACTGTGCTACTTGTGACATTTTACCTAATATGTTGCTTTTTTTGTGTATATGTTTAATATTTCATTAATTGTGTTTATTTACCATATTATACATATATGTATTCATATGTAAGTAAATTTATGTTTTATATACTGTACTTCATTTCTTTAAAACCAATCGTGTGTTCCCACACGTTCTCTAATATTTATTTTATTTACATATGTGTACACAATTTTATATGTCCGCAGATTACCAACAATGACAAAGGTAGTCTTAAGAGGGCTTTCACATTTTTTGGCCTAAAAGCAGGGTCTTTGGGGTTCTGGTTCTAAGAAATTAAGAGTCGGATATACATTTTGATTCCTGAATTATATAGATAGATATCTAATCTTAAAAACTACATCTTTGAAATGTTAATTTTCTTTTTGTTAGTCTTCCTAATTTCTAAAATAGTTTATTCAAAAACGCTAAGAGACAGAAGTTTGGGGTCGTCGTTCATTAATAAACAAACATAAATTGATATGATATCTGTACTAAAACTTGATAATTACTTCATAAATTGAGACAGCATCGTCCTTTTTTTCATTTTCAACTTAAATATCTAAAAAATTGATCATAATGAAACCCGAAATTTCAACAAAACTTTGCCATAATCATTTCTAATTTTCTCATAAATACAACGAAATTTTTGCATAAAAAAAACATAATAATAAAGTTAATATATTTGTTAATTAGAAATATAAAAAAAATATATAAGTTTCTAAGAAAAAAATAAACAATAATAATAATTGAAAGTTGTATAAATTCCGTTGCGCCAAAAGTAAATTCTCAGTGCTGCGCTAGCGCTCGTCGAGGTAGAACCTATGCCATTTTTTACAACACCGCTAAGATAAGACATTCGTCAGTGAACATTAGTATAGAGCGACTAAACCATTTTGATAATTTAAGTAATATTTAATTAATTTTGCTAATACATACTTATTTCTACGAATATTAATTTAAAGTTGTTGTTAAATATATATATATAAAATTTATTTTAGCATGCCAAAACAAAAGTACAGTTATGCTACAAATAAAACCTACCTACCCTGCTGCACTATGAAAAGCACAAGAGCATGGTATTTCGTCACACTAATGGCAATTAATTGTTAAAATTAAAAAAGAGAACGTTTTAGTATTTTTAAAAATAACGCTTATCTGAGAGAAAAATGTAAGAAAATGTAAACCAATTTTACTTTATGTTTATTTTGTAGTTATTTTCTAAATTAAAATAGGGTTATTGTTTATAAAAATACCATTATTATTTTTACGTACATTTGACTTGTGTTATATAGTGTATATCATCTAGTATGCAATGTAGATTGTAAATAAATTACCAAATTATATATTAATTATATTCCTTAATGTTTAGAGATACTTTATCCAATTTACTTTATTTTATTTTACACAATACAGATATTTCTAAATTGCAGCCATTCTGTTATTATACTCGTTGGACTTTCATTACTGTACAGTTATGTCAAATAATTATGCGTGTTTGGATGAAAAGTCAACAACATTATAAATGTTTTTATTTAGTGACTAGCTTTTAGCTCGCGGCTTCGCCCGCGTGAATATGGGATATATAGGTTATCGCGCGTTTAAAGATCCGTGTACAGTATTGGGTCGTTATATATAAACCTTCCTCTTGAGTCTATCTATTCTGTCTATTAAATAACAACGAATCAAAATCTGCGTAGTTTTTTAAGATCAAAACATACATAGATCTATTACATGTGTAGATGATATTTTAACCGGAAATTGAAGCCGTTAAAATGGTATTGGCAGATCAGTTGGAATCATCGGTATTCTTGGTATATAAGCTGGTTGCCCAGCTAACGTACCGGTTATAATGGTCTACAATTAAATTGTCTTTCAATTCTTTAGTAAGCAACATATCCAATGGGATGCCATTGCACATGTTCGGCGGGCTTAAATTTCATGATTGGATCATGCTTTTGAGAAATTCCTTCCTCAAGTTTGAGCAGTTAGTGTGGGAAATCACTATCTGTGCTTCCATAAAAATGAGCTCTCAAATTTGTCAGTAGTTTTAAACTTTCAATTAAAGTACATAAGGGAGACGATGGTAATGACACAGAGAGTCTTTCAGAAATCTCCAGCAAAAGTATAAAAGTAATCCCGCCAATGAGAGCAGAGGTGAGGTGAGGTTCTATCCAAAATCTCTATAGCTCATGGTGATTTCATTACATATAATCAATGAGGCGTCTTGTAATAATTTATAAATAGGTTTGATATTAACAAGTAATTATTTATCAAGAATCAAGAATTGGCCAACCAAGAACGAGAAGCTGCAATATCAGCCAATATCATGCGGCGACGTCAATGATGCAGGAACAGCAATGATAGCAGTTGAAGCTTTTTTTACAACTTAGAATGGCAAACAAGCTGACGGCTCTCCTGATGGAAAGGGGTAACTGTTGCCTATATACATGAGCAGTACCTGACATGTTCATATCAGCATATTGTTTCCCTCATGCGTTGCCATTCCAGAAAACTCGGGTGTTATTCCCCTGTACCCTGTAAATTCACTACCATATATATACACATGTAGTCTATATAGACTATATGTATATCTATCTATATAGATAGATATACATATACACAGATAGTATACCCTGAGAAAGGTCATAGACTACTTTATAGTGCGAAAAAAGTATTGTAAGGGATTAAAAGCGGAGATGAAAGGTTGTATAAAAGTATCGTCATTGTTTAAGTGAAACAATGAAACTTTTTTAGGTTATAATCTAAATATATTTCCTTTATTTGGTCAATTTCATTATACCACGCTGACGAAGTCGCGGATACACCTAATATACATATAAGGATGGGACCTTTAAATCAAAACAAAGCCTTGAAAACACAACTATTATATATAAATAAAATAATTATTTGCTAAGTATAATATTTAGAACAAGTGAATATGGCAATAATGTATCCGACTCTTATAATAAATTATATTGTATCTATTAATAAATAAACTGAATTAATATGTAAAAAGAATTAATTAGTAAATTTATGTTATAGTAATTTCATCTTCTTGTCCTTATCCCAATTATTTGTTACTCATATTACTTAAGGTTTTGGCTTTTAGTTGTACAATCGGCCAGCATCCTGACATCAACCCTCTAGGAATAATATAATAAAAAAATATGGTCATTATTAGCACTTTGACAATTATGATAAATCACGTTATTTTAAAAAATCCAATAAGTAGTTTATGTTACTCAGTTAAGTAGAAACATATCACATTATTAATTAAAATATTACAAGGATCAAAATGGTTCATACTAAATCCACACCGATTGAGCTACACGGTTATTTGCGTCTGTGTGCGTGTATTACTGTATGTGTGCGTAAATCCATGCGATTAAACCTAAAGTTGAGCGGCATCATTTTGTAATAGGCCTCTTAATAAGGGTTCCGAAAAGGGATAAATATCACTCTGACAAGAGTTTGTTTCCTTCATACCAACTGCAAGTGTGATGGGGATCGCTTATTTCATGGTTAAATTTGTATTAAATGATTATAATTATATGCTATATGCAAAACTACAAATAAATATGCTAAACAACTTAAAAATATGCCAAATTTAGCATATAACATGCTAAATTGGCAACACTAGATTTAGCGAAAGATTACTTTCTAAATTTTGTCTTTGGAAAACGCACCAATGTGCTAAGCCAATAAAAAGAAAAAATATATATCTAAAATCTATACCTAAATTAGTAATAGCGTAAATGTCTAAACTATTCAGTATATTTACGAGCATTTCGTTTATTAATTAATATTACTAAAACTTAGTATAGTTTCCAGTAGATAATTATTTTTGTTTATTAGTTGCTGTACCTATATACACCAAAGCAGAAAATTATTGATTTTTAATGGATGATGAAGGATGCACCATTGCACCCGCCTGCGAATACAGTTTACTTTTGCAAGACTCCAGTGAAGGATAATAAGATAAACTCATGTTCATCGTCAGGTCAGGTCAATTAGCTCGTCGTGACAAATTTACTAGGAATTTATGATGATGGTTTATAGAGGAAACCTCGAGGTATACATTGATCGCTCGGGGGTCATAACCCACATTACTAACAATCCTCTTCTCCTCAGAAAATTATTGTTATTAATCTGAACGAACCGGGCTATCCGCTCACTCCTAAATGTGCTATGCCTCGGGACGAGCCATTTTTCCCCAGCATCAACTCCAACGCCCGGGCCTGGATTTTGACTCCATGGGCAGGAAACATATAACAGTAACACATGCAAATAATCTGCAAATAAATATTGATTTGTTCATAATATACTGACCGCGCAGTTTGTTTGATGATTTTAATAATTATTATAAATTCCACTTCGTTTCTTTTGGTAAATTTTATAGTATACCTAAATTATTAGATATTTAAAATTGGTTTTCGGCTTTTAGTTTTTTGGACTAACTCTAGACATAAATCTAACTTAGGGAGAGAAGGCGAAATATGTCAACACAATTCTTTACAGTTATGTTTGTATAACACACCCCTTTAATTCCGATAGTCCCCGGTTCGATTCCTCGCACGGTGCAAAAATTTGTTTTCATGATTTGTTTGTATCGGCCTGGGTGTTTTCTATGTATATAATGTATGTACCTATTTACAAAAAAATCTAAGCATTTATATC